CCTCTCCGTCGCCACTCACCACCCCCGCCTCCATAGACAGGATCCAGCTGCGCAGCGCACAAAACCCGTCCCAATTGAGGTCGCGGAAGCTCGCGCGCCCCGAGCTCAACTCGAACCGGCCGTATCGCCATATCTCGTACTCCATCGCATCAAAGTCCTGGCGTCAGCGCGTCAGCCTGGCGCGCCGCGGGGCGGCGCGGTGCGGCGTGGCGCCACGCACAATGAAATACGCCCAGCGCTGCGCGCCGTGCCACGCGCGCCACGCGTGCTCGGGCATCTTGGCGCACCGCCCGTCGCGCAGGTCGCGGAGCACGTCGAGCGGGCGGCGGAGGAAGTGTGTGTTGTCGTCGGGGAGCCTGTGGTGAGCTGCGGGGGAGAGTAACGCACCACTGCACGCTCCGCAGGTTGTCGGCCATGCGTGTGGCGTCGCCGTCGCGCATCTCGCTGAGGAACATCCACACGGTCATGCCGGCGTCGGGGAACCATTGGGGGCCGATGAAGGAGCCGTGCCGCACGCCGTCGATGATGAAGCCGATTGTGGACATGGGGCGGGGGGAAGGGGGGAAGTGTGAGCCGGGAAGAGGTCAGACAGATAGATAAGAGATCGGAGAAGACGGAGAAGCGGCGGACGTGGAGCCCAAGCGCGGAGCGTGAGCATCGAGCACGAGCATGCAACATGGAGCAATGGACGCGAACCAAGCGGGGCACCGAGCGGGACGGCCCTGTCCGCCCGTCCCCATACATACCATCTGCCCCATCACTACATCATGCGACGCGTAACGCCCTGCTCCCTACTATACCTGCTATGCTGCCACTGCGTGCTGCGCGCTACCTGCGCCGGAAGTTGTCGAGGGTGCGCCAGAACTCTGCGACGACCTGTCTGTCCGTGTGCCGCCGGGTCCGGTCGATCTGGCATCAGCCGTGCGTCCGCCTCACCACACCCACCCTCATCTCCGTCACGTTCCAGTCGCGCACGGCGGGGTTCGCGCTCTCGTTCTGCCACTGGAAGTAGATGCCCTTGACGTGGCGGAAGAGCACGCGCGGCTCGACCCACTTGTACGGCTTGAACTGCCACGCCTGGCCCGTGGTCACGACGCAGATGACGCGGTCCCACGGGTCCTGCCCGCACTTGTGCAGCCCGTCCACGCTGTCCACGACACGGTACTCGGTCGTCGTCTCGCCCGCCGCGCCCTGCCGCTTGCGCAGCACGCGCACAATGTCCGCCGCGTGCATGTTACCCTCGCGCATCTCGTTTGCGCGCGCGACGTCGCTCGGCTCGAAACTGGTGTGAGCGACGCCGGGGCGCGACGTACATCCCGTGTTCGAGGAACTTTTTCACGTTCCACATGGTGATGAGCGAGGTGGGCGACGACGAGATGATGATGATTGGGTGCGCTTGCTTGTGCTTGCGCGCGCGGTTGATGTCTGGTGTTAGTTGACGCTGATGTTACAGCGGTCGTCGCCGCCGCCTCTGCACAAACACTACTCACCTGCTGGCGCTGCGGCAGGCGCAGGCGCCGCGCCGCGCGTATCAAAGCTCTTGCGCAGTGCACGAATCTTCTCGCTCATAACCCCCTTGACGAACTGCTCAAAGTTGTTGACCTTGCCTGTCCCCGACACGCGCAGGACCGTGTTGCGATCGCGCAGCTCGATCTCCTCGGTGCGCAGCTTTTTGCAGAACTCGCGGTCTGCGACATTCACCTCGTATTTGCGCTTCGGCGCTGCCGGCCTACTCGGCCCTGCTTCTGGCACGGGCGCTTTTGCTGCTGTCAGCGCCGCCTCGATGCGCTGCTTCCGCGTTAGAGGGCCTACAGGCATATGCGTGTATTGGCACATGCTTGAAGCAGACGCGAACTCGTCCACTCACCCTCGCCGACACGCGCGCCACCATCGCTCTCGCCCGCTAAGAACGCCTGCACGGCACGGCGGTCCGCAATCGGCACATTACCGACGCCGAGCGCGGTGAAACTCTGCATAAAGTCCTTGAGGGAGGCATCGCGCTTCTCCCACACGACCCAGAGCTGGCCGATAGTGTAGAACTCGGTGCGCGCGTCGGAGCGCGCGTAGCGGGTGCTCGCGTCCTTCGGGACGACGATGTCTGCGAAGCGCAGGGAGGCGGCGTCGGTGAGCGCCGTCGTGGGCTCGCCGGACGACGTGAGGAGCTCGGCGGGGCGGTTGTCCGCTATGGACTGCCGCAGGAGGGCGAGGGGGTCGGACATTGTAGATGCGGGTTGTGGATGGCAAGGTGGAGTGACTTTCGATTGTTGGTGAGTTGGTGAGTTCGTGGTATGTTGGTTATGTGGAATGCCGTATAAGTAATGCCACGTGTTGCGGTGGAGGCCCCGATGCTCACCCGCCCCACTCCAAAGAAGGGTTTGGAGGCGAGCCACAAACACAAAGATGTGGCGGCGATCGTGGCGACGATCAATGGAGGTCGTACTCCCCCGGCACAACGACCAATGCATTGTTGACTGTCCTCTTTTAGGCTCGGCGCCACTTGGCTGTTGGCTGTAAACAAACGCTTGCACGACGTCATGAGTCACTCGGTGTCACCGCGTGACCTGACATGAACGTCGTGACTTGCAAGACTTGTAGATGGCGCGCAGTGACGCGTAACGTGCATAAATGAGCAGTTGCGCCGTTTCCGCCGCGATCGCCGCTGCCCTCCGCCGTTTCCGAGCCAGGAGGCACAGCAGGTTGTTTCTGGCAATCTAGTCATGCAGAACAAGTTGGGTTTACGCCATGTGCCTTGCTTGGCTTGGAGCTGGATGCTAGGAGCTGGCTGTTTGGCTACCGGCAGGCAGCAGGCAGGCAGAATCTAGAGTAATAGTGTAAGGAATGACCTGACACCTTCGGGACCCTCGAAATGTTCTGCGAGCCGGGGAAGAGGCCGAGATGGGATGCCCTGGGTGCCGGTTGGTTTCGTGGCGCCGTCAAAGCCCTGGGCCTGGCCAACTCTCCTCGTCTATGGTCGAGCATTGCTCGCGCACACGAGCACGCGACTGGCCGCGACTGGCGGGTCTGCTCCTGCTAGCTGCCATCCTGCTTCGAGTGCACCGGCTAGTTTCCACATCTAACAATTCGGTTTCTGAATATTCCAGCCTCGACGTGCAGATACCCGGGTAACCGGAGTGCGATCGCGCGAGGTGTGTCATGTGTCAAAAACAAAACAAAAAAACGGCTTGATGCCTCGCGCTATCGCAGTAGAGTAGTAACTACTAAACTAGTGCGAGATGGGAGACGCTCTAGCTTGCAGCTTGCAACTCTCTTGTGGCGGCCGTGGCGGAGGAGAATTCAAGTGTTTACCCTCAAAACCCGGTGATTTGGTCCCGCTGCTTGCCAGAGCCCAGAGCGCCAGAGCGCCGAGGGCAAAACCAAGCACCCCAGTCCATGTCGAGTCCTGAATTGTGCCTTGCATCCCCTGATCCCTTATCTTGTTTTAGTGCCGGCCTCGGCCCAGCCGGCATTGAAGCCCTCCGTCTTTTCCCTACCCGGTCCTGATCACCACATCTGGCCAAGAGCAGTACGTACTCTGCCAGTCCTGCAGTTCTGGCATGCACACTGGCGCGCGTATGTACTAGTGCTTGTCGATGGAGAGGCCAGTATGCATGCTGGCATGCTGGTGGCATGTTGGACGAATCTTTTGCACCCCCGGAATTTGTGCGAGCCGGCAAGTGAGCTACTGCGCGCGTTCTGGTGGAAACCCTTTGAGAGATGTCCTTGTGGACCCTGCACAGTCCATATCCTCTGCGCTGTTGGATCCTGAGTGTCCATGAGCATTCATTCTCTTTCTCTCTCTCTCTCTTTCTTTCTCTCTCTCCTTGACAAACATCTGCCCACTCGACTCGATCGACGTAAAGTGCACGACAGTTTATTAGTTGGTCGAATTGAAGCGAGGGGTGTTGTCTTGTCACGTTGGAAAGCAAAGCGGCAGCAGCGGCAGCAGCAAACCAAGTGACGACGCTTCAAACGGCTGTCCCTTTTGCTTGTCAACACCCAGTCCGTCCATCCATCCGTCAATTCCGTCAACCTTCCCTCACCCTCACCCTCCCCCTCACCCTCACCCAATTCCCAACTCTATCAACAACACACACACACACTCTCTCTCTCTCTCTGTCGTCCACTTGTCCGTCGTCTCACTCGCCGTCTCCATCTCTCCGGTAGCCACTCCGGTAGCGACTCCGGCGTCCACAATCAACATCAGCTAGCCGGCTTCTAGCTCAACTACCGCCCTAAAGTTAGCTAATTCCCCCGCCCGCTTTCCCCTCCCTCTCACCACCACAATTCTGTCTGCTCTCCACCGCACAGACATCTCTCTCTCTCTCCCTCCCACCCACTCTCCACGGACGCGCTTCCAACTTTCCCCCCCCCCCCCCCCCCCCCCCCCCCCCCCCCCCCCCCCCCCCCCCCCCCCCCCCCCCCCCCCCCCCCCCCCCCCCCCCCGCCCCCCCCCCCCCCCCTCGCCACTGCGTCCGCTCAAGGCCGCATTCTACAATCCCTCCACCCCGACCAGGCCAGCCGGGCTGTGCCCCCGCGTAAACGAATCCCGCTTCCCGCTCCCTCGCGTGCGGCTCACGATCATCTCTCAACCTAGTCCCCGTTTTCACGACTCTCCATCCGCCTAGAGGTGAGTTGGTATGCTACAGAGCGTTGTGGATACACACACCCGGAGCCGGTGTTGAACGCGCCCTCGCAGAGACACGAGGCGCGCGTGCGCGCGCGCGCCCAAAGTTTATCGCGCCCAGACGTGGAGGTGGTGGCCAGACCCTCTCTCGGAGGTGTCACGCTCCGCCCTAACCGGTCCACGTCCCAGGGTCGCGCATAGACCACATCCTGTTCATCTGGACGGCGATGGCATCACATCTTGCATGCGTTGAGAGTACGAGGACGTGCCAATGACTGGGCCTCTGCCATGTAGAAGAAACCGCCCGCACCCGTGCTGACGCGTTTTGCCCGCAGCGCCGCCGATCCCTCGTTGCTTGATTGAGCCATCTACATCTGACCCTCCATCCACCTTCCCTCCATCCAACATCTCGCCCACCTTTGCTCAATCCTGCATCCACATCCTCTCCTCGCTTGGTCAAGACATTGATCACGACGACTGTAAGTCTGGAACCTGCTGATTGCTTGAGAGTGGGAAAACAGGCGCGCCGCCCATACCGCCCTTTGGGTCCAAGGGGGTACCGTTTCACCACGGACCCGCCTGGCCGCCCGACCACTTTGCGCGGTCTCTGACAGAGAGAGAGACAAGGGACACTTCGGCTCACGCACAGCCCGACGAGTGGCCACATCAGCACCTCGCAAAGCTCTTTCATCCATCATCTGAAAGAGTGGTCAACGACCCAAATACATCTTAGTGAGTAGAGTGACGCGCGCGTCCAAGACATCGTTACGGTGAGAGGAGAGAAGAGCGGACGAGAAGAGCCGACTTTGGCTTTGGTGGTAACCGTGACGTGACGGAATCTTTGAGTTGTGAGGCTGACCGTGTTTTGCTCTGCTGTCCTGTCGCCTGTCGCCTCTGTACCTCGTCTTTCCTCAACCACTCTCTTTCTCTCATCCGCGCGTCGCAACTCTACCTCTCCGCCTTCCGACTTCGGCGCATCATCGACCCCTGTACAACTAAACCAACGCGCCTATACTCTGGTCTATCTGGCATCACCCCGGCGCGCACTATCACTTGCACAACGCAGACCTCCAACTCCTCCTTCTGGACACCACTCCACCACCGCCGTTCAAAAGAACGGCTCACATCGCCCCACGGCCTGGTCATGCCCGACATCGAAGGCCCCTATCCCGCAGTACCCGCGCTGTCGCTTCGTTCTAACAGGGCCCCCTACAACTACGACCTTGAACGCACCCAGCAAGCTGGGCCGAGCAAGTCTCGCCTCCCGCTTGCCACCTCGTCTACAACCGCTCAACAGCAGTCACACCCCGCTTCCCCCCACCCCCTCACCAACTCTATCCGCGCCGATAGCATGTACACGCCTCCATCAGAATCGCGTCTCCGTTCCGCCAAGATCGACAGGTCGCGTCGTCCACACAGTGCTTACCCTCCCACCGATGAGCCTGTGTACCATGTACAGCGCAAATACACGGACCCGACCCCCCACTCGGGCGCGTACCTGGGCATGGAGCAGCCTCCCAGCCCCATGCCCTCGGGATCCAACCCTCAGCTCGACGTTGATCTTGATGTCTACTCCCAGGATTACAGCGAACTCGACGATGACATGCGCCAGTTGGGCGATGACATGCGCGAGCCTACGCTGAGCTTTGCCACCACGTCGACCGTCGACTCGACAGCCAGCTCGCCTTCTATTGGTGAGGCGTACACTTATGGCACAGAACGAGTGCTGGATGGCAAACCAGAGCACGAGCCTCGTATCCGCATGAGGACGGGGCGCCAGAACGCGTATTCATCTGCAGAGTCCTCGATGGCATCTGGCGCCTTCTCTTATCACGCCTATAGCGAGTACAACCAGCAGCCTCCAGTGCCACCCCTCCCTGCCGACCTCAGCATGGGGCTCAACCGCAATGGCTATCGTGTATCCACAAACGAGACCAACTCGACGGCGAGCTATCACGCGACATCTCCCAGCTCGTCCTACGTGCAACGTCAGCCCTGGCGCTCGCCCGTCATGGCAAGAGACCGTAGCCTTTCGGTGTCGACCACAGACGAGACCGAAGAGTCTTCGGGATCGGGGGAAGAGCGTCTGTCTTCAGCATTCGAACATTCCTTCAGCTACCTCTCAGGATCGCTGCCAGCAAGGCAACCGTGGGAGGACGACAGCGAGATTCTCGCCGAGCCCAACGCACTGGCAATGGTAGACGACGGTCGGGGCGCAATTCTCAATCAAGAAAAGCTAGAGGCCATGGGCGGCGTTCGTGTCCTGAGCGCAATGTCGGACAATGACTTGTTACGTCTGCCCCGTTTCACCCATCTGCTTCTCGCTGGAGTGGGTCCCAGCATCCTCGACGCACTGCCAGCGCTGCTGGACGTGCTCTCGACCACCCTCGTTGTTCTTGACATTTCGAACAACGACCTGACAACTCTGCCTACGGCCCTAAGGCATTGCTCTTCCCTCGAGGAGCTCAACATCTCTCACAACCCCCTGCTACAGCTCCCGTCCCTGTTGGGCGAGTGCACAAGCCTGCGCATGCTGGTGGCCGATGGGTGTCTGCTCTCCAACCTCCCGGTGGAGCTTGCGCAGACTCGTTCTCTGCACACTCTGTGCGTGCGCGGCAACCGCCTCGTCACATTGCCACCGTGGCTTTGCCTCCTTGGCCACCTTGAGACACTACGAATCGACAACAACCCCTTCGCGGCACAGTGGCAGCCGATCGTGGCCCCAATCCTCGCTTCGACACTTCGCAGTGGTAATCACTCGCGCTCTTCATCCGCAGCATCCAACTATGCTCGGCCGGGGACAACGCAGTCCAATTACCGGCCCACAACAGCAGGACTGAACTCGGCAATGAGTTCGCTCAACGCCTCGCAGACGTCCGTCGGCGGCCCGTCATCGTCTGCTGACTCCCTCGGTCTCGGCCTCCAGAATGGGAGGACGCAGTCGGTCCCTCAGTCTCTCCGTACGACCACACGCGCGGCAGCTAAGCAGGACTCCCCTATGCGGGCACCAAATCGCAGCATAAGCAACCCCAACCCGCACTCGGAGATCCTCTCTGATCGCACCTCTGCGCCGTCAAACCGTCGCGTGTTTAGTGCAGCGCACTACACGGACGAGTCGGAGGCTGAGGGTAGTGAGAAGAACAGCAAGTGGGGTTTCCTCCGCAAGGTGTCTCTCTCTCGTCTGCGAACAGAAAAGGACCGCTCCGCGCAGATGAGCGCATCAGCCGCTGCAAACATCTCGTCGATGCCCTCCGGCCCAGTCATCTCGGCACCTACCCTCATTGGCGGGCCCCCCAAGCGCCCACCGCTCAGCGCGGACCACTGGTCCACTGGCATGATCCCCACGCGGCCCCGCGGCGCGTCGCAAAGCAGTGCAGATTTGGCGGTTCCCTCCGCGTCAACCATGTCGGTGCCCAAGCTTCCGGTCAACGCCTATGGCTCGGCCTCTGGCGGTGCGCGCAGCAAGCGTCGCAGCTTTTTGCCCATTGACCCCAGCCCACCGTCGCTGAATGTGGCGATTCCTTCCATGTCCCCTTTCATGGCCCCACAGGCAACCTTGGCCGATGGCGAGCACCCGCACGCGTTGGCGGACGATGCCGTGGAAACGCTGGGGGACAACGAGGGGCTGTATTTGGGGCGTCACACCCCGTCGACGCACCACGCTTACGCCCGCTCAGTGGACAATCTGTCCATTAACGAGCACGATGGGCGGTACTCGCGTGGCTTGGATTCTATCAAGAGCTACCTCCGCGACCTTTACGACCTCTCCCTACCTCCAGGGGATCCGTATGGCGCATTCGAGGTCATTCAGTCCCAGGCTTCGACAGTGGGGTCCGACACTCTCTCTCCACTGGGTGACAACGCGAAGCTGCGAGACTCGGTTGCCGAGTCCACAACGACGTCTGCCCGTCACCTCACCATCAGCAGCGCGATCCCATCGCGGAGCGTCTCGATGGTCAGCGTCGGCAGCGAGCGACACTCGGCATACTCGTCGACTGGCGCGCTTGACCCTGATGTTCAGAAGCGCTACAAGGACGACCCATCGAAGCGCACCCGCGTCCTCCACGAAATCTTCGAGACCGAGAAGACCTACGTCCGTGGCCTCGATGAGTTGGTACAGATTTACGTGCGTCCAGCGAGCCTTGCGGCCGGCAGCTCCAAGGGCGAAACTGTGATCCCCATGGCCGAGCGCAAGGTCGTGTTCGGCGGAGTTGAGTCGATCTTGATCTTCCACCGTGACAACTTCCTTCCTGCCCTTGAAAGGGCCCTCGATCCCCTCCTTCAGAAAGGCGATGACGCGAGCGGCGCCGTGTCAGCCTTGGCTGCACACAAGGTGGGCGAGGAGTTCCGAAATTACATTGCCTACATGAAGCAGTACTCGACCTACATCAACAACTTTGACAATGCGCTGTCGCGCATGAAGACGTGGCTACTGCAGTCCAACGGCTCATCCACGCCATCCCCAGCCAAGGGCGCAGGCGCTATCGGCGTTGCAGCCGTTGGGGCCAGCTTGGTTGGCTCCGCCGTCCTTCCCGTGGGCGAGAGTGTCCCGCAGTCTGGAGCGTCCCTTACTCCCGCACAACGTAAGCGCGTCAAGACGTTCCTCAAGCGGGCCAAGGAGAACCCCAAGCACTCGCAGATCAACCTCGAGTCGTATCTCCTTCTCCCCGTGCAGCGCATCCCGCGGTACAAGCTCCTGCTCAGCGATTTGGCGCTGTGCACGCCTCCGCGCGAGAGCATCGGGCCGAACGACGCCCTCGACGACGCGATTCACGAGATCACAACTCTGGCGTCGCTCATGAACGAGGAGAAGCGCGAGGCGGAGTCTCGCCTTCGGCTGTTGGCATGGCAGCAGCGTATTACGTCACGAGGCCCGAGCCCCCTCGTGCAACCGCATCGCAAGCTTATCCTCGACGGCGCACTCACCCTCATTCGCGTTGTCAAGAAGGCGAGCGCATACGCAGAGGTCGACGGTCCGCCCCAGCTCAGCGGCGTGGATGGTGACTCGACGATCACGGGCAACAAGACGGTTGTGCCCGTCGAGTTCATCAAGCCCGAGCCAATGGAAAAGCCGATCATGCTCATCCTCTGCTCGGACATGCTTGTGCTTGTGCAGCAGCGCCCCGGCGAGGGCTGGGAGGGCAGTGTAGACCTCTTCTCGGTGCTGCGCATGGCAACTGTGCGCGAGCCAGCGAGCGTGAGCGCGTCCAACGACCGCGTTTTGCGTGTTGTGGACAACAGGGTGAGTACTCCCGCCCTTGGCAAGGATGCCATCGCTAACCTCAGTCAATTTACTACTTCAATGGCGGCACGCACGCAACAACGCTGCAGTGGTGCAGGGCCATCAACGGGCAGAACAGTCGGTAGCGCAGGTTTGTGGTTCCATCCGGTTAGGAACAATGTGTTTTCGTTGTACCAGATATGCAGACGTGCTAGAGTTCGCACATCGATCTGGCTCAGCTGGCTTCTCGGCAGGGAGTCGGGGCTCCATCAGTAGGGTGAGTACGCAGCCCTTCCCCGATTCTGACAACGACTTTGACGCTCATGACAGCACTGACTGCCTTCAAGCTGTGTTACGACATGCACTGGGACCGCTGACACTCATCTCTAATGTAACGTTGCAGTCGACCCTAGCGTTGACTTCTCCTCAACCAGTGTCGGCCATGTCGCCGCCTTCGCTTCTCTCCGACGCCCAGCGCACACTCCTACAAGGGTTGCATCCTACTCGTGTTATTGGTCGCCCCACCTCAAAGTCACTGGACACACCGGCGATGCGCCCGCCCGCTTTTATCGCTTTCCGCACCTCCCCACGGTACACGCCGGCAATTCTTCCGGCTGAGATGCACATCATCTCCTCAAATAACTTGGATAACGTCGCGCGATCGCGGGAGCGCATCTACAAGATCGTCTCGGTGAGCGAAATGGTTACGGATAACCGCCACGAACCCGCGATGAGCTGGACGGAGCTCCACTTACTCCGCCACAGCCGCGGCTAATGACGGCTCGCGCCCGGAAGCGTGCAGCGGGCCGCGACCGTCACTTTGCTCAGATAAGCACGCAGGCGTTCAACAACGATTTGTGCCAACCACATGATGGCGGCTGATAGCAGATCTCAGACTAATAATACCGCAAGTCCGGCAGATATCACGGCAAATCGGGTTGAACAGGCACGCAGCGAGGTTGGACCGAGGCACGGCCAACTCGCCGCTAGTCAATTGACATAACCACATCACACAGCATGCACCATGCGGGGCGGGCGTGCAAGCCTCGCCAGCTTGGAGCATGCCGACACGGCGGACGAGCGCACGCCGCTGCTCGCGCCTATCGCGGCCGCTGAGTCCATCGCGCGCAGTACAAGAACCTCGGCTTCGAGCTCCACAGCCCCTGCAAGCTGCACTCCTACCACCATGCCAGAGGACAGCAATGACAAGATCCAGGACGAGGTGCTTGTGGTCGAGGTCACCTCTCCGGTAGAGGACGAGCGCGACGCACGCAGTCGCGAGGGTCCGCCCGTCACGAGGTGGGAGGAGTGGGTGAGTTGCCCCCGAGGCCCAGCCGACCCCAGGCCTACTACCTCTACTACAACGGCGACAACGGCGTCGGCCCAATGACGTTCTCGAACATCCTGTTCCAGTCGCTCGCGACCGCCGCGGGCCACCACCCCGCGACGGGCGGCGCGTGCGCCGACGACCACTGCGTGATCAAGTGGGGCGGGCGCGTGCGCCCCGTCGCATCCGTCATCCTCATCGCGAACGGCATCAGCTTCGCCATTATGACACTGCTCTTCACGACGATCGGCAGCGCAGCAGACTACGGCTCGGTGAGCCGCTGGGTGCTCCTCCTCGCCACGCTCGTGTGCTGGGGCTCCCAGTTCGGCTTCCTCGGCGTCTCGCAGTCGCGGCAGTGGGAGGTGGCGATGGGCCTCTTCGTGCTCGGCTTCGTGAGCTATGGCGTCACGCTCGTGTTCTACGCGTCCATCTTCCCGCGCCTAGCGCGGAACACGCCGAAGACGATCGAGGCGCGGCACAAGCTCGACAACGGCGAGATCGATGCCGCCGCGTACGAGAAAATCGAGATGCTCGAGCGCAACCGCCTCAGCGCCATCTCGACGGCCCACTCGAACTGGGGCTATCTCTTCACGCTCGCCATCAACCTCTCCATCCTCATCCCGCTGTCCAAGAACCCCATGTCGAACAACTACGCGCTCGCCGCCACGAACGTGTACTGGATCGTGCTCGGCGTGCCGTGGTTCGTGCTGCAGAAGAGCCGGCCCGGGCCCCGTCTCCCACGCGGCGAGCACTGGCTCACCGTCGGCTGGAAGCAGATCGGCGCCGCCATCCGGCACTACAAGCGGCTGCCGTATACGTTCGTGTACCTCTGCGCATTCTTCCTCCTCGCCGACGGGCTCAACACCACGACCGCTATGGTCGGCATCGTCCAGAACCAACACATCCACTTCTCCTTCCTCCAGAACACGTACCTCGGCCTCGCCCAGGCCTGCACCTCCATCATCAGCGTCCACGCATACTGGGCCTTTCAGAAATGGCGCAAGATCCGCACCAAACGCATGTTCCAGGTCACGAACTTCTTCACCGTCTTCATCCCCTTCTGGGGCATGCTCGGGCTCTGGAACAAGCGCGTCGGCTTCCACAACACGTGCGTCTACTTGCTGCGCTGTCATCGGGCGTCACTGACACCAGATGGGAGTTCTGGTTCTACCAGGTCCTCTTCGGCCTCGGCCAGGCGCCATACTACGCCTACGCGCAGAGCATGATGGCCGACCTGACGCCGCCCGGCTTCGAGGGCATGTTCTTCGGCCTATTTGGGATCACGAACCGCGCGTCCTCGCTCGTCGGGCCGTATGTGTGCGCCGCGATCGTCGACACGAGCGGCAACCAGTGGAACGCCTTCATCTTCCTCTTCGTGCTCTGCAGCCTCGCGGCGATCGTCATCGCGCTGTTTGTCGACATGGAGCGTGGGCGCGCGGACGCCGTGGCGTTTGCTATCGAGCAACGCGGCGCGACGGCGGACGTGCGCGCAGAGGTGGCGAACAAGGCGCCGGTGATGCTGAGTGGGACGCATTGATGAAGCAGACAAAGGACAGATTGTAGTAGCAACGTACTATGCACAGATAAAAGTGAGCCGCGATACACACATCGTGCTGGTTTTAGTGTGCGCCTCTTAAAACGCTGGTGGCTGCAGAGCTGATAGACGCTGGATGGTGATGTCAGTCAGCCAGGCCGATCGCATTACTGAGAATACAAAGCATATATTAGAACGCGATACCATCAATTTTCCTTCCCCGCATTTCCCGACTTTTATCCCACGCCGCCCATTCCAACAACACAACTCATTCACTCGTTGCTACTCACCTCACCTGCCTCGTCCACCTCCGCACTCGCACACCACCTCTCCAACCACATCCGCCGACAGCGGACGATACCACGCACCCCCGCGACCCCTTCTTCACTACCCACCACCCCACGAAATCAGCATCATGTCGGGCCGCAAAGTGATGGTCCAGCCCATCAACATCCTCTTCAGCTTCTTGCAAAAGGTTAGTCTCGCACCGCGTAGAGCTGGCGCTTGACGCCATCGTCGAGCGGCCATTATGCAGGATAGGCTGTGCACCCGCTGCGTGACTCGTCCGCGGTTGCGCGTTGACTCGCGCGTTGGCTTGCCCGTCGCCATGCGCTATGCGCATCTGCGTGCCCCATCCCCGACCCGACGATGCCGCGCCCGCACATCTCCGTCCGCATTGTCCTCGCGCTAACTCCAGCACGCCCGCGTCTCTGTGTGGCTCTACGACAACACCGAGTTCCGGATCGAGGCGTTCATCATCGGGTTCGACGAGTTCATGAACGTTGTCCTGGACGAGGCGGAGGAGGTGTACGACTGCGGCGCAAAGCCCGGGAAGGAGGTCAAGCCGCGCCGAACATTGGGTAGGTCTTGGGCGAGTCGGAGCGGGGAGCAGAGGACGAGAGCAGATGTGAAGGGTGTCGAGCTGGGAGTGGGCCCGTGGAAGACAGGCTAGAGGAAAGCTCAGGCTGGGATGCGCTTCGTAATGCATGTCGCAGCCCCCAGTCACACGAGGAGGGAGAAAACGCCAGACCACTAGCTTCCGAACGCTGACACCAGGCCGCATCCTTCTCAAGGGTGACAACATCACGCTCGTCCAGCCCGTGGACGCATAGACTCTTCTGTAGGTGTAGCGATGCGCAGGTTCCAGCAGTGGTGTAGAGAGCATGCATGGCTCGTGTACGTTTGCAGCAGCATATGCTAGCGCCACGTCGGCGCCGGACGCACCATTCTGCCGTTCTCGCCTGTATGTCTCCAGCGGAGCAGAACTGCGTATCATGTGGCATAAACACTATCATGGTCGCGAGCTCGGCCGCTACTCAGCCATTAAAACACGAAGATGTCGTCCTCGATCATACTGGGCCGGCGTGGCACGTAATAACCCATTTCCTTGAGTGCGTTCTTAACCGCCTTGGTCATACCGGGCGGTCCGCACAGCAATACTTTGCCGCCTGCAGGGCCTCCGGGTGGGAGGCGCTCCTCGAGCATCTCGCGCGTCACATACCCTACTCCTCCTGTCCACCCAGGTGGCGGGCGCTCGAGGACGTACTGCTGTCAGCTTTGACTCGAGGGCTGCTCACGTGAATGGTGAGACGCCCATGCGACTTGGACGCGAGGTACTCGAGTTCATTGCGGAGCACTGCTGTCAGCTACGCTTTAGGTCGCTCAGAGCCGCCCCATCAGCTACTGACAAATGTCCTCCTCGGCAATGTTGGCGAATATGAGGCACATCTTGGTCTTGTCCGTCCCGTCCAGCGCAGCGCTCTTGATAATACGGTACATTGGTGTGATCCCGCTCCCTCCCGCGACGAGGAGGAGGTGTTTGGCCAGCGAGGGGGTGTAGTTGAACTGGCCTTTAGGGCCACGCACCTCGATCTCCGCGCCGATGGGCAGATGATCGAGGTAAGTGCTCATCAGCCCGTTGTCATACGTTTTGACCACGAGGTCAAAGTATCCGAGCTCGGAGTCCAGCGATGTAGGTGTGTAGGAGCGCACTACGCGTCGCCCGTTGATGTTGGCAGCGAGCGACACGTGCTGTCCGACTGGAAGGCCTAGGGAGTCGTTGGGACGGGGGAGGGCGAGACGATACCTGACATCAGCTCACATGTTGAGCCAGACTTACCGAGCAGTATTGTGGGATAGCCTGCTCTTGCCGATGAGCTTGAGCGGGCGGAACTCGACGGGGTCGAGTACTTTCTCCGCAGGCTTCGGCAGCCTTGGTAGGACCGGTGCCTCGACATCGGGCTTAGGAGGGTCGTGGGCCGGCACGCGGGCAGGAGGGAGGGCGCTAGGCGCCAGCGGGTCTAGGATCGGCGCGAGAGTCTGGCGCAGGCGGCGCGCGGGATCCGGCCTCCCGAGTGCTTCTGGAAGGTGTGGGTCGTGTTGAAACTCGGGGTGGGTGGGGAGGGGCGCGACGAGGTGTGCTGGGATGTAGGTCACGTATGGGTTGGCGGCAGTGTTGGGGAGGGGCGCGGTGTGGCGGGTCCTGGGCTCGCTTGAGGGAGTGGGGAGGGGCACGCTGGAGGGGAGGGCCTTGGCGCTTGGCATTTTGTGGTGAGGGTGTGTTGGAGGATGGCTGGAGGAAAGGCGAAATGAGACACGATGTGGGCGACAGCTTGCTGGTGCTGGAGAATGAGGTCAGCGAGTGAGTGAGATCTGAGAAACGTTGATGAGCGATGTGAAGGAGTGGAAGTGGGGAAGAGGCACGCTCTGGAGACATATCGCACTCAGTCGTAAGCGGCGTCATTCCACAGATAAGCTGTGGCTTTCGCACGTGCCAGCCCGTCGTCGGCCCCGAGGGAGAGGTGAGTATCCCCGCATCGGGCGCAAAGCACACGTTACTGTGTTGCGGCAGGAGAGATGTAAGGTGCATCGATGCCGGTGGCAGTTGAACTAGCGACGTAGTTTCCGTGTCGGTTCGAACCAAAAATCAGGAACGTCCACTGCCGGCGGCTGTCAAACTACCCGTCACCCCGATCGCGAGTGCCACAAGCCAGCTGCAGGGGCGTGCACGGCCCTCCGCCGGCTGCTTTCTCTTTCAGCGCGATACTGGCATCTTGCAATCTCCCGAGAGCTTGAGCCTAACACTGCTGACAGATAGCTTCGTTGCAGACGGACCTTCTTGAATGCGGTCGAGACGCTGCTGCGAAGTTCTCAGAGTGCTTCTTCGGCCTAACTTGTAAGCGACACTATAAAATTCGATGATAATCGCTGCAACCAGCCTTATCAGCAGCATGCTTCGTGTCACGCACCTAACGGCCGATTTGTGATCCTTGCCGGACATTCTGCTCACCGGAACCGTGAGGGAGAGCATTGAAGGGCCTGTACACTGAGTCATCGTTACATAGAAGGACCCATGCTCCCTCTACGCTTTTGCCAGCGGCGGCCCGATGCAACTAGTGCCGAAATGCTGTCCAGTATGTGTCGCACACGCATGAGATGTCCCCCAACGAAGGCGAGTTTAAGGCCCGTCGCTCCTCGCGGTCATGGCTTCTGCACCAGCGATAGCCCCGCCTCGGACGGGCTCCCATGCACCCGCGCAAACACCCGCCTGACCTTGCCGCCTTACCGTCGTACGACGAAACGCGCAATACCCACCATTCCCCAGCATCAAATGCGGGACACCGTGCCTGACGTCGTGACTCCGAATCCGGACCACCCCTGCGTGCCATCTGGTCCGCGATGGATATTTCAACACCTGCCGTTACTGCGGTTGACGCATAACATTGATGCGCTCTCCACTCGTCCTTCTTTTGCTCGTCCAGTTTGTCATCATGTGTCACCGAATGGCCTGTCCCAACGACGGCAAGCCGACTTGGTGGGGGTGTGGACACCACGTTGAGCAGGTGAGTCTGACGGTTGTGGCGAGATCGGCGGTGGCGAAGTGATCGGCGGTCGAGGAACAGTCGCTGGTAAGAGTATAGTCGTGCTTTGGACTGCTGGGCTTGTGGAAGGAAGATGAGTGGTGAGAACGAATAGGGGCCCGGGACGGGCTAGCGTGGAACGCTGTCCGAGCACTTGCCGACTGACAATGCCGAAGTCGTGCCAAACTCGAGCCGAGGTTGCACCGAACTCGCACTCACCTCAGGTTCTTGCCGACGTCCCCATCGAGGAGCGCTGCACGTGCGAGCACGTCCCAATTGTCAACATTCCCGGCGTCAAGTTTATGAAGACGGTCAAGAAGCGCGGCCCGGGGGAGAAGCTTTCCGACACCAGCGCACCGGTTCGCGAGGGGCTGTAGACTAACGGCTTTGCTCACGACCGCGTACTATACATTGTGCCTTGATACCCCTAATATACCTGTGATGCTACAGAGACGGCCTACAACGTCGGAACCGAGAACAGACCCCCGAGGCCGCTCGTATAAGCAACGCACGCTCGCTCCCACATCGTTACTTACAGCTCGTGCATTCCGCTCGGATCAACGAGGTTGTTGAGGAAGTCGGCAAGTGCACCGTCGGCTGGCGCCGGCATGCTACTCTGCACCGAGTCGAGCACACTCCCAAACTCTGGGTTGCGCCGGGTAAGCAGAGGAATGAAGTAGTGGGCACGGGCGAGGGCGAGCTGTCCTACATCCCACCCCGTGTTCTGATGGTCGCCCAGGAAGGAGGTGAAGCGGCGCAGAGCGAGCAACGCCGTCTCGCGCACACCCGCCTCGCCGGCGTTTACGATAATGCGCACAAGCATGGTCAATGTAAGGCTGAGCATGAAGGGCGAGTCTGGGTTAGCTTCATCGATGGAAGGGAGGAGCTCACGAGACGTCCAGTACCCGTAAAGGTCACTAGGGGTGAGTGCTGCGACAAAGTCTACAACACCCTCGCAGGCCATGAGGCACGAGTGGCGGGCGGCCTCGAGAGCATCGAGTTCAGTCGGGTCGAGGGCGTCAAAGATCGCACGCACGACCATGATGCAGCTTCCGAAGTAGAGGAGCTGGGTGGAGCGGACGCCGGGAGCCGCGGGCTCGGCCGCGAAGAGGCCTCGTGAGTCTGCGGCATTCTTCCACGCGTCAAGACGCATACTCATGCTCGCCAGCGAGGCGAGGGAGGCATGAGGGCTATCGAGGTCGTCAAGAATAGCACCGAGCTCGCACGCGCTCACGAACGCATCGTAGCTCATCGTGTCGCTTGCGTTCCGAGGCGGGAGGGGGACGACGTTGGGCGTGACAATGTGCCGCGGCCGCCCAAAGGTGAGGCTGCTGAAGCGGTCGTAATTGAGGAGGCTCCACCACAACCGGGTACGCAGCTCCTTCTCCCATGCCGGTATGCTCCAGGCGCCGCAGTCCTGGTGCAGCCCGAGGAGGAGAGCGGTGGAGATGGCGAGGCCGAGAGTCACGAAGTTGCCACTGGCGTCCAGGGTCTCGCGACCGTCTAGGTCGAGGAGGTAGACCTGGAGCGTCCAGAGGCGGGCTTTAGGGCTCTGTGAGCGCAAAGCCGCCATCGTTCGCACGTACGCCTCCTTGTGCAGCCGTCGTAGCTGGGGGATGTACATGAGGCCCGCGGTGAGGATCATGCAGCGCAGGATGGGGGAGGAGAGCTGTGGTTCGTGGCGCAACACAGGGTGGGCAGGTGCCTCAACAGCGAAAAACGCCTGAAGGACAGTGGGCACGAGCGCTGGCGTGATCATGTCGCGGAGCGTCGCCCATGTACCCTCGTCCGGCGAGCCGTACGGCATGCTCTTGTAAAATACGAAGTGGACACCGGGGGCGACTGTGCGTAATCGAACGCCTGGAATAGGGCGAGGTTGCACGAGAGACGGGCCAACGCTATCGGTCATGTTATTGAGGATGAGGGCGTCACGCTCGCTCGCCGTGCCCACGAGGTAGAGCTCCTCGTCGGCGTCACCTTCGGCGTCCAGTGCCATGGGCTCGGGGACGAGCATAGGCGCGCCCCGCGTGCTGAGGATATATGAGGTGAGGTGGGCAAGACAGGCCGTGCTACCAGGCTCAGGAGACGAGCTCGTGCTGGCGTGCGTGGCGGCGCTCTCGGCGGACGAGTTCTGCCCACGCGGAGTCCGCTCTTTGCCCAGCTGGGCCGTGAGCTCGGCCTCGCGCTCAGCAAGCTTTTTCAAGTCGCTTGGGGCTTTGCGGCGCTCACGCAGAAAGGTGCACTGCTTCTTGGTGACGACACAGAGACGGCATGCCTCCCCCGCGCGAGGAATGTCGCACCTCTGTCGCCTCGAACGGCAGTTGTCGCACGGCCTGCTGTCAGCTCTGTATATATCGGCTGATGAGAAGGGCGCACCTGATCTTCTTGGAGCGGTACGAGCGGATGGAGGTTGAAGAGGTGGACGGGCCGGCCTGCGACGGCTGGCTGGCATGGCTCGATCCGAGCGAGGAGAGGCGCAGAGAATGAGAGTGGCTCGGGCCGGCGGTGTTCTGGGGCTCGTCTGTCATCGTTTGACAAGCATAGATAGCGCGTTACGCGATCTTCACAAGACGACGAAAGGATGTAGACTGGGCAGTGGACGGATTTTAGATGAGCGCTCGGAATCTGACGAAGAGCGGGGGATGGGGTATGAGCGCGGGTTGGTTTCACACCGTGAATATGTACAACACTATCCAGCGCTCGCAGCAGGTTCTCACTCGGCGTCGTCTTTTGCTTAAGCGCGAGACGAGGTCACTTGTACCGATCCTGGTCGATCCGCAGCCACTCGCATATCGTCGGTGTTCCGGTACGACGTAGGCCAGCATGGAAGACCTTGTCTTTGGCGAAGTACGCGAGGAGTTTGGCTCACCTGCCCCGCAGCAGCTTGCAGTTAATTGTGCCAACAAGAGCTGGAGCGGAACGCGTCTGCGCCAGCGGAGATATCAAAGACGTACATCCGCGAAGGATTCGGAAGTGGTGGGACGCCGAAGACGGGGGCCTTGTGCGGGCAAACTTACCCGCAACGCCCGTCAGGGATGCCGGTCACATGCCCGACTAACCTTGGGCCGTGTCAGTCGGAGCATGCATGTCGCCGCCGTTCTCTCGAGCGGGCCAAGGCATTTTGGATCAGCAGCCTGCTCGGACCGGTGTTTGCTGCGTTACCATATCGTGTCCGGTGACTTATGACCAGACTAGCGGCCCGAGCAGCTCTGTCGACTGTTCTGGCCGCCGAGCTCACTCTCCAACAGCTCACCGCTCGTTCAACACCCGCTCCGTCTGCGTCTCCGCGTTGGCTTCAGGACCTCGAGCCCACGCGTCCAAACCCTCTCCCTTTTTCTCGTCGCAGTTGGCGCCTCACCTCTCCATCTCCGCCTTAATCCGTGTCCGGTTCAAGGCGGCAACTGCCTTACTCTCCGTTTATCCACACTCCCAGGGGCGATGTGACCCACTCTCGTACGGACCTAAGCAGATCCGCACTGAGGCTTTTTTGGACATTCCCCTTCCGCATCCTGATTGCCAAGTTGTGGCGTGTGTTGGCAACGAGCGGTGTCTGAACATGCACGACGATGCACGCGCCCATTGTGTTACGCCGCTGACGTGGCGGCGTGGCACCGCCGCACTTGTCATCTCGGAATAAGGCTTGGGGGTAGCCCGATAAGTAAGCGAGCCAGTCGCTGCAACAAGCCGGATACGGTGGCGCGCTGCCAAGAGTCTCGTCTCTTATGCATCACGTATACACGGAGACTCCGGGGCGTGCGCAGCTGCAAGTCACCCGACCCCACGCCGCCGCCATCAGATGACACGTGTGCGGGGCTGTGGCACTGATTTGCCACTGAGGCCGTCGCACTTCGATGGCAGTGACTACAGCAGCGCGGGGTTACAGATGGTTTCGGTACGCCCATGATTTCGGACCATGTGGACAAGGCAGACGCTGTAAAACTGGCGAGCCAAGAGGCCGGATTTGTCACACGGCGGCGTACTCCGCCGAGCGGTGTTCCTCAGGTAAATTCCGCTGCCGCCGGCAGTGCCTATCCGCATCAATCTGTAAACTCCGACAATGCATCCCGACTCCTCACGGCCACGGAGCGCGGCGCCCTTTCACGCAGTCATGCTTAGGTTAGGGGACACTATTTCTATTGAGTCATTGTGTGTCTCACATTATGCGTGCCACGCCAATCATGCGAGTGTGGCACCACCTCCGCCTCATTCCGCTTCGCCGGCCCAGTTCTACCGGCCTTGTCCGGGCACATCATCTCCCCTGCTTGTCACGATGGCTGGCTGCCGTTTCACAGGCCAAGCACGCCGATAGCCTCTCCAAGCATTCCTAGCTCCACATCTTCTGGGCATCACGTGCCGCGTCGCTCACGGCTAAGGGCAAGGTGAGCGGACCAGGTGCACCGTCGTGTTGCCCCTGGACAGGGGTGGCATAGGATTTTTTGTATATGTATGCCCAAACGCGGGGTTGCGTGCCCGTGCCCGCTCTCTTGCTCGTCGCTGGAGCATCGGGGCAAGGCGGGACTCGCTGCTGGATGAAGCGACGTCGCCCTGCATCGCCCTTCACGAGTGGCGCCAACGCAGCGCCCCGAATAACGATGAATGCTGCTCGCCCTGTACATGTCCGTGGGATCGCACTATGTCTTCCGTGACTTGTGACGCCATGGGAATGTGCGTCTGCCACTTGCGCGCTAAATCCTCCAGTTTCGGAGGTTCAAGCGGCCATGGCCTTCGGGTAGTCACCGTTGTTGGTCGATCTCGGAGCGCGGGCCGATGGACGGAGGTATGCGCGGGACAAAGCGCAGCACTCGGAGGCTCGGCAGGGTCATGCTGCTGCGGCCTGCAGAGGGGAGGTGTTGTCAGATAGCCGGACATGCGAGTCGACGATCATGGTTGTGCGAAACAGAGCCGGGCCCCGCTTGCTGCAGTTTCCCGTCGAGTGTTGCCACACTCGGCTGAGTTCCTTACTGATTGACCGGGAGATGGGACCCGCACAACAACTGCAGAGAAGGGGGTTACTCGCAAAGGCACTCGCGAAGAACGATCCGGCAAGAGACGCACTTCCGTTGTCGACGCTTGTGAGCTGCAGAGGTAGTGAAGACGCTTGTCCTCCCCAAGGCCGTGAGGAGCTCGTCTAAAGGACCCACCGTTGCAAACAGATCGGCCGTGCGCGTCACGGTCCTCGGAAAGGTCAGCCACAATCAAGCCGTTTTAGAGCGCCCAAGTATCGTCCATCTTCGTCCATTATGGTCCTTTCTCCAATGGCCCCGCTTTATTCACGACGGTCTCAACACTTCGAACTCCATAATAATGCGGTACAACACAAAAGGAGGGCGAGCGTGGATGGGTACACGCAGCGAGTCGGACTTGTGAGTTTGTCGAGGAAACACTGCCCTCCCGCCATACTGTCCCCCGTTTTTATCTTGCCATCTACTGCTGGCGCGGTTCCCCACTCTCCTCCGCGTTCTCAGCAGGCTGGACATATTTAGGGGGTGCCACAACGATTGCACGGCATGGCTGTGTGAGGCAGCGACGGACGGGGCCGTGCGAGGTAGGTGGCGGTCGCAGCCACCAGTCCATACCGCCCAACTACGTCGTCGCGACCGCCACAAGTCCATGCCGCCCAACTCCGTCGTCGCAATGTGTTGAGTCATCACCATCGGAGCATACAGACACACTTTCGACGCATAGCACAGAACAGAGGATTATCCAATTTGTCGGTCGGACGCATGTTATCTCAACGACGCTCTCACGTCGTTCTCTCACAAGCGCACCAGCGGCAGGGCAGAGGCAGTATCCCACCTGCTCAGAGGACGAGCTCACCAATTTTGCACCTCAACAGCGAGCTGCAAGAGGTCCTCACAGCATTTGACTCGACGTGGATCAGTGCTGGAGGGACCCGTGTCTCGCGCTCAGGGCAAAGCTTACAACGTACCCGTTGACCTCGAGGTCTTCTCCACCTCCTCTCCATCCATCAAACTTCGACTTGCATTCATCTCCAGGCGGATGTGCCCCATTCCCACTGATATAGTCCGAAGGATTCGCACTAGAGGGCATCCACCGCGGAGAAGCTCGTCACGCCGAAACGATGCTGGAATTGATCACTTGATCATTCGCAACAGGAACGCGGCCACACAGATCATGCAGCGCGGAATCCATCCTCCGCCCAGAGGCGGCACCGCGCACGGCCGCGCCGCGCGGCGACTTACACAGTCTCGCACCCGCTCGGCTACCCCGTCAGCTCGCTCCGCACTCGTCTACTCGTCTACCCCGCACCTCGTCCCGCTCGTCTATTTCCGGCTCTGGACCCGGGCACCTTCCGGAGATTTCCGTGTTTGAGCCTATGTCCGCGTAGCACTGCCAGACCGCAGCCGCGGCCGGCGATAAACGCGGCGGCGGGCGCGCGGCGATGGCCGCGCACGCGCGCTCGTCTATCTCGCTCGACGAGTGCCACATTAGTGCGGAGATTGAGCGGCCGCCACGTCCGCTGCACGGATGTCGCGGACATCCTGCGGAATATCCGGGTGGGTGGACCTGGGTGAACGTGTGCCTGGGTGGGTGAGCGTGATTTTGAGCGTGGGCGAGGATCGACATGGCAGTTGAGAAGGTTGGCAAGAGCTTGGCGATCAGTGGCCAGCGAGCGCTCAGTGATCAGCAACCTCCGCTGAGAGAGCGGTTGTGCCCGGTAGTAAGCGTAAGGTCAGCCTGGTGTTGTTGCGAGGAGGAAGCGCGATGTACCCCATCACTGCGAGCCGAGGGCGAGGCGGCATCGGCGTAGGCGTGGGTGTGGGCGTAGGCGTGCTGCAAGACTCTCCGTGTAGCGTCGCCGAAACCACGTGGACGCGTGAGCGGCCGACACGTGGCCCGCACCCGCACTCCGCACTGCACTTGAAAGTTGCAGACGAAACAAATCCAGAGCGAGTGTGCCCAAACCCTGGCCCTGACCCAGTACTTGCGGCCTAGCGGGGCGGGAGGGCGGAATTCATCCGATGATGTTGGAGATGGCACGAGAGATTAGAGTTTGGGCATGGCGGTGGGATGGACTCGGGTGGGAGTGAGGAGGAGAAAGAGCAATCATGAGACTGGGCGCCGGGGACGCGAGGCGCTGGGCATGATCTGGATGCTGGATGCTCCAATTTGCGGGATTGTTTGTATTCTGCCCTCGTTGCCCTTGTGGCCTTGTGGCCTTCTGGCCGTTCTGCCCCAGGGCATGCAGGCACCAGTTAGCGGGGCGAGTGAATCTTAAACTCAGCGCCGCCACCGACGAATGGTAGCAGGCACGGAATGTCCTGAGGGCTTGTGCCGTGCCTGGCTTCCGTGGGCGGAAGGTATGGGGCGTCGTGGGGCGCAGGGCGCAGGGCGCAGGGCACAGCAGCGTTAATCCACTGCTGACCATCCGTGGCGTCGCGCCGCCCTGGGGTATTCATCCCGGGAGCGCAGCGGTTTCAAGTACAAGTCTGTATGTGTGTCTGTAGTGTGGCAGTCGACAACGCCCGGCGATTGCCAGTGTGCACAGCCCCGGATATGTAACGCACAGTCGCAATACCGATCGTGGAAGAAATGGGCGTGGGGTGGGGGACCGCAGTGGTAGGCGCAAGAGGTTATGGGTTTGGACCTCGCCAGCGACTGGATGCTCGCGCGACGAACGTGGAATGCGTGGGAATGGCATGCAGAATACAGTACATGCACCAAGAGCACAATGCTTTTGGCTCACACACACATGGTGATCAACTCGGTCCCAAAACCCGTGCCGTGCCAGCGTGCCAGACTCCCGGGACACTGAACCTTGTGCTTGCCGCGGACCGAGCAGTATGAGACTGGCCCGCGTCGAGGTCCAGTGTCTCGTGAGAGCTCCGGGTCGCCGGGGGGCTTGATCGCCTGCGGTCGCAGGACAAGGGGAAGGGACATGCATGAAAGGGTGTGGTGGGAGATAAGGAGTGCGACGCCTACTCGCGTTTCAGCGACGCTCGAGCTTGCCCGGCTCGTCCAGAGTGTCGGCCCCCCCCCCCCGCCCCCCGCTGCCCGCATGCCGAGAGGCACAGATCAACTTGATCTTTTGGGGCGGGGGGACGCGGATGCCGCCCTGGCACTTTGTAGCTTGGATTCTCGACTGCTAGGAACGCGCTGGGCTCGTGGTTACCCGCGGCGTGATCGAGTGGTGCGGCCCAGAATGGTGCGTTGGACACTGTTACACGAATCGCAGATGCGAAGCGAGACATTCCTCCTCATGGTCCACATGGCCGAGTATTTGCGCAAGCTGGCGCTGCAGGTGGCCTAATGGCCTAATGGCCATATGGCCAGCATGGTCGATGTGGAAGAGCTACTTGGTAGGTTGCACGTCGGATCCGATACTTGAAGTGGGAGGGGAACCCGGGGATCCAGCATGACGGCAACGAGTAAACTGGCAGGGTCTGGTTCCAGGAGCGGCGCGCACCGCAGATCGTTTCGACGATCGTTTTGCCCTGGGCGGCATGGCCGAATCCCCTGAGCCCACGTTTGCTCGAGGTGGGCAGGGTGGGCATGGTGGGATGGAGAAAGGCGAGAGGCAATAAAGTGCGGCAAGTCAGGGGGGTGGTGACGGGTGCTGGGTCTGAGATCTGGGAGCCGCTCGCTTCACCCAGAGGCCAGGTCTCCCTCCGGGCCCGAAGTCGACGGGGACCCGTAGAAGTAAAGTTTTGCGAGTTTTTGGGACACGGGGCAGGGACATGGGATGTTGGAATAAGCTTTGCCCTTCAGCCACGCGACCGGGTGCCACGGCCCTGGGTATGGCCTGCTTAACGTTAGATCTGGGACTGCTTGGGAGCTTGGGAGCTTGAGAGTCGCCACCGGCGCTTCCCCTTGGCCGGGACTCCCGTAGGGCATGGTACACTTCTGCCTTCATGTTATATAACGTTAGGAAGCAAGGGGGATGTGGGTGGGGATGAGTCGCAGGCCGCTCGGCAGGTGGACAAGGCACAGAGGAGGAGACGCACGCATGGCGCGCACGGCTGCAGAGCTTTTTGCTTTGAGCTGTTCCAGCCGCCGAGTGCATGTGAAAAGCGTTGGGCCCGAAAGAGACTCGGCTGGTGGCTGGAACGCGTGGACAGCCTTGCCGACTCCCTGGGTCGTGGTTCGCATGGTTCGGGGCCTGTCACGATGTGGGTGGGTGCACGGTGTGTCCTGCAGAGTGAGGTGAGTGGAGCCCTGTGTCTGTGTCATGGACCATGACTATGCTGGGGCTGAGGCTGATGAGGCATGACAGAGGATGAATGGAGCGAGACGAGGAGCTATGAAGCAATGGCGGAGCTATGGGATGGATAGATTCATTCCACGCAGGAGAAAAGAGAGAAAGAGAGAGAGGTTTCCAGGTTTCCACGGCAAACACTTGGCCAGGGGGCCAGGGGGCAGGGGCTAGGGGGGCTTTGGCAGAAGGTAGACGACGAGAGAACAGAGGAGGGGCGCAAGGGCCCAGACTTGCATCACGTTTACTTGAACTCTATTTTATTCTCAGCCTCGAGACCCTGTCTGCTTCCTGCACAATGCATTGAGCTTAACCGGAATCGAATAGCCCCGTTGTTCTGGTGGAATCAATTCTAATAGCCTTCAATAGGTTTTTCGTTAGGCCATTAGCAATGGAGTGTCCCGGCTCAGGCCCTGAAGAGTGGATGTATCCTTGTCGGAGGTTCGGAGGTTGCTCTCCGTCTCTCTCGGCTGATTCTCCCTGACGGTGCCTAGCAAACCTCTGTTGAATCTCCTGAATCCCCTCTTTTGCTTGATCCACTTTGGTCCGCCCATTCCCTACGATCCCCCTGAACGGTAGCTCTCGGACCAACTTCCGCTGTCCTTCCCCCCCTTGCCCCCCTCTCTCGCTTCTTCCAGCGCGCACCCAGCGGCTCCCTTCGGTGTTGCGCGCATCCCCCTTGCGCCCTTGCGCCCTTGCGCCCCGTGTGTGTGTGTGTGTGTGTTCTTTGGCCCGACCGGGTTGAAGGAAGAACCCTGAGGTAACTCGCCTTGGTTTGGGGCCTTTTTTGGGAGCTGGATGAAGCCCTTGGTGTGTTGCCTGCCCCTGGTCCCTTGGATTCTCTCGAGTGTTCCGCTGTGTAGCGTCAACAGCCGCAGCCGCCGCCGCCGCCGCACCAAGATCTAGATGGTACCTCTCAATCGACTCTTCGACAGTTCTCGTCGTCTCGTCTCTTGTCATCCTCCCATCCCCATCCTCTCGTCGCCCTCCTCCTCCTCCTCTCTCTGCCCCCGGCTTCCCGTCTACACCCAGACTACACACTCATCTTTACACACATCCATTCTCTCCCTTCTTCTTTCATTTCTCTCTCTCTCTCTCTCTATCTCTCTCTCTCTCTCTATCTCTCTCACCTTTCGCTCTCTCACTCGCCCACACCTCAAACAAACAACACCTATTACACCTCACCACTACTCTCCAGCCATATAACCCCACGCCCCACCCACCACCGTCATCCACAACCGCCCAGAACGCTATCGCACTCTCAAGCCCCGCCTTTGCACCACACTGCTAGTCCCCTGCACACAAGCTCACGCTTCTGGGTCTCTCGCGCCACCACCACACTCCACCCCTTCAACCTGACACACTGACGCACCCAACGCCTCGGCGGCACAGTACCAAACCACACGATCCACCCAAACCCAAACCCAATCCCAATCCAATCCCAGTTGACCCGTTTAACCCCTGCAAGGCGTCGGCACGACTCTAGAACCACTGGATCCCACCGATCCTACCCTCAACAGCGCATTCCCCACTCAATACCTTATTTCCCCCTCCTGGCCTCCCTCTCCCCTCTCCCCCCCTCCCATCCTCCATCCCACCTTGCCACAGCACTTGGCACCACCACGGCCTCAAATCATACTCCTTTCTCAAAGACCATCATCAACAACATACCATTGCTCTCTCTCACTCACCAGTATAGTCTGTGCACTGGTTGCGCAACTCGACTCCGGCAACTCATTAGAGTGACGTACTGCCGAATCGGTGACTCTGTAAGTTTGTCTCTCTTCCGTGCCCTCCCGGGATTTGGGCATTGATCTGCTGCGCGCGTCGCGGACTCTTGACCTCGACAATCGACAATCATGCTTGATGGTCTCTCCCCGCTGGTCTCTTTTCGGTCACCTTTAGGTTAAGGGGATCCGGGCCAAGATCAGACGGCCTGTGCTAGCTTGCACTTGACTCCACCGTTGTCCACACGCGCACTTCCATCCGCGCGCACAACTACGCATGGGAGCGCGGGACTCTGGTGCTCTTCTTTCCCCCCCCCCTTCCCGCACCACTCATCTGGGGTGGCACACACACACACACACACACATACGCGCGTGCACCTCAAACTCCCACGCCTCTACCCAACGCATCGCCTCGACGCCGCTCGTCATGTCGTTTCACTCCTTTGCTGACAACCCGCAGTTATAACAAGCCACCGAATTATAACTCAACTAACACACTCAATTCCATTCCCTCCCCCCCTCTTTCATCATGTCTGTCGCTCTTCGCCCCCCTCCATCCCAAGCATCCCCTCGGTCACGTCCCGCCGACATGGATCGTGAACGCGAACGTGACCGCGATGGCGACCATCATACTATCCCCCGTCGTGCTCAGCCCACTCAGCCTGCATCCCGAAGGCAACCAACGTCGCCTGCGGCACGGTCCCCCGTCGACCGCGCATCGCCCACGTCCAAGGAGAAGCGGGGGAGTATCAGCTCGAGCGCAGGGTCAAGTCCTGCCGAGCCCGTTGACAAGGGCAAGCAGCCCAGCAAGAGCGGCGGCAGCGGGAGTGGAAGCGCCGACAACAAATGGGTCGAGAGCGTCGACTACGCGTACGAATATGTTCCGGTCACGCAGAAGCGTGAGGGGCGCAAAAACATGTGAGTTGTTGCGAGTGTGGATCGAGTGGAGAGATATCATGTTCCGACGTCATGATGGGCATCATTGCGGATGCTGGAGATCATGGGTCCATTTGCAGCCCCGGTGTGCTAGTGTGACCAGAGTGGACGTGTACAACAAATGTCTTGGCCCCTCCTCTCCCCCGGCCCCGGGGATACGCCCAGACAACACACACACGCGACACACCAGACGCCAGGGCGCTGCTGCGAATGACGAGTTTGGGAGGCGCATCCGAGAATCATGCTGACACTGCCACCCCTTGATCGACATTCCCATATTGCTTCCATCATCACCTTCTCTGATTCTCTCGCTTCCGCATCGAAACAGTCAATACGAATTGATCATGCGTCAAGAGCCACAGCAGGCCCGCATGTGTGGCGTCGGAGAGAAGTGTAAGTCGCCTTCGGGCCACACAGCATATGCTTCCAGGAAGTCTTCTCACAGACAGCGGATCGCAGGCCCGTCGACCCCACCCCTATCATCCAGCTCAAAGTCAAGACGGACAAGGGCGAGGAGATTACGCCCTTGGGCAATGACGGCAAGGGCAGAAGCAACGGACAGCTGTATATGCAGAGTGAGTCGGCGGCCCTCACGCTCCCAACCAAGGTGGTACGCACCCTGTCTAACATCCTCCAGACCCATACTACTTCCTCTTTGCATGCCTCGTGGGCGGCGACGATCAAGACTCTGAATTGCACGTCATTGACGATGGTCGCACTCGTTTCCTCACGGGCACCCCCGTTTCCTCCCTCTACCACCTCAAAGACATCGACAACAAGGACGCTGCATTCTTTGTCTTTCCCGACCTGGGTGTACGCAAGGAGGGGAGGTACAAGCTCAAGCTCACGCTATTCGAGATCGTCGAGTGGGTATACTTTGCAGGTACAAGCTGACATTCCCTAGCCAAGAAGTATATTATTGCACGACGGTTCACACTCAAACCTTCTCGGTCTATTCGGCCAAGAAGTTCCCAGGCATGCAGAGTACGTTACATACGTCCCCAATACTCTTGAAATCGGTTTGCTGACCTTGGCGCAGAGGCGACAGAGCTCTCCAGAGTGTTCGCGGAGCAGGGCCTGAAGATCCGTGTTCGTAAAGACCCACGCCCCGCAGGGCGAAACAAGCCTGGCGGCAAACGGCCAAAGAGTGCAGGAATGTCGGATGACGAGGACCCGTACAACCAGAAGCGCCATCGCCCGGGAAGCCAGCCTGCCTACGGCCACCTCGGACTTGAAGGTCCACGCTATCCCCACGATCCTCCGTACGCGAGTTACCCTCCCCCTCCTAACGGTGGTTACTATAACCAGTACGGCCACGGCGGAGGTGGTGGTCCCATGCCGCCCCCGCCTCCTCCGCCCGCATTCGATGGATACAGGCCTGGATCATCCGGGGGTCCACCTCCCCCTCCACACCATATGCCCCCGGGCGCGCCTCCTCCTCCGCCCAGCGCGTATCCCGGTCCTTCGTACTCGGCGTACCCGCCGCCAAACTACCCGCAAGGCTACCAGAGGCAGGGCGGCCGTCATTCCCTCCCTCCTGGCTACCCTCCTGACGCAGCTTACGGTAATTACCCGCCCGGACCACCTCCGCCGAATGCTGCGCCATACGACCCTCGCTGGGCCGACCGTGACCCGCGCGAAACCCCTCCTCGCCACCGCGATCCCCGCGAGGAAATGCGCGACCCCCGTGAGATGCGCGACCCCCGGGAAATGCGCGACCCTCGAGAGATGTCTGTTCCCCGAGACCCCCGCGAGATGTCTGTTCCCCGGGACCCACGCGAAATGTCGGTTCCTCGCGGGGATCCTCGGGAGCTGAGCGTGCCTCCTCGCGATTTACCACCCCACGACCCGCGCGACATGCCCCCTCGCGACCCTCGCGACCCTCGCGACCTTCCTCCTCGCGACCCCCGGGAACTGCCTCCGCGCGATCATCGCGAGCTGCCGCCGCGCGATTATCGCGACCCGCGCGAGATGTATGCGCTCGAGATGCGCGACCACCGCGTCGACCCGCGAGCGGATCCACGCTACGACCCCCGCGTCGACCCCCGCCTTGACCCTCGTGACCCGCGCGTCGACCATCGCGTCGACCCTCGCGATCCTCGCGTGGACCCCCGTGCTGATCCCCGTGTCGATCCTCGCGCTCACCCGCGCTTTGACCCACGCGCGGACCCGCGCATGGACCCCCGCGGAGACCCCCGGCTGGACCACCCTCCGCGCGGCCTCGACCCCCGGGACCCCTACTACCGGGGGCCCGAGTATGACCACCCGCCTCGCAGTGCAGGCTCGATCGTGCCGGCCCACCAGCCGCCTATCGACCGGCATAGACCCACGACGGCGCCCGTCCCCCGCGAGCACCAATACCACCACGCGCACCGCCCGCCCCCGCCGCAGCGCCTGCCGTCCATGTCGTCGCGCGTCGACGCGCCCCCCACGCTCGGGGCGTACCGCGACCCGCGCGAGCGGGACGACGCGTCGCGCCCCGGATCCGGCTGGAGCCAAGACTCGCGCCGCTCGCACTCGTACCGCTCCGAGCGGCCGGGCACGCCCGACGCCAAGCCCACGGGCCGCATGGGTCTCGGCCACCTCGTCGACTAAGCACGATCAGCATAACGCGCCGCCATGTATATCTGTAGCCCGCGGCTTCGACACTCCGCATATGTATCTTTTCGAGCGCATACAGCCGGATCGATATCTTGGTGCTCACGGCAGATGGCTTCACCCTGGCGTCTGGCGTGAGGCACATGCCGGAACGTCCTGGTGCCTCGTGCCGCCGTGCCAGTTCCTGGCTCGCGGCTCAAGCTTCAAACTCTGGTTCCTAGGCCCCCACCCGGCGGTCTGGGTCGTGATGGAGTATGATTGAGCGGTGCGCCTGGGTCGCCTGGTGACGGTGAGTTACGTGACGGTGGAGAGACAGGCCGAGAGAGCGGAGGGTGCTCGCTTAGATGAGCGATCGGTGGTGGGGGTGAGAGTGTGGAGGAGGGGAGGTGGAGTGGATGATCACGATGGATGTGAGAACTCGTAGCTGGACGAGGTGTGCGACGGACAAGGGCAATGTGCCATAGAGGACACCATGGAAGAGGACAGGTGCCATGGACGAGGACAGATGCCATGGAAGAGGACAGGTGCCATGGAAGAGGACACGGATGGTCCGTTTATTGGAGTGACCGTCTGGAGCGCGGAGAGGGAATACCAACCGCAGCGTGCCGGGCGGCGAGGTCACAGTTGCAAAATGGCTGTGGCTGATCGAGGACAGAGGACAGATTGTCGGACATGATGGACGCCACACTTCGGTAGCATTCGCCCTTTCCCCGACGATTGCTTCAAGACTTGGAAAGTGCACAGCGCGCGCGGCCATGAAAACGCAATACTCAACAACCTAGTATACATCATCCTATCTCTGAGTGTAGTCCGCTCGGACGCCGGACGGGCAGCGCGCGATCAGCGATGCCACGGATACACCCCGCCGCTCTCAAAGTGGCGCATCGCCGGCGCGGGGACGAGGAGGTAGCGCCACCCCTCGGGCTCTTTCGGACACTCGACGTCCGGCCACTTGGGGTATGCGAACGCGCTGTCGTCGGGGGGCGGCAGCCACGCGGCGCGGCTGCGGCCGTACATGCTCTGCCACGCTTCCCACTTGCGCTTGGTGCTTTCGTCTTCGCGGTCTTGCTTGGCCTCGGCGATTTGGGGGAGGAAGAAGGCGGCGTGCGCGCGCGTGTCCCAGTCCGCCCAGCGCGAGCCGTCCGCGATCTTGGTGATCTCGCCGCCGAGGTCGGCGAGCACGGAGAACGGCATCGCCGGGATGAGTTTGAGGGCCTGGCGTCAGTGTCGGCACTGAAGAGGTCAGTGGGAGGACGCGGACGACGCGCTGTGGAGGAAGATAAATAATTGATACGCAGGGGGCGCAAGGGCTGGCGAGAGATGTTATGCTTCTCAGCGACTCGATGTGTATACAGGGTGAGGAAGATGAAGGGCGCAAGGAAAGTGGAGGTGAGATTGATGAGGGCTGCGCAAAAGGCGCACAGAGATGCCAAGTTCGCCGCCCATGCCTCCCATCCCGTGCACCGGCCCGTAGATCGTAGATCATGACTCACCCGAGCGGCACATTCCCCGCCGGTGCCGAGACGCTCCTTGAGGACGGCGACGACTGCCGCGCAGCGTTCGCTGGGGTCAGTGCTGCGGCGGGCGACGTACGGCTGGGAGGTGAGGTGGTCGATGGTCGCAAGGTCTGCGGGCGAGGGCCACGCTCCCCACGGGTGCGTTATCGATTCAGTGAACGCGCGCGCGTAGTCGGCATCCTCGGCCTGGAGATTGATCGTCGTCGGATAGTAGTCGGTTACTGCTGTGGTGTGGCAGGTCGTTTGGCCGTACGGATAGCCGTACGGGTAGCCGTAGGGGCAGTGGGGCGGAAAGCGCATGTCGTAGCTGTAGGGAAAGAAGAACGGGGGGCAGCAGAGCATCGAAGGCGCTCTTATGCGCGTGTGCTGGTCAGGAGGGGAGGGGTCGGGACAGTGGGACGGAGGACGTTGCCGGTGCTTAAATCTTGGGTGAGATAGTGTCGATGAGAGCGAGATGGAGCGAGAGAGCGAGGACAAGCCACGGAGTCTGCGAAGAAAGGAGGCGCTGGGCGGGATGCGGTGGCGACTCTCGTGCGAGCGAGGGGGTGGCGGAGGGTGAGGCAACTGACGCGGCGGCGCAGAGTGAGAGTGTGACTGGGTGGGTGACTCGCGGAAGCTGTCAGTGCACTGCCGATAGCGGTGTACGTGTCGAGTCGGCAGCAGATGAAGGGGCGTGAGTGTCGAGCAGCCGGCAGACGCCGACAAGATAGCGCAATGTAATGGGCGAAGGGTGATGGACGATGAACAGTGGACAACGATTGATCACACCGCCCCCGCTTCCCGGCTCTCTGAACGGCGTGGGCCTTGGCCGGCCTGGGGTCGTAAGAGGTGACGGGAGTGATGGCAGTTTTGTCCGATGCCGCCACCCTGCTTCTCCTGTATAGATTGTGCGCACGGCCACGGCCTTCGGTGCACGCAACTGGTGCGTCGCGTGCATGGGACATGGGGTGTATGGGGTGTATGGGATGCATGGCAGGCATGGGCGTGTTGGACGCCGCCCTTTCACTCTGTCACTGTTCAGCTGCTGCTCACGGCCTCAGTGCGAGTGACGCTTTCGGCGTTCGCACCGACTGCGTGGTGTGCACTGACAACGACGAAACGAGCAGGTGCAGGCATGGGCGGCATGGATGGCACGGGTGGCACACGGGTGGCATGGACGTGGGGTGCGATGAAGCGCGAGCGATGCCGAGTGGGACGGAAGAGGGTCGAGAGCGGTGCGTGCGCCACGCCTCGTGCGCATTGTAGCCAAGCCGCTGAGCGGTACGAGCTTGTCAACGATGCCTTGGGTGCATGGTGCGCCAGGGTGGCGCTTGGACCTCGAGCGGGAGCTGAACCTGCGATCTGGGGCGATTCCTTGATGTGATCTACTCAATGAGTTCAGCAGTTTAGTGTCATCAGTGGCTCGGTGGCCTCAGTGGTCTCAGCGGCACTGGTGGGCATAAAAGTCGAGTGTTCGGTTGGGCAGTTGGGCAGTTGGGCAGTTGGGCAGTTGGGCAGTTGGGCAGTTGGGCAGTTGGGCAGTTGGACAAGAGACATGAAGCAGAGTTCGTTTGACGATCACATCGGAGGACACGAGAGATTGGAAACTCGCTCCCTCCACCGGGTCCCCGCCGGCGCGTCCGGGCCGCGGCTAGTGGGCGGCAATGGCCGGATTAATTAATATAAAGTATTCAAAATAAAAAGCGGAGAGGTGGGGAGTCACTCACCATGTGGAATGCAAGGCGGACCCCACGTGCCGCTCACCCCGTTCAATACAGTGTGGGGTGAGGGAAGGAAGCAAATGACGACCAATTCCACCCAAGCGGCAGTTGACGGTCGCCCGTCGCCCGTGCCGCAATTTGCCCCCCTTCCCTCACCCCCCACGCCCACCGCACATCGTCACCCCCCCAGCACTCGGCGTGCACAATCAATCCTCTCCTCTTCAACCACATCGCCATCACTCTCTCCTACCCACTCTCCATCACACCTCTCCTCTCTCTCTCCAGCGTGATGCTCACAGCACTCCGCGCAGCCCGCGCCCCGCGCGCCCTCGTGAGTCTCAATGCATGCCACAGCATCGCCCCGCACCCATTGGCCGCCATTGCCGCCGGCAGTTGCCCTCGAGATTGCGTCGGCCTCGCGATGAACAGCAAACCTTGCCCAGTCACAACGAACACTCCACTGACTTCAGCCCCGCGTCGCAACGCTCGCCCGCTACGTACAGACGGCAGCGGACAAGTCGGTGCCGCACGATGATGTCCCAGAGAAGGGTCACCAGGACGTAAGTCTTCGGAGGCTTGATTGAGAGCTGACAGCCAGTTCAAGATCCGCCTTCACGAGGACACCTTCCAGGGCTACCTCTGCGACCCGCCTGAGGCCTTTGTTGAGACCAACAAGGACGAGCTCATCCAGATGTACGACCAGATGGTGAGTGGCGACGCCGTGGCGTGCACGTGCGACGACCTCGGCCATCGGACCGAGGGCGTTGACACTCCTCGAGCTCAGAGCTGATCTCAGACCACCATGCGCCGCATGGAGCAGGCCGCCGACGCGTTGTACAAGCAGAAGCTGATCCGCGGCTTCTGCCACCTTGCTATCGGACAGGAGGCCGTGTCGATCGGCATGGAGCACGCGATCACGCCCGAGGACAAGGTCATCACCTCTTACCGATGCCACACCTTTGCCGTGCTGCGCGGGGGTACGATCAAGGGCGTGTTGGCCGAGCTTATGGGCCGCGAGGCGGGCATGTCGCACGGCAAGGGCGGCTCGATGCACATCTTCACGCCTTCCTTCTTTGGCGGCAACGGTATCGTCGGTGCCCAGGTGCCTCTGGGCGCGGGCATTGCCTTTGCGCAGAAGTACCTCAAGAAGCCGCAGGTGACATTTGCGCTGTACGGTGACGGTGCGTCGAACCAGGGCCAGGTGTTTGAGGCGTTCAACATGGCCAAGCTGTGGAACATCCCATGCGTCTTCGTCTGCGAGAACAACAAGTACGGCATGGGCACGTCGGCGGAGCGGTCGTCGCAGAACACGTCGTACTTCACTCGTGGCGACAAGATCCCCGGTATCGAGGTCAACGGAATGGACGTGCTTGCCGTCAAGAAGGCGTGCGAGTGGGCCAAGGACTGGACTGTTTCGGGCAAGGGCCCGCTCCTCATCGAGTTCGTGACGTACCGCTACGGTGGCCACTCGATGTCCGACCCCGGCACGACGTACCGCACGCGTGACGAGGTGCAGCAGATGCGCAGCGCACACGACCCCATCGCCGGCCTCAAGCGTTACATCCTCGACTGGGGAGTGGCGTCTGAGGACGACCTCAAGGCGATCGACAAGCGCGCCAAGGACACTGTCAACGAGGCGGTTGAAGAGGCCAAGAAGTCGCCCATGCCTGGTCTTCACGAGTTCTGGACCGACATCTACTACAAGGGCACGGAGCCGCCCTTCATGCGTGGTCGCACCAAGGACGAGATCCACGAGTACCAGGCGTCTCAGTGATTGGGCTTTGGGGTCTCACGCCTGGCTGGATACACGGGCGCCAAGGCCTCGAAGGCTTTCCCCTGGGAGTAGATCGCTGATGTGGTAGAGATGATGCATGTACTGTTACAGCGTGGCGAGTCTGACGAGGGCGAGTGCGAGAGGGAAGTGGATACCACCTCGACAGCAGTTGATCCGCTGATAATGGGTCATGCGGTCGACGCCTGACTTGCGAGGAGGAGGGGCTCTGGATCCCCGTGACTCGCCGGGAGCCTGCACGGTATCCTAACGAGCATGGCACAGACACGACCGAGAGAGTGACGCCAACAGCTGTGCAAGGACGCAAACGACGGAACCCTAAGGTTAAAATCGGCAAAAGATAAGCCTCGTGTGGGGCTCGAACCCACGACCGAATGATCAACCGGACAAAGTCCACATTAAGAGTCATTTAATCTACCGACTGATATAACGAGGCAGCTAAGGAAGATTGATGAGAAACGGATCGGCGCTAAACATAGATCGGCGCAAGCAGGATCCGCCGCATCTCCTTCGTGTCGACCCGTACGCATATACGCATAAAACTCTGACCGCAGGGAGAGCGGCAGTATGGCATGTACATCTGAAGTCTGACCCGGGGATCAGCGAGGCAGGCTGTTCAGTTCTTCCCTCATGCCCTCAGGCCCTCAGGCCCTCGGCGAGCGTCATCTCGAGATCCCGAGTCCAGAGTGGGGTGTTCGGATCCACGGCATCGATCGACGATCGACCACGGACCTCTAGATGGGATCTAGCTCATGCCACTGATGTACCCGGGACCGTGGCGGGGTGAGCTTTCCTACCTATCGACATCGGTGATGGTGAGCTTGGAGTTGAGCTTGCAGTCACCTCGTCGAGCTGTCGCGGCAAAATCTGGTTCAACAGAGAAACCGCAATTCGTATTGACGGGGGATCCGGCGAGTGAGTCTATCGCCAGCGTCATAGTTATAGTCAGCAAAGGTCAGCGGATGCGGAGTGGATCGCAGGATCGCAGGATCGCAGGATCGCTGGACAATCGGCGGCTCGGCATAGGGCCGCACCGAGTTATCTCCCTGGCAACGGCCGCGAGGCATAGAATGTGAGCAGCCAAGACCGCGAGAAACAGGCTGGACCGACTCGTGCGGCGAGTTTGGCATACATTGCAGCTCCGGGCATTTGGCAGGAGGCAGCAGGAGGCAGCTGGAGGAGGCACCCGGTGGCCGATATCGGCGGAAGCTACAGAGCCAAGAGGACACGGAGGCGTAGTCAAGCGACGCTGTGGCTGACTGCTGGCGGACGCCGGGTCGGTGTCTGCAGCGATACATGGGATATGAGATTGTACCATGTTGCACCATCTAGGCACCTTACGGCAGAATGTTCGCCATGTTCCAAACGCCTGCGATGATGGAAGCGGGGGGTGCATGGTGGTGGGGGTGATGATGATGAGGATGATGATGAGATGAGGAGAACATGAGGTGCACAGTATCATGACGCCCAAGGTTGTGGAGTCGAGGTCGATGACAACGACGGAGGCGGTGGCGACGCCAAGGCCTTCTCTTGCAGAGGCACAGGAGATCAGGGGATTTGTGGGGGAAGGGGTTTCGCAGGGCGAGACGCCGTTCCTGGCCCGGCGACAAGCCAAGCATCCGAGTTCGAGTGGTCCCTCGTACGAGGCGAGGTCCGCCGCCACTGCACGTCGGCTCACGGCCCATGGCCCATGTTCCCGCCCAAACCCACAAGTGATCCGGTGAGGCGGATATGGGTGCAGTGCATGTGCAAACTAATTGAGAGCCTTGACTCATCAATCGGGCGGGCGGCGGCGGGCCAAGCGGCGGGTCAAGCGGCAGGCCAGCAACTCGTCAGGCCGAGGTCCCTGCGTGTGTCTTGATCCTGAAGGTGGCCATCGTTCCATCCACCCTCCTCGTTGCGCGGCTGACGCCATACGCCATAGCGAGCCGCGCTGCCATGGTGGCATGACTATACAGTATGCCTCGATACACAAGCGGTCGCCGAGTCGCCGGGGTCGTTGCATAAATGCACGCAGCGCTCCCATGCATACGGGTTGCTCTTTCGCCACCATCACCATCCCAACCGCCACTGCAACGCTCACACGCTCACAGCCTCGCGACATTAGCAAATTTCCTAATCTCGTCTCGTCCCATCCTGACAATCTGCCCATCAGTCGGGGGATCATTCAGGGTCGTTAATTGCGCCCCAAAGGAATGGGGAAGACGCGCCTCGAAAGCCACGCGCTCCCCACTCAGACCCTTAGCCTCGGTTTCCTATAGCCCCCCCCCTTCAATAGCCCCTGCGCAGCAGCAGCCCTAATTGTGAACTCGCGCAAATCAAATTAATTAGAAAGAATGACTAGGAACGGCGTGTTCCCCAATACAAGTGTGTATAATCACCACCACTCTGGGCATCTCTCGCGATCAGCCTCTTTGCCCCCGGCGCCTGCACCCACCCCATCCACGCGTTCAGCCCAACCATTCTCTCCCATCCATCCTTCCCCTCTTCGCTCCTCCGACTCTGAGCATTCATCTTGCTCTGGCGACTCGACGCCGACCCCTCGCTCTTTCGACAGTGCAAGCAGCGGCACTGACTCTGACGACTCGACAAGCAGCGCCAGCGCCAGCGGCCAATCTTCCCCAACGTCTTGCGCGCGCCGTAAGCTTTTGGAAAAAGTCCACTACCACCAACACCACCACTCGCCATCGTCCGATCGTCAACACCTCCCTTTTGCTCCATCTGCATCTACTGCGAGTCGTACCACTGCTCACGTCCACCCTCATAGCGACGCCCCGCCAGTCTTCTTCTCTCCCAGCGGTGGCCACTTTCTCTACGCGCTCCCATTTGCCATCCCCCATTCTTACCCCTCCTTCCATCCGTGTCCCACCAGGGCCTCTAGGACCCGTCGCTATCTGGGCATGATACGTTCAACCGTACGCTCGGCGCTTGTCGGGCTCTCGACCATCTGCGCCTCGGCGCCCATCGAGGTCGTCACCGCCACCTTTGTTATCGTTACCCTCATATACTTCCAGCTCCTCCAGGCCATCCGCGGTTCTGATTTGTGAGTATCACTCCCCCCTTTCCCGGTCCCAAAACGCGTCCCACCCGAACCAAGTGATTTGATCGGCCATCCCCGCCAACCGCAACCGCAATCGCCCCCCCCCCCCCCCCCCCTCACCTGCACGCTTAGCGAGACATGCTCCAAAAGTGCAAAGAATATTTCTGACAACCGCAGTTTCAACCTTCCCGTCGCCGCGCCGCCCACGCGCCCCGTCCACCTTGCGCGTCTTGCCAACGGCCTTCCTGCCGATGGTACGACTGCCCACTTTGGCCGTGCAGAATATGCGCACACGCCCCTGTGGTCGCGCTCAAATCAGCACTGGTCGCCCCTCTCTGCTGCCGACTTCCAGAGCGCGATCAAGATTAATGCGCTAGAGGGTGGCTACATTATTCCCAAGGAGGAGGGAGGCAACAAGGCTGGTGAATGCGCGTCGATCGCCATCGTCAAGCCCTTTGCTGTGCTGCGTGAGGATGGCTCAGATGCGGCTGCAGAGGAGTGGCGTCAGTGGCTCCTCAAGGACCTGGCTGTTACTGTCCGCGACAAGACGTACACGTACGCCGACCTGTGTTACGGTGCCAACTGCGCGGGCGCAGCTGCGCCCAAGCTAGAGGCGCACCCCCTGCACTCGGACCAGATGACGCTCAACCTCGTCCTCCGCGCACCAGCCCCCGGCACCCCGACCATGACCTACCTTGAGCGTCTTGCTCGCCTTCCCACTTTCACCGCCCCCAGCACCAACACGACTGTCCGCGTTCTTCCTCCCGCCACTGAGCCTCCCCGATGGGCTCTTCTGCCTAACATTGACGGTGGCGGTCTCTTCTCGGGCCTTGCCGAAAAGCGTGGTGCCGACGCCGCGGACCAGATTACGGTCATTCGCAACGTGCGCTGGTTTGCCTACGCTGTCCGTGCGCTCGTGCTTCGCTTCTACACGCTTGCCAAGGTGAGTCGCTCTCGCATTCCCATAAGACGTCAAATGAGACCGAGCTGACCTCTTTAGAACGCCGACTCGGCCGACGTTTTCGTCGTTCTCCTCGGCTACGTGCTCATGCACGCGTCCTTCGTCAAGCTCTTCATGAACATGCGCAAGCTCGGTTCCCACTTCTGGCTCGGTGAGTGCACGTAATGGATGCCCCGTTACCGGATCTTGGAGGGACGCGCCACGTGTGGTGGCGCGACCCCCGCATTCCGCACGCGACTCCGGCCTCCGTTTCGCGTCGCATTGTTCTAACGTGCCAGCTCTTGCTACGCTCGTGTCATCCACTTTTGCCTTTGTTACTGCCGTTTTCTGCGCGTACATTTTCAACGTCCCTGTCGACCCTATTGGTCTCTCCGAGGCAATTCCCTTCCTCGTAATCACCGTCGGCTTTGACAAGCCTTTCCGCCTGGCGCGCGCCATCTTTGAGAGCCCCGACATTGCCCCCGTTGCCGCCTCGCCTGACGTTTCCCCGAGCTTTGACTTCTCGGACGAGCCCAACGCGAACGGCCTCGACCTCTCAACCCTCCACCGCGAGCTCGCTCCCCTCGAGCGTCTTCAGAAGCTCGCTGACGGCCGCGGCATTCGCTGGGTTGTTCCCGTTGCGGCCAACCAGGTCGTGATCAACGCCGTCAAGTCGGTTGGTATGTCGATCGTTCGCGATTACGCGCTTGAGATCGCTATTCTGTCCATTGGCGCTACCTCGGGCATCGGTGGCCTCCGCGAGTTCTGCTACCTCGCTGCCATCCTCATGGCCATGGACTGCCTCTTCCTCTTCTCTTTCTTCATTGCGATCCTCGTTGTCATGGTGGAGGTTCACCGCATCAAGCTCATCCGTGGCAAGCGCAGGAACAAGGCCTCCATCAAGCGCTCGGCTTCGAGCATGTCCCTTGCCAGCGCCACTGAGTCGCCTAGCCCCTCCAAGACTTCGTTCTGGGGTGAGGGCAAGGACCCACGCGAGGAGGACGGCCAGCCGTCCAACCCCATCCCGCGCCTCAAGCTCATCCTCATCATCTCATTCCTCGTCCTGCATGTCCTCAACCTCTGCACCACCCTTACTGAGAAGACCGCTCTCAAGCGTCACCTCACCCACAACGCACCCACCCCCCGCGTCGACTCGCGTGCCTCAGACCTCTCTCCCCTCCTCGAGGCCTTGTACGCCGCGTCGCCTCCCAACACCGACATGATCGTTCAGATCGTTACCCCCACCCAGATCATCATGTCCAAGACTGGCCCGGCCGTCTCGCGCATCGACTCGATTGACAGCTTCATGTCCGAGTGGTCGACGCTTGTTGGTGACCCGGTCATCTCCAAGTGGGTTGTTGTGCTCCTCGTCATCTCGGTCCTTCTCAACGGCTACCTCCTTAAGGGTATTGCCCACAACTCGATCGGTGGCAAGGGCCCGGTTGCGGCTGCTGCCCAGGCCCTAGTTGGAGTCTTTGACAGCCTCGAGATCCCCAAGGACAAGCGTCCCCGCTCGGCATCGGACCTCCAGAAGTACCGCGCCCAGCGCGCCACCGATGCTCGTAGCAAGCTCATGGGTGGTCGCCCCGCGGCACCGGTCGCCACTGAGGGTGACAAGACCCCTAAGACCAATGGCCATGCCAACGGATATGCCAACGGCCATGCCAACGGTCACGCCCACCTCGGTGCTGGCCTTGTTGTACCCCAGACCCCCAATGTTCCGCTCATCTCGGAGCCAATGCCCAAGTCGGATTCGGGCGAAGTCAATGGCACCCCTAGCCACATGACTTTTGTCGGTCGCCGCTCCATCGAGGAGTGCGTTGAGATCTTTGCTGGCGGTGTTGGCGCCAACAATCTGTCCGACGAGGAGGTCATCATGCTTGTGCAGAAGGGCAAGATTGCGCCTTATGCTCTCGAGAAGTCGCTCAAGAACCTTGACCGTGCCGTCCGCGTCCGTCGTGCCGTCGTCTCTCGCGCGTCTCTCACCCAGACGCTGGAGCACTCGGCTCTCCCCATGAACGACTACGACTACAAGACTATCATTGGCGCCTGCTGCGAGAACGTCATCGGTTACATGCCCATCCCCGTCGGTGTCGCCGGCCCTCTCAATGTCGATGGCCAGCTCCTTCACATTCCCATGTCGACTACCGAGGGGACTCTCGTTGCCTCCACATCGCGTGGCTGCAAGGCGCTCAACGCTGGCGGTGGTGTTACCACTGTTCTCACCCAGGACGCCATGACCCGTGGCCCCGCTATCGACTTCCCCAGCGTCAAGCTCGCATCTGAGGCTAAGATTTGGATCGACTCGGAGGATGGCTTCAACACTCTCCGTGACGCGTTCAACTCGACCTCGCGCTTCGCTCGCCTCCAGAAGCTTAAGACGGCTATGGCCGGTCGCACGCTCTACGTCCGCTTCGCCACCTCGACCGGTGACGCCATGGGCATGAACATGATCTCGAAGGGTACTGAAAAGGCGCTCGAGGTCCTCCAGCGCCGCTACCCGGAGATGGACGTCCTCGCGCTCTCGGGCAACTACTGCACGGACAAGAAGCCTGCCGCGATCAACTGGATCGAAGGTCGTGGCAAGAGCGTTGTCGCTGAGGGTATTGTTCCTGGTGCTACGGTCAAGAGTGTCCTGAAGACGACTGTCAAGGAGCTCTGCAACCTTAACATGAAGAAGAACCTCATCGGCTCTGCCATGGCTGGCTCCATTGGTGGCTTTAATGCGCACGCCGCAAACATCCTCACCGCCATCTACCTCGCTACTGGCCAGGACCCAGCACAGAACGTCGAATCGTCCATGTGCATGACTCTCATGGAGCCGATCAACGACGGCGAGGACCTGCTGATTACGTGCTCTATGCCCTCAATCGAGGTCGGCACTGTTGGCGGTGGTACTATCCTTGGCCCCCAGCGCGCGATGCTCGAGATGCTCGGCATCGCAGGCGCACACCCCACTGCGCCCGGCTCCAACTCGCAGCGCCTTGCCCGCATCATCTGTGCGGCCGTCATGGCCGGCGAGCTGTCGCTCATGTCGGCCCTGGCCGCCGGCCACCTCATCCAGGCGCACATGAAGCACAACCGCTCCGTGCCCGTCACACCTGGTGCCGTCACACCATTTGGCGGCATCACGCCCATCCGCGAGGAGATGCTCATTAAAGGCAAGCTGCGGGGCATCAGCCCTACACGGTTGCAGGCTGCCAACAATGCAGCGGTGAATAGCTCAGGGCCTCTACCGGCCGCGAGAGTCTCGCCGAGTAAGCAGGGCAGTTCCGGGTGGCCTGGGCAATAGGGGAGAGGGGAGAGGGAGAGATCTTGAGAGAGAGGAGGGCGATATACACTATACCTACCTGACCTAGTAGCATTGCATCTCATGGCATGGAGTTTTGACATGGCTTTGGGAGCGGCGTTCGCCGCCAGACAAAGTGTTGTAGGCGATAAGGCGAGACCGCGAGCAGATAACGCGAGAATGGCGTCAAACTAAGCGCGCGTGGATGAGAGCCGGACTGATTTCCGATTCGGCAGCATCATTGCCGGCACAGCTAGACGACGCTTCGACCGCGTGCGCTGGTCTGCGCGAGCTGATGTTGCGCTGCTCACTGCGATGTGCATATCGTTCACGAGATATCTTGACCTGCACCTCGGTACAGCTGGGCGGCGGAGGCGGAGGTACCGTGTCATTTCCGGCCAAGTCCGCTGGTGGGTGGGCTTGACTTTGTGTTTGGCTCCGCTCTGGCCGCGCAACACGAGCGGCACGAACGCGACTTTACCTGCCTCCACACGTCCACCCATCCTCCTCTGGCATCACCTCCGCCTGCCATCGCACCAGCCTCGCGTACTCGCATCTTCGCGACCCTCTTATTGCTGCTTTCGCGTGCCGCGCACTCCGTGCAATTCCATCTCTGTCCTTTCCAGCTATTGGGCTTTCTTGAACATCGCCGCCACGGCACCCTGTCCCGCTCCAGCGAGCAGCCACAACATGACCGTCATGGAGGTGTCGCCGCGGATACGCATGCTCATCGCGGCTGTGTTGGTTGGCCTGGCTAGGTGAGTGCACTAGGGGGCGCGCTGATGATAGTGGATCGAATTATGGGTATTCGGGTATGTTGCAAATGTGTGGAGGACAGAGGAGGGCGGATGGGACGCACGTTGAACGGACAACGGTGGGGACAAGGGGGGTGGGGGTGGAAGACGGGCAAGCAGAGGGCGTGGAAGACGGACGAGTTGAGGACGCGCAAGACGGACGAGTTGAGGGCGCGCAAGACGGACATGCACAGGGCAAAGAAGACACACAAGATGGAGGACAGAGGCAACCGCTGACAACAGGCTACGCCCCACAACTCGCCTCCAAGCTCGGCTTGTCCAGCACCCAGATCAACCTCGTCGGCCTGGGCGGCAACCTCGGCGTGTACCTCACCGGCCCGATCTTCGGGCGCATCATCGACCTCTACGGGCCCCGAGGCCCGCTGGCGTGCGCAGCAGCCCTCAACTTTGTGGGATACCAGGGCGCCCGCGCATTCTACCGCGGCACCCTGCCGATCGGGGACGAGGACGGGCCGTCCACGCTCGGCGTGACCGCGCTGGCCATGGCCCTCTTCTTCACCGGCACGGCGGGGAGCGCCGGCCTCGGCAGCGCGATGAACACCGTGGCGCGCAGCTTCCCGGACAAGACGCGGGCGAGCGCGACCGGCGCCGTCCTCGCCGGGTTTGGGCTCAGTGCTTTCGTGCGTCCCGCATTGACATTCTGACACCAGGTGTTCTCGGCGCTCGGCCACGCCCTCTTCCACGGCGAGGCCGGCGGCCTCCTCCTCGTCCTTTCGTGGGGCACGATGCTGCCCGACCTCGTCGGCGCCTTCCTCGTCCGCCCCTACCCGCCACACGAAGACGACTCGGACTTCTCTGACGAAGACGATGATCTGCTCGCGCACCAAGCCGGCCTCCTCGAACCAGGACAGGACCTCGCGCCGAGCAGGTCGCGCGAGCGCTCGCCCGACGTCGAGATGGCTGACGAGGCGACGGCACACGACCCCCTCCTCCCCCGCACGCCGTCGCGCATTGGCACGCCCCTCGCAGGCGAAGCGGAGACGCCGATGCGCACGCCGCGCACGCCGCGCACCCCCGGATCGCGCAAGAGGCGCAGCTCGACCGCGAGCCTGCCCCCGACCGAAATCCATATCGGCCCGCCGGGGCTGTTCAAGGAGACGGATTTTTTGCTGCTGTTCTCGATCCTTGCGATTTTGTGCGGCGTAGGGCTCGAGTGGATCAACAATGTCGGCGGTGAGTGGTTGCGAGGAGAGAGCGGGGCGGAGAAGGCCTACGCAAGGTGGCCTAGAGTGCCCTACGGAGAGTGGTCCACGAGAGTCGCAAACGGCGAACAGCCTACGACAACGGCTGCATGCTGCAAAAGATCACAGATGGGCGAGAGTTTGAATACCTCCTCTGACCCCAGCCGTCACCCTCGCACTCGCTCGCAAAGGATGGGACTACGACCCCCACAAGGTGGCCGCCATGCAGGCCTCCCAGGTGGCCACGATCTCGGTGTTTAATTGCGCCGGCCGTATCCTGGGAGGCGCGGTCAGCGATCTCGTCAAGCTCCGTTTCGGCGTGCGAAGGGTGAGTCTGTTGTATCAGTCCGGAGCTTGCCGTGGGGCTTCGTGTGTGCGGGGGCTTCCTGTGTGGGGGGTTCATTGTGGGGGTTCATGTGTTGCCGGCAGCTCATGTGGTCTAAAGGCCCCACCGTTCGGTCTTCTGCGACCAAACAAACTCGGATGTCCGATGCGTCATGAGACGGCGTTCAGCGACAAGATGGTGTCGTCACATGCTGGATCAGAGACGGAGGCGCCACAGATTGCTAGCGATAGCATCACCTGTCGGTGTTCATCGCTCAACTCGCCTACCCTTGCCTTGCTCGCGCCTCGTGACGCTTGCTTTGTTTTGAGAAGAGCATCGGCGTTTTCCGTGGAAATCTATCTGTATCCAACGGCAAAGCAGCCAGCCATCGATGATGGAGAAGCCCGAGTCAAACACGGCAACCTTGCAAGCGGAAACCAGCAGAGTTATGACGTCGTGCACAAGCGAGACTGGGGCATCGCTGGAGCCTCGGCCCATCGCCAAAAGGCTGGGCACGGGATGTCGAAGGGGCATGTGCGTCTGCACATTCTACGGGCGGTGTCTTGGCATGCTGGTCACAGCTCTTGAGACTCTTGGGGAGGCAAGCATGAGTTGAGGAATGTTGGAGCTGCAGCCTTGGATTGCCGGTGGTTCGAAATCAGACGTTGTGCTGCCCCGTGGGGATGTCGGACGGTCGGCCGCAGTTGATATACGACGGCAATGCCGGCAAGCAACTAACGCTAGATATGGTTCCTGCCGCTTGTCGCGGTCATGTTCATTGGGGCCGAGATGGCGGTGCTGGCGACGACCGACGTGAGCCGGTTGTGGATGGTATCCGCAGCACTCGGGACAGCGTACGGCGCGCTGTTCAATGTCCTGCCCATGCTAGTGCTGGAGTGGTTTGGGATGTGTGAGTTGGGCTGAGATATGGCGGGCGGAACGCTGACGGTAGCCCACTTTGGCCAGAATTGGGGCTTTACTAGCATGGCTCCGGTGGTGGGCGGCAACATCTTCCTGACACTCTTTGGTGCGCTACAAGTCAAAAGAAGTGCACGCTGACCACAGGACGTGTGTACGATCGCCACACGGTCGGCCGCGTCAGCGACGCTCCGTCAAAGTCGATAGCGAGGAGTCTCGGTGTTCATGGGTTTAGCCGTATAGGCGAACGCGCCGGAGACTCCGCCGAGCAGCTTGCCCGGGCGAGCGAGACGCACGAGTGTCTGATGGGCCGCGAGTGCTATGCCACTGCGATCCGGGTGAGCGCGCTGGCGTGCGTACTCGCGTTAATCCTGAGCGTGATTGCAGGGATTAGACGCGAGCGGCGGGCTGCAGCGCGGTCGCGTCGCGTGTTATGATGGCTGTGAGATAGCGAGGGAAGCGAGGAGGTGATTCGTATGCAGCGCAGTAATAAAACGCAAGTTGATAGCCGGGGATAAGTGGGTGGTCGGCGGCGAGGCGATAGGGTGGTGGACCTTGATCACAAGCCACAAGGGGTTCAGGCGCAGGCTCATTCAGGAAAGCAGGAGACGAGGAGATGGTGAGGAGGCGATGAAGAGGCGAGGGGGGTGACATAACCGGGCTTGGATGGCGTGCATGGCTTGCATGGCTTGCATGCAATCACAGGATCAATAGCAAGGAGGCTGCGGAAGTCGGCTCGATGAAGAGAGCTTGTCCGAATTCGAAAACGGGCGTGGAAGCGGGGGCCCAGGTATCGCTTCGGCTGGACGTCGGGAGATTCCCATGGTTTTCCATTTCGTTAGCGCAGCCAAGTAGAGCGAGAGCGAGAGCTCGAGTTGGAGCTAGAGCTGAAGCGTAAGCGCTGTAAGCACTGGCACTAGCATGCGGCACCGGCCAGCTCCGGAAACCTGCATCATCATCTTAGCCCGGGGGGTCATGTGGAGATTGGATGACGTTGAATGCCGGTCGATGATACCCGAGGTGTTGATGGACGAGTGGACGAGTTGAGCGAGAGAGCGCACTACGTCGGCAACGAGTCGGATCGGGCGTCCGCCATCATGGCGCCACTAGCCTCGCTGTATCCGCTGTGGCCGTTAGCAAGGTGGCCAGCTGGCCAGATGGCCTGATGGCCAGGGATGAAATGGTGGCACATGGGGCGCTTAGTGGGGCATGGTGGCTCCGCCGATCACGAGCGGAGGATAGGGCAACGCCGCCGCCTCGATCCGAAGGGTTCCGCACCGGCTGTTTGTGGCCGGGAGGAGGGAGGGATGCATGCATAGAGTATATGAAGGGGGGGGGGGAGGGGGGGGAGGAGGGATGAGAAGGAAAGGAGAGGAGAAGAGGATGAGAGGAGAAGAAGAGAAGAGCACGAGGGTAGATGCAAGACCGCCGGTGTTGAGAAGAAAGTAGTTTGGGAGGCTGGAGAGCACAAGAGCCCGAGAGCACAAGAGCACGAGTGGACAAGAGCAGAGAGCAGAGAGCTAACGCTAGCAGATGAGCAGAGCCGCATGCATGAGACAACCACGCCGTCATGGCCGGACGAGGAGGAGCCGACGGGTATGGTGCAGGCCGATGCGACTAGCTGTGTTGGATACCGGCATTCTATCCACCCGCAAAGGTCGAGCGCATGGCTGGGCGCTGGGCAATGAATGACATGATAAGCACTCGCCCCGATCCTCTCAATGTCTCGTCTGCTCGTCTACTCGACTTGAGCATCTTTTATATAATACAGAAGAGTAATAAAACTCGAGCTGTCCAGTTCCGCTCGGACCATCCCCCCCCCCACCCGGCGCATCCGGCGTCGCAAATCATCCACCCCGTCGCACCCGGCAACCCTCGCAGCCGACCATTCTTCACCCAGCCGCCATCACCCACCCACCTTCCTTCCTTCCCCCCGTCTATTTCCAAACACTCTGGTCCTGGCCTCATTACTCTTTGGAATTGCCGTCAACCTCGTCCTCGTCCTCATCCTCTTCATTCATTCATTCATTCAATTCATCTCATCTCATCTCATCTCTTCAGACAACTCTCCTCGTCTCTCCTCGTCTCTCTCGTCTATCCTCTACTCAGCTCCATCCCATCCACTTGCTGTTAATCATCCATCACCCATCACCCATCCACCATCAACCATCAACCACTCACTCACTCTCCCACACACCCCACACCCCACCACCGCCCATTCCCCTCCCACACCCACTCAACTCCAAATCTTCATCAACCCAATCGTGACCGCTAGCAAGCGCCGGTGCTCGCGCGTCAACTCCCACGCATCCGCCACCGGCCCTCTCTGAACACCTCAACTCGCCCGTCCGGCAGCCTCGCCGGCCCCCACATGCCACCCATCACCTCGCCGCGTCGCACGGCGTTGCACTCGCCGCCAGCCCCGCTGCGCCCCGTCCCCGTTCCCATCCCAGGGGCACCCGTACCCCCCCTTAGCAGCTCAGCCTCGACTTTTGCGAGCACACCGCCGAGCGCAGGTACCTCGCCCGGCACGAGCCTCGGCTCTACAATGGCCCGCACTCTCAGCCATGGCGCGTCGAGTCACTCGCACAGCCACAGCAATAGCACAAGTCACTCCAACAGTCACACCGGCAGCCTCGGACACGCGCCATACATGGTCGCTTTGGCCGGATGGCCTGAGCCACTGTTTGTGGCGGAGCGAGAGTCATGGGACGTCCGCAAGCGCTCGAGACCCACTACCCCGACTGGATTTCGCGGCGAGGTGCGTGACGGAGTCGGCTGCCCCCTTCCCGCGTCGCTGTTGAATTCCGCACCCACCAACGGGCTGGTGCACCCCCAGCCGGTCATGCATGCCCCACCAGCCCCGCCGACTCACTCGCGCTCCCACTCGCACACCAACTCCCACGCGCACGCCCACCACAGTGCCCAAGTCCATAGCCACAGCCTGCCGCTGAGCCATCGACGCTCCCGCCCTGCTTCGCCCACTGGCTTTCCGACCAGCAGCGCACGTGACGCGCCTCCACACCACTCGGACAGCGCCGGAAGTTCATCGGCCTCTACACCTCCTCGGCACGACGCACCCGGCCCCCTCTCGGGTCCTCTGGCGAGGTTAGCCCTCGGTGACCACCGGGAGCACCCGCGTGCACCAAACCCGTCCGTTGCCGCGCGCACGGTGCGCCGGCACATTGACAAGCTTGGCGGCTTTGCTGACCCTCGCTACCACGCCAATGCAGCGGTCGTGGGCCGCGGGCGCAGCTTGCGTGTCGCGCCGGCGTGGACGCACAGCACGTCGCTGGCGCCATACACAGACAAGCTGCCGCCGAGCGGGCATGGGCGTGTGGGCATCATTGCGCGCGCTGTTCCCGAGGTGTGGCCGCCCCCCGGCGTTATCACGCAGGTGTATCCGCGCGATCCCGATACCATGTTCTTCCCGCGCGCCGGGAGCAGTGGGGACGAGGATGAGCCGGCAACCAAGGCGGCGCGGACGATGACGACGGAGGCGAAGAGGGAGCGTGAGGCGTCGGTGCACGCCGAGGACGAGGAGAAGGATGGCAAGGGGATGGACGTCGATCGCTAGGCCGAGGTGGTACGTGGAGTAATATGTACTATGTACGCTACATGTCAGAAGTTGGAGTGTATAAGAGTGTCGAGTGTGGGAAGGGAAGGGCCTTTAGGGGAGCCGAGTTTGTGTAGGTGGGCAGAGCAGCAGCCCAACGGCGGGGCAAGCGGACCCGCGGAGGAGGGCAGGATGTGTCCGCGGAGGTGCGGGGGGAGGAGGGGATGTGCGTCGTCGGAAAGCAGGAACGGGGTTTGGTTTGTGGGAATCGCTGGATAGCCTGGGAGCTTATCTGATGCTTGGAGGTCCACCTACGGGGAGATCGAAAGGTGCGAGTCGCCGCCACAACTCGCAGCGAACGTGCGTGTCTCCGCAGATCCGCAGATTGCGCCGCTCGCGCTCGCGAGTCGCGAGTCGAGACTCGACGTCATGTCGCCATAGCCGTGTCGCCGCTTCGGTCCAGTGGCCACGTAGGCCGAGCTTGCAGCTTGCAGCCCGAGGATCCCACATTCTTCCAGTTGATTATTCTTCTTCTCATCTCATCTTACAGCAGAATGTCGGCGGCGTGAACGTGCGCGCCTCACGCGCTGCGAGGCGCTCTGGCGAGCGGGCGCTAGCCCCGTTCTCCGCGTTCTCCGCTTCTCTGCGTTTTCCGCGTTCTCCGTGTCCGCGTCCTCCTCGTTCTCTGCGTTCTCCGCGTCTCGACCTCGCTCCATCTGAGTGTCACGTCCCGTCTCATGCCTCGATGCGAAGCACGCTACGAGCGAGCATAATGGCATGAGCCATGAGCGTCGGCGGGGGCTGGCTCCGTGCGAGGCGGGGGCAAAGTCTGGAGATTGCACAGACCACACCTCACGTGGCGTGTCACCAACGGAATCTTGGTCGGACGGTCCGCGCGGCGCGTTCAGTCGCTGCCCCGTCCTTGCCTCGCACTCCATCTTACTCCGACTCCATCACGCCCTCCCGCTCACGCCCACGCCCACGTCTCTTCCTCCCCTCACCCACTCCTCTCCTCCCACACCCACCCCACGATGCCAGCACAAAAACTCACCAACCCGCAACCTTCGCTCGCGCTGCGGCTGATCATGTCCGCCGCGTTCGCCGTCTGCGCCTTCGGCGTCGCGCCCTTCGTGCTCATCGGCCTGCTCCTCGTCGCCGCCGGCCAGCCCCTCATGTCCGCCATGCGCTGGTGGAACGCCCCGCGCCCGCGCGCCAAGCCCGCCGCCGACGTGCCCCCGCCCCCGCCCCGCCGCCGCTCCCCCGCGTACGCACCAAGCGAGGCGCAACAGCTCGCCGCCGCGCTGCGCAAGTAGGCGCTCATAGACGATAGACTGATGTTGGCTTGGGCTATACGAGTCTGCGAACGTTGGAGACTACTGATCAACCGCAGCCACACGTCGCATCTCCTCTCCACGTATGCCCGAGCTATCGCATGCTACGCGATGCGGCGGGCCGCCCCGCGTGTCTCCAGGACTCTCGCACGGCCGTACCAATGTTGGCGGCGGCGCAAGGCAGGGTGTCACGCTGCTGTGCGGGCGGCCGGGGTCGGGCTATTCTGATCGTTGCCGCGCGGCGTGCCTCGGAACAAGCGCCGTGCCGGCCACACGTCCGGCTGACCCCGTCGGCGCACTCACGCACCTCGCTCCTGCAGCCTGTGAAGCACGCCATCGGCGTCGGCGCGAGGAAGATCGGCCCGCCGATCCGGCCTGGCTATGGGAGCAGCGCCTGCGGGCCGGTGGGCCGCGGCCGTGGGCCGTGGGCCGTGGGCCGAGGGCGGACGCTACGAGCAGAGAGCGAGCACGGCCGCAGGCGGCGCGGACGGCACGCCGAGGCGTGCGCGGGCAGGCGCTGCGCGGGCAGCGGGTGCGGCTGCATGCGCCGTGCGCGATGGAGGAGGTGCGCGTGGAGGTGCGTTGTGGCGGGCGCACGTCAGTGTCGCGGTGTCATGTCGGCGAGTGCTGTGTCCGCGGAGTGCGGGCGTCCGAGGAACTGGGACGAGCCGTGCACGACACGGAGGTGCGAGAGGGCGGGCGGAGCGGGGTCGCTGTGGATTGGCGCCGTCCAGAGGTGTGAAGCAGCCGAGTGCCACCAGTCCTCGAGGCTGCGTGGAGGGTTCGTGGGCGCAGTGCATCATTCGTGAAGTGTGAGCAATGAGAGACGGGTTCAGCGAGATATAGGGGGTGTACAGGCGATGTCTGACAGGGGAAATCGAGTTCTGAACCGAAACGCCGCCAAGCGGCGAGAGATACGCAAGCTCCGTGGAAGCTCCATCCACTCTCAACCGCTCTTCAGTAACCCGGGTCGTTCGAACAATAATGCTTCCTACTCCGCGCATGTGTCAAAACACGGCAAGTGGAGCTCCGCCATAGCACCCTGTCTCCTTCGACACTCGTCCCTCCTGTCGTCCCCGAGCGCCTCGCCCCCCCCCCCCCCCCCCCGCCAAGCCCAACCGCCCAAAAAGAGGCACGTCTGTAGTCCACAGCACACCCTTCCTACTAGCCGACTCGAACGGCTGACCGCGTCATGTCCTACTAGTGACGCGCTCTACCACTGAGCTAAGCAGGAGACAATGTGTGGTAATGGAGCCGGACGATCGCGGGCCGCGGGCATGGCGCATGGGAGGCAGGTAACCAAGCCGCGAGGATGAGTACAGGGGGCTACGTTCTGGTTATAGCCTGGGAAAATGTAGTGTGTGAGGCGAGCGACCTTTGTGGCTCCAGCCCATGTGGGAGATGTGGCATGAGAATATCAGTTCGTGCGCCGTCAACCACACCGCGGGGGCCAAGTATCCGCCGGTATCGTTTACATATCGCTGCGACGCTGTGTCCTTGCAATCCCGCTGCTGTCAATTCTTAGGGGTTGACGGAGATCTGATGAGATACAGAGAACGCTGGCTGGGAGGATGACGGTAATGCGCCACAAAGTTGGTGAGGCACGGCAGGTCGCGCATACGACGCGTTGATTGCCCAACGCCATGCACCGAGCACTGCACGGCGTTGCGTGCTCTCGGCACCGCGAACAGCGAAAGAGACGAATCATCTCGCACGAACGATGCCGAACTGCCCGTCTCAATCAGAGGCGTGCCACAAGCCCTTCCGTCATGATGTATATTTGGCCATTTCGTGAGATATAGACACGGATGAATTCGAATTTGGTCCGCTTTGGGTCGTCTCGGTGTCCGAGGATATACGAGATGCCGCGGAACGCTCTCGTCATGACCCACTGACGTCCAGCATCATGGATCGTGAACGACAGAGAGCAGAGGATGGACGAGGACCCCCGAAACCACGGACAGCGGAGCGTTCCCGACAAACGTCGGGTGGCCGTTTCGTGGGTCAGGGACATGGCGTGCCCTGAGCGCACCTTGTCCGGCACGGATCGCACAGATCAGCTGAATGTCTCACATCTGCGATCGCGGTGCTCTTAGTGCACGTTTGCATACAGTACAACTGCATGCAACATGTTTGGTCTCTCCCTCGAGTGTCACCGTTTCGAGGCCCACTCGTGTAAACTGTCACGTCGTGGAGAGTTGAGGGAGGGTCTACTGTAGGGCTGATGGGACGCGTTCTTGTTACCTTATTTGGGCTAATTGGTATTTGTTAGGCGTAGGGTTATTACACGTTTCCCTTGATTATTGCCTCCGTCATTCCCCTCCCGTCGCGTCTTGGACCATGGTCTCCCTGGAATCTGCCCTGGAGCAGTGGCCGACCCGCCCATCCTGCTCGACGTGCTCTCTTCCTCTGTTCTCTACTCTCCTCCTCATCGCTCACTCACTCACTCTCTCACTCGCTCTCAACTCTCCCTCGTTATCGACACAAGAAACGGCTGGCCGTTTACGCTCCCTCCTCACGACGTCGACACGCCGACAACCCCCACCCCCTCCCTCCCCTCCCTCACCCACCCGATTCTTCACGACTTGTCCTCCTTTGCCTGCTCTTCGCTCTCCGCTCTCCGCTTTGATTTCCACACCACACTAGCCCACCATGGCCCACGGACCTCGCGGACGCTCCGGCCCACACCGTCGCCAGGTCGGCATGAACCCGTCGGTGCTCAGCCAGATTCAGGCGTCGCTGTCGGCCGCGAACCAGGTGAGCCGGCTCGGTCGAGGTGTCACCAGAGGTGGCCATTCCGCCGGTGTGTGTCGCCCGTTGTATGGCGGCTTTGCGCCGGGTCCGAGGTCGTGTCGCAGGCTTAACTCGAGCGAAGGAGCAGCAGAGGTGGCGGCTCAGTTTCGGGGTGCTGCAAAGCAACACCCGCACGGACCTGTAAGACCGTCTGTTCGGGTGTGGCGTCGGATGGCGCGGGAAGCCACATTCTGCGTCAACTGCTGCTTGCCCGCTGCCTCGGAGGGCCATCCACATCTTGGCCCCCCCTATGACGGGAGGCCATGGCAGATCGCGGCAGTGTGGGTTACAGACGTAACATAGCCACCTGAGCCGGCTGTGGCCTTCGGAGGACGTGAGATACAGCTGGTGTGCGCGCTATTCTGGTGAACTGGTTGCTGCATGTGCCGGAGAGGGCGCGGATTATCTCTGTGCTTGGCACATTCTTCACCTCTTCACCTCCAGGCTTCCAACGCACAACGCAAATGCGAACACGCACTGACCCCAGCCCCGACCCACTACGCCTGCCGCGGTTCCAACCACCAGGGCCCCAGCGCAGCAGAGCACGCCCGTCCAGACTAGCAGGCCGGCGCCAGCGCCGGCTGCTCCGACGACCTCCCAGCGGGCGCCTGTTGCATCCTCTTCCTCGGCGCCCAGGGCTGCTACAACTTCTGCACCGCAACCTACGGGCATGGTCGGCGCCCCGTTGCCTGCTCCCCCGCCCTCATCATCCTCTTCTGCGCGCGTATCCTCTTCTATCCGGTCATCGGTTACCTCCTCGTCCGCTCGCTCCACGTCCTCGGCTGCTAGGTCAGGCGTACGGACAGTTACGCCGTCCCGCAACCCGGCAGCTGCGCCGACCACCGGTTCTTCCGAAGCTCAATCGGCCTCGACGGGCCTCTCGGGAGGTGGCATTGCTGGTATTGTCATCGGCCTCATTGCCGGAATCATCATCATTGGTGGTGTAGCTGGCTGGCTGTACCGCAAGTACAAGGAGCGCAACTATGACCATCATGCGAGCGCGTGGACCAAGATGAAGGAGAACGACAACGGTCTCACGCCCTACCGCAATGACCCTAAGATCAACGCTTCCGACGAGGAGTTCTACAGCGGCATGCCGCCCGCTGGTGGCATGCCATACAACCGCGAGCGCGATCTCCAGCCGCCTCCTCAGCGCGGATTCTACTCAGACAATGGTATGCGCCCAGACTCGTTGGCGGGGATGGACAACAACTTGGCCGGCTACGGCGCTGGCGTCCGCAGTGGCCCCTACCCCGACCCGGCTCCCGTCGCCGTGGCCTACGACGCCAACGGCCGCCCCTACACACCGACGCAGCAGAATGGACAGTGGGGCTATGACCATCACCACCAGCAGCAGCACAATCCCTTCGATGACGCCAACCGTATGTCTCCTCCCGGCTCACTTCACTCGCCCACCTCGCCCGTGCACCAGCAGAACTTTGGCGGTCCCCGCCAGCTTGTCGGACCCGGTCAGACATTCCCTGGTGTCGCTCCGGTTCCCCTTGGTCGTCCTCAGCCCCCTCAGTCTTACGATGACATTGCTGCCGCCGAAATGTATGCCGACGACCGTTACGCCGACGACCACATGGCTGCTCCTCCTCACATGGGTCAACTCAACCAGCAGCCTGGTAACTTCTCGCCTCAGTCGTTCGCCACGGCCGAGGCTCACCACTCTGGGTCCGGGATGTACGACCAGCGCGCTATCTCGCCCGTCTCGTTCATGCCCGCGTCTGTCGTGTATGCTCCTGCCCCTCCTCTTCCGACCATGCAGCCCATGAGCCCGCTTATGGGCCCCGTTTCGCTCCACAACGACGACATTCCTGCTCACCAGGTCCCTTCCCCAGCAGTCGCTGCTGCGATGGCGCGAGCTCAGCCTTATGAGGACGACTCGCATCGCATGTACGACGAGGTTGCACGTGCTGCCGGCGTCCCAAGCCCTACCGTTGCGCCACCTCTTTCACCGACGATGCAGTTGCAGCAACAGGACCTTCTCAGCGCGGTCAAGCCCTACCAGCATGGCGTCCCGCTCTCGCCTCTCACCGAGGTCCCCACGCCAAAGTCATCGGTGACCCCGCTCATGCCTGAGGGCCCCGTCCCGGCCGAGACGTCCGTCGCCCAGCGCGTCACGGTCCCCACCGCCTCGCCATCCATCGTTGCGGCCGCGGCTGCGCCTCGCCCTCTCCCCGCCATCCCCCAGCAGCAGAAGCCTTCCTCTCCTCCCCTAACTGCCACCCCGGCCCCAGCTCCGAGCAGCGCTCCTGACCAGGGGCGTGGCCGGTCAGACAGCATGGACGACGCTTACGGTGGCATTTAGTGTTTGTACGAGTCTAGTACGCGCGTCGCGCTGGCGCGTACGTGTTTTTTAGGATTGTTGAACTTGTGTCGATGCATCGGCATAATGCGCTAGTCCAAAGGAGAATAGCACGCAGCAGGTCAAATGATGTATTGGAGAGAGACGGAGAACGCGCGGAGTGGATGTTTTGATCATATACGTCGCGCGCCATCCGATGAGAGAAAGAGCAGGGTTAAGGACTCGACGCGGCACAGGGTTGCGCGCGTGAGTGGAGGGCAACGCGCAGCGTGCAGGACATTCCAATGAGACACATTATTACTTAGCAGACAATATCTGCTGACGTATCAACTCTGTCCAAGTCGCATGAACAGACATGGCAGTGAGAACATACGAGGACGATGATATGGAGGCAGCACTTGTCATGTGGCAGCTTGCCCATGTTCATTGCGCGCAGGCAATTAATTGCCCAAAGCGGACAGAGGGGAGTTGGGTGAGGTAATAGCGGGATCAAATATGCTAGTTGGTGTACGCGCCTCTCCTTGTAAGGCGCGTCGCCCAAATAAGGGGGTGGATGTGGGCTGGCTCCTCACCACCCGCGTCCCGCCCTTCCTCGTCTCCTCCTCGCCTCATCTCCATCCATCCCATCGCATCCCACGCAGAGCATCCACCCTCCAACACGCGTCTTGTCCCATCACCGCGCGTCAAACTACCCCGTCGCCGTCCACCACCGCCGAGTCTCTTGGATCCCCCACGACTAGCCCGACGCGCACACCAAGGGCGACACCGCCCCTGAACCCACCATGGAGGCAAAGCCCAAGTGAGTAGTTCTGCACGCGCCTGAATCCGCGGTGTCGACGCGGCGCGGAGGCTGCGGACCCAGTGACGCGGTGACGCGGTAGAGATGGATGAGTGGACGGCCTCGATGGCACACACTGGCGGGCGCGAGGGTGGAGGCAGCGGACATGGCGCATCTGGCGTAACCGCGTTGGTGGAGATGACTCGAGGGACGTGCGTGGGACCCGGTGGAGGCGCGTTCGCTCCTCGCTCCTCGCCGCCTCGCACCTGCGCCGCGCTTCATGCCATATGCGGCGGCTGCGTGTCGATGCGACGCACATCTGCGCGCCGGCGGCGTCGTGTTTGCCGTTCCTCTCTGCCATGCCGTGGCGCAACCACAATCACACGTCGGCTCACACCAGCATCCAGCAGGCCGGGCAACAGCACGGACAGGGCCAGAACCAGCAGATGTCCAACTCCGGACCCAGTGGCATGTCGGCACCAGGCTTGCTCCCCGCCTTATCGCCAGAGATGTCGAATCGCCCGTACCCGCAAATGCAGCAGATCCGGCCCCCCATGCCTCCCGGCGGCATGCACGGCCCGCCGCCGCCCCAGCAGTACCAGTCTGGCGGGCGCGGCTCCCGCACGCACACCCCGCAGAACTCGCAGCACAATGTGTTCCAGGCCGTCATGGGTCCGCGGCCCGGCGAGGTTCCACAGGGCGACATTGGCGGAGCAGGTAACGTCAAGGTGTACGCGTCGGCGTACTCGCAGATCCCGGTGTACGAGGCCATGATCCGCAACATTAGCGTCATGCGCCGCATGGCGGACAGCTGGGTTAATGCCACACAGATCCTCAAGGTCGCTGGCATCTCGAAGAGTGTGCGCACCAAGATGCTTGAGAAGCAGGTGCAGAAGCAGCAGCACGAGAAGGTGCAGGGGGGATGTGAGTTGCTTGACCACGGGTTCAGACATCCCCATGCTGACAGGCAGATGGCAAGTACCAGGGGACATGGATTCCGCTGGACCGCGGGCGAGCACTCGCCGAGCAAGTCGGCGTGCTGCAGTACCTCGCGCCGATCTTTGACTTTGTCCCCTCGCCCACTGGCCCGCCCGCGCTGCCGATGCGCGGTAATACACCGAGCAAGAACGCCGCGGCCGCACAATCGAGCATGATGCCCCCCGGCTCAGCGGGTTCTGGCGGCCGCATGATGTCGCCGTTCCACCACACTGGCAACATGCCCCTTCCCCCACAGTTTGCGCAGCAGCACATGGGGCCTGGCGGGCCAGAGATGATGGGGGCTGGAGGTCAGCAGATGCTCTACCACCCGCAACAGGGGCAACACATGCAGCCGGGTCCCATGTTCTTCCACCCCAGCCAGCAGCAGCAGCCTCACCCTGTCATGCACCAGCAGCAGCAGCACCCGGGTCATCCTGGACAGCACCATCCTCACCACCCGATGCACCAGATGGGGTATGAGCAGGCCCCTCAGCCGCCGCAACAGCAGCAGATGCGCCTCGACGCCCCCATTGAGATGCAGCACCGACAGCAGCCACCACAGCAGCATCAACATCAGCAGCAGCAGCAACAGGCACCGCCCCCACCGCAGCTGCAGCCTCCAGCCACAATTAACGGGCACGGCGGCGCCGGGCCGATGCAGGGGTTGCCGCCGCCCCCGTCGGACATGTACGTCGACCCGTATGGTCAGCCCCAGCCGATTAGTGCGGCACCGCGACCAGTCGCTGTTGGGGAGCCGCCCAACAAGCGGCCGAGGACAGGTGACGCGGAGCCTTCTGCTGGCAAGGAAGGTTCTGCGTCGAACGACGAGGAGGAGGACGACGATGAGCTGCGCGAGAAACCGCCACTGCCATCCAACTTCCGTCTGAGCTCGAAGCCGTTCAAGCCACGCCTCAGCGCCGAGTCGCATAGGCGCAGACAGCAGCTTCTGTCTTTGTTCCAGACCAACAACGCCGATGTGCGGCAGGTGTTCGAGTTGGCGGCAGACGCCACACCGGACTGGGACATTGACATGGTTATCGACGAGCAGGGCCACACGGCGCTGCACTGGGCGTGCTCGCTGGGTCGCATGGGGGTGATCAAGCAACTGATTGAGCTTGGCGCCGATATCCACCGCGGCAACTATGCTGGTGAAACGCCGCTGATCCGCTCGGTCCTCACCACGAATCTTGCGGACGCCGGGACGTTTGGCGAACTCCTGACGGAGCATCTTGGCGAGAGCGTGCGTACCCTCGACCACGCGTACTGCTCCGTCATTCACCATATCGCATTTTCGTCTGGTCTGAAGGGGCGCCAACCCGCGGCAAGGGGATACATGGCCGAGGTGCTTGGACACGTTGCACGGGAACAGGCCAAGGACAAGGAGAAGCGACAGAACGGCGAGTCCAACACCGAGGGGATCAGTCTCAAGCTTCTCGTGGACCTGCAAGATGTGCGCGGGGACACGGCGCTAAATGTTGCGGCACGCATGGGCTCCAAGCCACTGGTGAATCTGCTCCTTGACGCCGGCGCGGACAAGACCAAGGCGAACAAACTCGGCCTGAGACCATGTGACTTTGGCGTCGAAGTCGATGCGCTCACCGTCGCTCCGGCGGACGCGGCCGTTGGGCAGCTCAAGAGCGAGATCAAGCGTCCCGAGAAGCGAAGTCAGGATGTGCTGAAAAGTGAGTGGCAAGCCGCTGTCAAGCTGACCGCAGACATTTCTGGCCTGTTCGAGAGTCTCAACCGCGCCCATGGTACCGACATGGAGACGGCAGTCGTAGCGCTGAACGAGGTCGAGAAGAACGTGCGCACTGCAACCCGCACCCTTGCCGAGCGGAGGCAGCAGGTCGAGGCCGCACGGCAGAAGCTTACAAAACTTGAGCAGCAGGCGGAACGAGCAACTAATGCGAAGCGCGCGCTCGAAGCGCCTGATGCCGACTGGACGGGACGAACGGTACTCGAAGGCGAGACCGCGCCTCCTCCGGCATTCGGTATCGGCCTTCCCCTCCTTCCCGGCGCGGGACCGAAGGCAGACAGCGAAGACATGGTCGACGACCTTCCCCTCCCGGTCAAAGGAGAGGCTGGCGCGCTCGTCACCCTTCGCCGCATCGCGGCGTGGGAGGAACGAGCAGCCAAGCTGCTTGAAGAACGGGCGGCCGAGCTTGAAGGCGACGGCGCGGACCGCGCAATCAAGTACCGCAAGGTCATCGCTCTGTGTGCTAAGGTGTCGGTGGACCAGGTTGACGATGTGAGTAGTTTCACCCAGGAGGAGGAGGCGTCAAGCCGCGCGCGGTCATGCACGAGCGAGCCCCCACCGAGTTGTGCCGACGCGTGACGCAATGCGGCGTTGCTTCGACGCGTGTTGCGCGTCGTGTCGGCATGCTCGATCGCCGATCACCGAGGCTGCGCCTATGACGCACTTTACCCCACCGTCCATGCTTCATTGTGCTGACAGCAGATGCTGGACGGGTTGACCACTGCGGTCGAATCAGACGGACGGGCGATCGACCTCTCTCGGATCTCGGGACTGGTCAACAGACTGCGCAGGGCGCCAATAGCATAGGGTCCGCAGCCATGATCGTCGCGATTGGTCTCGGCACGACGACTGGCCGCCAACCGACGTCGTCATGTCCGAGCAGAGCGGAAGCGGGGCGGGGATGGCAGCACGAGGGAGAAGAGTGCTAGAAGGGCCGGAACATGACTGTTGGCCTTGTATGACGTATGGACAGTGATGTGCGCAACCGGCGCGGGAGTGAGTGGGCAAGGAACACCACTTAGAAGTGAGCGTGAGCTCGGCGGCGGGCGGCGGGACGGAGCCCAGAACTGTCGGTGAGGATGACGTTGTGTGGAGCGACGAGAACAGTCACGTCCAGAGGCTGACAGCCACAGCGGGAGGGGTGTGGGATGGACCGTGGCACGACGTCATAACCGTTCCGCACTGCCCAAATGACATCATCCACGACTGTCGAGCCACCAGCCAAGCGTGCCAGCATGCCATTGTGCGTGCTTGTTTGGGGGAGGGCTGGTCCGGCTGGTCAAGTTGGGTGCACGACAGAGGCGCCGAGACGCTGATATAAAGCGTTGCTGCGGTGTGCCTCTCTTCGTCAGTCTCAGTCTCAACAACTCTCTCTCCTCTGCTCTTTCCGCACCACCACCACCCACCACACAACACCACATCAACATGTCTGACATCGGCCGCCAGGGACTCGGTGACAAGGTGAGTTTCTCCGTTCACCAAGCTCTAAGATCGACGCTAACCCCAGCTCGCCTCCGCCGCCAAGCCCGACTCGCAGAAGACCGTCCTCGAGCAGGCCACCGACTTCGTCAAGGGCAAGGCTGACGCCGTCGCCTCGGCCGTCCAGCCCCAGCAGGAGAAGTCGACCACTCAGAAGATCGGCGACGCCATCTCGGGCGACAACACCAACCGCAACGTCGCCTAAGTGCACGTTAGAGGAGCAGTAGTTCTATAGTGAAGGGAGGGGCCGCGTAACCGGCCCCGATGCAGTTTATCAAGCACACCTGGCGGAGGGAGCATTGAGCGGAGCACTGAGGCGAGTGAACGCAGTCTGGAAGCATGGGGCATGGGAATGCGCGGCGCATAGTGTGGCGCAAGGCAAGCTATGCGTGAGAAGCCTCTGTTAGTCATAGGCACAAGTAGCTTATGCTGGTCCATACGCTTCGCTACGTCACCCTCCGCGTCGCAGTCACATATGGCGCCGCCCACGCCTGCACGCCGAACCGCTCGTAGAATCCCAGCATGCTGGCCCAGTCGATGAACACGCCGTCCGCGCCGCGCCGCGTCAGCTCGACCATACCCGCCGCCGTCAGCCCGACGCCGGCACCTGTGCCGCGCGCCGCGGCGCTCACGCCAACGCACGCAATCACGCCGCACGCCTCACCTGGCGTCAGCTGCGTCGCGGCGAGCTCACCCAGCGTGTCGGGCCATGCGAGGCGCACATGCGCCGGACTGCCTTTGACGGCCGCGAGCGTCGCGCCAATCACCTCGCCGCCGCGCAACGCGAGGTGGATGTCTTGTGCGCGCCCCGCCTCAAAGAAGGTGGCGAAGAGGTCCGGCCACCCGCAGTAGCCCCCGAACTCGGCGTGCTGCATGCGCATGACGGTGTCGGCGTCCGCCGCCGTCGCGGCGCGGAAGACCACGCCCTTCGCCTCCGCCGGCGCCGTGAACTGCCCCAAGTCGACGCAGCTCGGCAGCGCGCCGTACAGGTCCGTGGCGCGCTCGCCGAGCGTCCAGCCCCGCTTGCCGAAGAAGTCGATCGCCGGCGCGCCCTCGGGCAGGCCGGGGAAGATGCGGGGGAACGCCGAGCCGAGCTGGATCGCGCCCTCCGTCGGCCGCGGCGTCGACGCCGCGAAGCTCGCGCGCACCGCCGTCTCGAGGTACGCTACCGCCGCCGAGTGGAGTGCGGAGCCGACGCCCCGGCGCTGGTGTGAGGGATGCACGGCCAGCGCGGAGAGGCCGCCGCGCAGATGCTGCATCGACGGGTCGACGGCCGTGCCGGCCCGAATCGTGTATGTCAGCGCCCAGCCTACGATTTCGTCGGTGCGCGCGAGGAAGACGCGGGCCGTGGGATAGTTCAGCAGCGCGTGCAGCTTGCCAGGTGGGAGAGAGTAGGAGGGAGTCGTGCCTAGTGTTGCCTCCCAGATCGCGTGCAGCGCGTCGGTCGGCGCGCCGGGCTCATAGGGCGTTATGGTGACCATGGTAGATATTATGAACAAGTGGCGATGAACATGGTCAGAGTGGGTATAAGTGATTGAGGTGTCAACAAGAACGATCTCGGGCCGATCGCCGGAGTTCTTTAGCCGTTATCATTGCCGGTTCATGCCTTCAACATGTCTCTAGTCAGACATCTCGATTCACATGCGCCCGAATGCCATGTCTGCTCTCCAGTCCTTATCTGACACTACAAGGCAGAAGGGCTTGAGTGTCTCATCCTTCCCGCGAGTGGAGGGTGGTTGGACTAGGAGGCTCACGACACCGGGCTTTGAACCTCTAGCGCACGCAATGCTATGCTATACATGCTTCTCCGTTATGCTAAGCAGCGCTACACCGCCCATCCCCTCAAACGCCCCACGGCGATCCATGCGCCCTTGCCGTCACTTTTCCTCCGCCACTCCCCTTCGTCCTTGCTCTCCGCCGCCTCACGCCACCGCTCCAAGTCCTCCCATTCGACGTCGAGCGCCCTCACGGCGTTTGACAGATACGCCAAGTCGCTTGCGAGCTGCGCAGCGCCTGGAGCAGTCAGACTGCGGATGGCCGGAAGCGTTGTGCGCGTAAGGTGGGAGAGCAGTGAGAGAGCCAAGCTGGACACCCAAGTCGAAAGGACGGCTTCGGGAGTCAGCGCAGGTTCTGTCGCGGCCGCTTTGGAAGTGATAGCGGTAGTGGAGGCGGGGATCGGAGATGCCTGCCCGCTGCCAACACCGCTGGGCGTTCGTTCGCGCTCACTACCGCGCTCCAACTCGCGCTCTTCTTCCTTCGGGGCGAGGAGCTCTCGTAGGGAGTCGACGTCTACGAATGGTAGCGTCTCGATAGAAAACGCCAGCGCATCATCGGCCGCATACACCTCAAACACACGCAGCAGGTTCAGCAGGCCTTCTGACACGCGGAGGATCGTGTCCGTTGGCGACAGCGAGAAGGAGGGAATGGCAAGTTCCCCGCGCCGTGTCGGTTTCTCAGGCTGCGCCCACACGCTGAGGGATGGGTAGGCATCGAGGTGGCTCTGCAGGGGCCGGAGAATGATGCCTTGGAGGAACACTTGAGCAGCGCGGGTAAAGGATGAAAGCGCTTCGCGGGCGGCGGGGAGAGGGTAAGAGTCACTTGATAGGCCCGAGACGAGCGCGTGTAGCTCGGCACTGTTGAGTGTGCTCTGTTGTAGGAGAGTGATAGCGCCGAGCGTAGTGTCGGTGCGTTGAAACGTCAGCCCATCAGCAGGAGTGAGAGCGAGCGTTGACGCAATTCCCAACAGGGCAGCGTGCAGCTTCCGCTCGAATGCGGAGAGCCGATCACGCACGTCCCGGCACGCTTCCAAAACATGCAAGCCCAGCTGAAAGGCACCCCAATCCTGCGGGGAGTAGTCTAACCCTTCAAGGTCCAGAGTGTCGTGACCTGCCCCGCGGCGAGCAGCCCCACGCGCAGCCTCGATAATGCCCTTGTTGTCGCTGAGGAACTCAGCCACTGTTCCGGCCAAAGCTTCGAGCAGTCCCAGCGCTCCGTAACCGTGCGTCAATGCCAAGCAGCGGGCGACGGCGTCCTCGGCGAGCGCGAATAGTGTAGTTGCGCGGCTCGTGAGCGTGCGCGCAGGGTTCTCCTCGCTGATTTCACCATTGAGCGGCGGATCATTCGCCAGCAGGTAGCCGAGATACTTCTTCTCCATGGCGGGATAGGACACTTGAAGGTCGTGGAAGGGCTCGTAGAGACTACCCTCCCACCCGGTGGGCGATGAGACCTCCGGCGCGAAAGAGAATGTGCGGGAGAAGCGGTGTGAAACGCTTACGTGGCGGGTGTGAGGTGAGGCGAAAGATGGGGAGGAAAGGGACGGCTCGCGGCGCAAACGAGCGGTGCTTGCGGCAGGAGAGGCAGGCCCTGCGGGCGACAAACTTCCAGACACGTTGGAGATTCGTCGATCGAGGCCCGAGAGCTTGTCCATCAAGCCTTGAACGGAGTGCCCGAACTCCTCAGTGGCCTTGAATGCGCGTATGATTTCGGGAAGCGCCTGTGGGCCGTGGTGTTCGCTCACGGCTGACAGGCGGAACTGCATTGATGGTGAAAGATCGTCAAGCGCAGCCTGGAAGAAGGCCCCCAGGACATTGGCCGTCGATTCCGCCGGGAAGATGGCCGCAATCTGCGACTTTTCGGCGTTCAATGTGCTCAGCACGGTCGCGTAGAATCGTGGAAGGAATACGGTGAAAGGCAGACCGTCTTCAGACGGTGAGTCGGCGTCGGAAAGCTCGGCCTCGGCCCACGCCTTGGAGATCGGTGCGCGCCGCGCGGCGAAATAGTAGGTTTGGAACTCGCTGCCTCGGTCCATCATGCGGAACACATCATGGAAGCTTGCGCATTCCTTAGTGTCAACGCGCGCGATCGCGTCCTTGAGCGCAGCAGAGAGCGCTGTCTCCAGTTCGTTCTGCAACGACACCAGGAGGGAGCGCTTGCTCTCGTACTCGCCCTCAGCGGACTGAAAGACGCGCAGGCTTTTGGCTGCCTCCGCGAGGCGCTGTCCAGCCTTCGTCCATCTCTTCTCGGCAATAAGGGAGGTAATCTCTCCCTCAAGTGTGCTCCAGCTTTCAGCCTCGGCTAGGATATCGCGCGCGCTCTCCATGCGGGTCTTGAGCTTGTCAAGGTGACCCAGTCGCTCGAGCGCGCGGTGCGTCTTCGCCTCGTCACTGTCCGACTCGGCCGGCGCCGCCTGCCGTGCCACTCTATCTTGAACCAGGTGGAGCGACGATTGAAGCGAGACTGCGCTCTCGCGCATGAATTGCAGGTCGTACGTCAGGCGAGGGACGTTGCGACTGATATCATGGATACTTTGCTCGAGCGCCCCACTTGTGTCCTGCGAGAGAAGCGAAAGCCTGGTCAGCAGCTCGCCCAGCTGTCGATCGATCGGCGCAAGGTCGGGCGCCAACTGCCCCGACGGCAGTGCCTGAGGGAGATGTGGTGCCAGCAGACCGTTGAGGAAGGCAGGGACGTCGTCGTCATAGCAGTCGAGGGAGGCGGCGAGAGCACCGAGCGAGGATAAGGGGTCCACTGCATCGGGCGCATCATTCGGAGGTGGATCGGTGAGGTCGACGACGGCCGGCTCGCCGTTTGCGCTTGCCATGCTCTAGCTTCTAGTTGAGGAGTGTTGAAACGCGTCGATAACTCGACCGGCGTGGAGGATGTGGAGGTGAGCGGGAGCAGTCTCGCGTGGCCCCTTCGTAGACTCGTCGTGCGAACCAAATAACGCGCGGTTGCCTTCTCAGTCAGCATCCTCCTTAACAGCCCTCGTCATGTCAACATATAACGAGGTGAGTCGCGAGAACTTGCGGACAGTCTGGAAGGGCTTTTATGTGGGAGGCTTGAGCCAAGCGGCTCCCGGGAAGGCGGCACCAGCTCGTCTCCATTCCAATCCAGCTGCTTACTCCAGCGCTATGACGATACGCTCTCCAAGGCCCCTTGGGTTGCCAAGTTCTCCAGTGGCCGCACACTACTATTTGTGAGTTAAACAACGACACTAGCAACAACGACACTAGCTGATGAAGAAATATGCCCCCTACACGGAAAGGAAAGGCTACCTCTTTGCAGCGACCGATCTGGAGACTGTCTACTTCGAGGCAGTATTTGGAGCGTCCATTGCGACCAGACTCGCCCAGGTATCGGAGAGGGAGGGGAAAGACTCTGATGTTGGCATGGAACAGGCAGAGGGCGCTCTGGGATCGCTCAGCGAAGCATTCGATGGAGGGTGGGAAGGCGCCAGCATGGAGGTTGTGACAGACGACTACTTCGTAAGTTTCGCACTGCGCGGCTTGTGGAGAGCCTCTGATGCCTGGAACCTTGCCGCTTGGCCTATTCGCTCACATCAGGATGCAGTTTACTTCCTACGCAGCGGAGACTTTGCGTGGCAATTCAACATGACTGAAATGCGAGGTCGGCAACCGCTGACTTTCATTGCGAAGCATCTCCTTGCCCCGTTCAGTGTGCTGATGGCGCAAGATCGTGGCGTGGAGGTGTGTCTGCCCAAGCTATTCAGTGCGGTGCTGATTGCAGCCGGCTGACTCTGGGCGCCCCGTAGACATCGTCTCAGCCGTACTCTCCGATAGCGGCGTCGCTCGCGCTCTACGCAGGGTGACGGGCGCCCCGCCGCCAGCCCTAGGGGGCCCACTTTCGAGGAAGAACACGCCGCTGCCAAAGAAGGACCGCGCCGGGCTGATCACGACACCTGTGGCACTCAAACCTAAACGCACGCCTTCGCCGGACCGAACACCTCTTGGCCGGCCTCCAACCCCACCTAGAGCATCTGTCTCTCAGGCATTGCCGCCCCTGATACCGCCATCATCTCCTACGCCTGCCGCGAAGCGCACTCGCGCCTACGATTACGCCGCGGGTATACTGCCATCCTCGGGCCCGGCGAGCTCTGGACCAGGTACCGAGCCAGGGCGCTCGCGCAGCACGTCACCGCTCAAGGGAGTGATTGTCGCCGAGAGCATCGACTTGCCGGCCAGCACACCTCCTGTCCCACCATCCGATCCGCCGAGCTCCACGTTCAATCCGCCATCATCCACACAGGATCCGCTGATTCCCACGCAGAAGAAGAAGAGGAAGAAGGACAAGAAAGCCGAGGAGGCGGAAGAGGAGGCAGAGGCGGAGAAGCGCCGCACTGCATTGAAACGGAAAATGGCTACAGGGGGAGGTGGAAGGCTGGGACGCCGGCGGTAGTAAGCGTTGTAGGTTCTCAGTATACCTAGTACAAAGACCAATCTATGAGCACACTCCGGCGACATACGGGGGAATGTGGAGCTCGTGCGGCATTGGCCTTCCACTGAACGCTGTTGTCTTCAACGAGCCTGCCAGCGTCTTCGACTCAAGTGATCATGGTAATGTCGTGGCACTTGCATAGCCCATTATTCTCCGGCATCAGAAGCGTGCTTAACATCCCCCCTCGCCGGCCCCATCACTGACGTGGAACATCAGAATCGGAGCTTGCATGGATAGTCACTCAACCACGTTCGTCCTTTGTCCTATAGAAAAGCTGTCACCGGAGCGGGGTCCTCCTTCTTGCCCCCCGCGCTCGGGGAAAGCAGATCTCGGCGCACGGACCTGTGCGCTGCACCTAGCCGCCTTGCGTAGGGCGCACCTTTCCAATCCTCCAGCATGCATCAACGTCACACCTGCTCGGCTTGCTGCTGCTGCAGATGCTCAAGGGGTAGAAGAAGGCTGCGTTGATGGACCACAGACGTAGGGGCATTTGCATCTCATGTGTGTGGGTTGCGCACACGGTGCAGCAGATGTGGCAGACCACCGTGAGATAGTTGACCTGGACCTCCACCTTGCATGATCGTCATACCACCATCAACTGAATGGGCATTGCACTTCTTCCCCATCCACCATGACCACTCTTCCGCCAGCGCTGCAGCCTAGCAGCGTCACCGCGCTGGCTCCACCACCTGTTCTGGTACCTCCTATCAATTTTGCTCTTGTCGCGCCCGGCGTGTACCGCTCAGGCCACCCGAACCGCCGCAACTTTGGCTTCCTTGCGAGGCTGGGGCTCAAGGCCGTGGTGTGAGTAGGCGAGTGAGAGCACTCCAAGGGAGATCTCTGTTAGGGAAAAGAACTCGCCAGGAAGTGCTGCGGCGAGACATTCCCCTTCCGCCCGCAAGCTCGCTCCGCTGGCGTCATGTCGCTGACTCTAGCTACGTCGAAAACGCGGATGAATACCGGCGCGATGGTGCAGACTTTGTTCAGCAACACGGGCTCGCACTGTACCGCTTCGATCTGAGCGATGAAGAGGTACTACCCCTATGTGTCCGAGCTGACTCGCAGGCGTTGTTTTCTCCCTCCGGTCGCAAGAAGCTGCTCGAGGCACTGTCGGTTCTACTAGACACGCGCAACCATCCCCTCCTGGTTCATGACGACACGGGCAAGGCGGCGGTTACGCTCGTGTGCGCACTTATCCGCTGCTTCCAGCGCTGGGCACTTGCGGCCGTGTATGCCGAGGGTGACATGTTTGCTGGAGCTGGCGGAAGCGAAGGCGGTGGAGTGGGCAACGCAGGGCGAGAGTTCATCGCCATGTTTGACCCCGCAACTGTCGAGCTCGACCTCGCGCACACCCCTTCGTGGGCCGTGGCGGGGTGACTCCCGTCTTTTGTCCACCACAGACCAGAGGGGTTGGCGGTGACAGTGCTCGGGCCAGGTGACGGGGCGAGGAGGCTCAAGGGAAACGACACGAGAGCGAAAGGCGAGGCGAGGAGAAGAGACTCGTTGGCTGCTAGCTGGCGGCCGTCGGTATCCGTCGCATGGACAGGTACATGGCGCGCCGCGTCACAACACGCGTCCAAGCGGACTGCTGGCGGCCAGTTTTACATTGTTCACATGCCAGCTGGCACACTGAACCCTGCGGGAGCTCAGCGCTCGGTCCTCTGCACCCCCTCGGCCCACCCTGCCGAGGCGGCGAGCTTGCTTGACAACAAAGCATCGAGGGATCTTGCTGCTCGGTGACTCGCGTGACTCGTATCAGCTGTGAAACGGCCAGCCACTTCGCTCGCAACCGCAGCTCAAACATTGCCATCGCCCCAGGCCGACATCACATTCCGTTTCCTCCGTTTAAGTCGGGTGCCATCTCATCACAGCGTTTGCCGCGTTCTTGTCTTATCATCTCATCCTCAATCATGGACTCTCTCACCATCGTTCGCATGCCGGTCCCTGTCATCCACTACCCAGACTCGCCGGCCTCTGCAGGGCCTTCACACATGCTTCGTCTCGCCCACAAGCGGTCACAACCGTTTCATCAGCACGCCGCCCATCGTAAAACGACCGCTTTCTCTGCCCGCCGCCAGCACAACGTCAGCGGATCACAATCTCACCGGCACCGTAATGTGAGCGGCACGCGGCGTCAGCACAATATCAGTGGCACGCGGCGCTATAACAACGGGAGCGGGACATACGCACGCCACCGCAATGTCTTCGGCCCACCACCCCCGATTCACACACACCTCCCTTCTCCTCGGAGGCGACACCAGTCGCTGATCAAGCCGTTTTTGGTCCGAACGCCGCGCACTCCGCCTTCCTCCCCGATGCTTGCCCGCATGCCCGTGTCCCCACGACCTCCAAGGCCATGGACACCGCTTCTGATCGCCGACGATGCTGTGTCAGTCCGCTCGACGCGGCCATGCTCTCCAGCCTTTGGACCAGCCCACCCTAAATCTCAGCGCCGGAAACTGCGGCACGCGGTGCGCTCGCTTCTGGGCAACATCATCAGGCGGCAGCGTGAGGACATCGACGAGGAGGACGAGGACGAGGACGAGCCCCAACTGCTCGGATTTACCGGTGGCGCCCCGCTGCGCCCACACCGCTCCCCCGGCGCTGAAAGCTTCCACGCTACCTCGGGACGTGTCGCACTCGAGCCCACGCGCTCGTTATCTCCACCAGTACGCATGAGCACCATGGCCGTCGACGACGATCACGATTCGCCAATGCACCCACATCTGATCATGCGACCGCGTACACGGCGCCTCCACGACCGATTAGTGAGCCGATTTTCGGACTCGAGCGAGGACTCGGAGAGCGACGGCGTCTCGATCTTCAGCTTGAGCAAGCACGCCAAGCAAATACATCCGCTAATGCGTGGGCGCAAATGGAGCTCGGCGCCGAGTCTGACGCGCAGTACGCTGCGCGCGCTCAGTGTATCTCAAGGGCGGCGGGGAAAGTCGCTCGATCTGTAGCTATGACACGAGGCTTATGACATTTTTACGACGAAGTGTGTACGTGGGGTGAGGCGGAAGCGTCGCTCAGCGTTCTAGCTGATCATATGGAGTTCTGCGAAAGCGACCTCGGGGATGTTAAGTTCACGCATCAACTCGCAAGGGATGATGGCGCCGAGCGCGATCATTCGTCTCATAGTGCCTTGGTGCCAAATTCGTCCCCGCTTGCCTCTCGACTATAATAGTTGCGGGGGTCTCATTGAGGGCTCATACACAAACACACAGCCTACTCTGCTCGGTCCCGTTAGGAGAGGGATAACTTGGAGGGTCGTGTGATAAAAAGACAGGCGCGTGTGGGCTGCGTCACGGAGTTTGCGTCATGTCCACGTCTTGATGTTTACATAACATCGCTTGTAAATGAAGCCGATGTCGTCGGCCGGGCGCGCTAATCGGGCCGAAGTCAACCGATTATTACTCCATCAGCGCGTGGTCCGCGTGCACGCGTGGGAGGAGATCATGGTATCACGTTATTTGATCAATTGATCTTGATCCATGATCTTTGATCCCCCGGACCAGCCGACCATGCCAGCCATGCCGGCCAGGGCCACAGGCGACGACTAAGGCGGAGTACTGGTCGGGTGAGGTGCGTAGCGGCGGGAGATCGGGAGACAGTGGGGGATCGGTTAGCGTCTGTTGCCTTGGATCATGGGGCGTTGGGGGGAGGGGAGGAGGGAGATACTTTTCACACCTACTCCCGGACACTCAAGGCGGCAACGCCAGCGCTGCTCCAGAAGCCAAAAGACGCAGGCTATGCAACCACGCAGCAGGCAGCAGGCAGCAGGCAGCAGGCAGCAGGCAGTAGGCAGGACAGGCAGTACGCAGGCGAGGCCATGCAGGTCATGCAGGTCATGCAGGTCATGCAGGTCAGCAGCCTAACAAGCCTGCGCAGGGAGAGCAGGGAGAGCAGAAATGCCCAATTGTGCAAGTGATCGCAGATGGCAGGCGGGTCATTTGGGTGGGCCCCTGAACCTTCACCCAATCAGTCCTGGGTGAGCGGACGACGCGGACGAGGCAAGCGAGGCAGAGAGGAGAGGCATGAGAGCCGAGGAATTCGAGTGACGCCACCCAAAACTGCCACTGTGTGGGTAGAGCCCGCAACCTCCATATGGCCGATTAGGACGAATATCTGATCCCGCTTAACATTGTTTGGGATGGAGTAGGCGCAGCACCCAAGGCTCCATGGAGGGCTGGAGAAGGCTGCCCGCCCACGGCCAGCGGCCAGGACGCCCACCGGCACAGGGGGGGGGGGGGGGAAATCCTCTAGTAAGAGCTGGCTGGAGGGGGGTCTGACGGCCCGCCATACAACAGGCTACAGTCACCCACCACCTCGTACTACTCAACTCCCACTCTAGTACTACCAACATCCTCACCCAGTGAACCTCACTCACCACACCCACCACCCACCACCACCCACCTACCACCCACCCACCACCACCACCACCAACACCGCCCTCAACGTGAGTAACGCTTCCAACCATCCCATCCACACCTTGGCCACCATCACTCCATCCCCCTCCGCTGTCCACTTTCTCCCATTCTCCACCACTCCTCTCATTCCCAACATCCTCCTTCCTTCCCACCCACCACAGCAATGTTGTTGTTGTGACCCAGGCCCCGACGCGTGGCGACTGATTTCGTCCGGTGGAGGCCTGCATTCAGCACCACCACCATCCTCTCCCAATCACTCTTCCACACTCTCCCAGTGCACTCCCATGCCGGGGAAGCCCCTCCCGGCCTCTGGTCTCCCGTCGCGGCGGTGACTCCTGCCACCAAACGGCGACGCGCGCACCTTCCTCCTCTTCCATCCACCCCACACTCCCATCCACCCACTTGTCCATCCGCATCCGACGCGTCTCCCAGGCCTCCCAGTGCACAGAGGTGATCGTACATGCGCTGGTGGCGCGGATGCACCGCTTGGCGCGCGCCTGCATGATCCTCGTGGGCAAGGCCTATGGTAGAGTTCCCGGACAGGCAGGCCTCTCCCCTTTGGCGCCCGCCTGCCCAGGCCCAGAACCGTATTCCTGCCCCCCAAGTTGGGGTGGCCCACCTCCACCAATCCTCCTCCACCCAAACTCGTCAACAACAACAAACCTTTCTCGTTCCCCAATATTTCATCTCTCCCATCTCCATCTCATCGTCACCCCTCCACCCACAATCCACAACATTTCACACCATCGTGCACTGTCACTGACGCTACGCTTCTAACACACTCAACGGTCCATTGCATCACTCGCACACCCAAACCCTCACTCACTGTCACTGCATCGCATTGCTCAACCTTCCCTCGCTCACCCCACCGCTCTTACTACCACCTTCCTTCGCCCCGCAGAATGCCAAAGGTTACCACCAAGGACGACAAGAAGGCCAAGACTGTCCGTCCCAAGAAGGACAAGAACAAGCCCAAGCGTGCCCTGTCCGCGTACATGTTCTTCGTTCAGGACTGGCGTGAGCGCATCAAGTCGGAGAACCAGGACGCCGCCTTCGCCGACATTGGCCGCCTTCTCGGTGCCAAGTGGAAGGAGATGTCGCCCGCCGAGCGCAAGCCTTACGAGGAGAAGGCACATGCCGACAAGGACCGCGCTGCCCGGGAGAAGGCCGATTACAACGCTGCCAACGGCAAGAAGACGAAGAAGTCGGCCCCGAAGGCCGTGAGGTGAGCTCTTTCTCTATCTCGTTGTGTGCTTGGGAATCACCAGCTGACCGGCAGTGAGGACGATGACGACGACGAGAGCGACTAAGCGTCGAGCCCCATGCGTCAAATCTCGACTCTTCATCACCTTCGATACCCTCTCTCTCCCCCCCCTTCGTTCTCGGAACGCGGCTGATCACTCATCGCGTCTCTGTGCTATAGTTGGTTTCGTTTGGTTTCTCTCCTAGCCCTTTCGACCGCGCCGTTGTTTGCCTCCGCAAGATGACAGTCTTAGCGCGGCCTTATGCAGTGTATTCGAGTCCGCCGAAGTTGATGTTGCAGGGAGCTAGCGCGTGTTGCATGTCCACTGTTCCTCGCTGTGACGGTGTGCGGCAAGATGAGTGAACCCTTGAGCGCGAGGAAGAGACCAAACACGAGTCTGTGACGTAATACGCTGCACGACCGGGTGAGGCCGTCGTCATCTTCCCGGTGTAGAGTAATAAAGGCTCGCATTCAACAACGCAGTAGGCTATGGCCCAATGCAAAGGCGAGTCGAAATTTCGAAAGACGAATGTACCTTCCGAGACATCTCATTCACCAAGTCCATCTTGTCTCGTCATGAACTGGACTGGACGTCTCGCTGGTGCATAGAGTCTTGCTGGTGCTTCAAAACGCCCCCCCTATGACGGAAGCAAAAATGTGGGCTGAGAGGGAGAGGCGGAGGGCGCGGAGTGTGAGTTGGGTGGACGGAAAGAGGTATCGTGGTCCTGCTGGATGGTCGATCTCTCTTCCTTTCTCATCTCGGTCTCGTCAACGACGACTTTTTGGCTCCTCGCCCACCCGGCATCCTCCCGCTCTGGCCCACGCTTGCAGACGCTTGCACGCCCGCACGCCCGCACGCCCGTACGCCAGCACGATGCGCATCTCTCCCACCCAGTTCGAGGGGCTTGACAAGTACAAGTACTCGAGTGTGGATAAGAGTATCCTCTCTCGCCGGGTGCTCACGCCATGGTGGAACTGGCTCATCACTCTGTTCCCATATACCCTCGCCCCTAATGCCGTGAGTGGACTCTTGGGCAGCTTGACCCTTCTTCGCTGTGCTGGATAGCGGCCGTCCCATCACTCTACGGACTTTATGGGCAGGTCACGCGTGACGTCGGGACCGAGCACAGCCGCTCGGTCTGGTCTATCCGCGTCCAGCCCAGTCGTACCAGAGTCGGCCAGAAGGCAAGACTCAGAGGACTGGAAGCGACGCCGGACTTGTAGTGCGAAGGCCATGTGTCTGTCGCAGTGGAAGAAGCAACTTGAGCAATCTGGGGTCGCCAGCTAAACATCTCCTCCACCTCTTCTCAAGACCACACGCTAACGCCAGATTACCTTCCTCGGCCTCTGCTTCGTGTTCTTCAACGTGCTTACGCTGGCGTACTACGACATCGAGTATGAGGGCAAGGACCTGCCGTGGTGGGTGTACGCGTCGTGGGCGTTTGGCCTCTTTGCATACCAGAGTGAGTTCTGACGAGGGGCGGTGGGTGGATGCAGCTGCTCACACTAGGCATGGACGCCATCGACGGCAAGCAGGCGCGCCGCCTCGGCATGGGCAGCGCTCTCGGTGAGATGTTTGACCACGGCTGCGACGCGATCAACACGTCGCTCGAGGTTGTGCTTGCATGCCACGCCTTGGGCCTGAACCGCTCGTGGTGGACCGTCGCGAGCGAGGTCGCCTCGTTGCTCAATTTCTACGCCTCGACGTAGGTCCGCGAAGGCTGTCATTTTACTAACCGGTCAGATGGGAGGAGTACCACACCGGGACCCTCTACCTGTCGGCGTTTTCCGGCCCGGTTGAGGGCATCGTCATGATCATCGTTATCTACATCATTACGGCCGTGCATCCGCTCCACCAGCACTTCTGGCAGCAGCCGCTCGTGTCGCTTCTTCCTGCGCATATCGGCGACAACGCCGCCGCGGCAATTGACTCCGCTCTTGGCCTGCCAGAGAAGTACACGCTCGCGACGCTGCCCATCAACGTTGCGTTCATGATCTTTGGAGCTATCGGTACCGGAGCCAACATGCTCAACGCGTACTACAACGTGATCGCTGCGCGCCACAAGGCCGGCAAGCCTATTGTCACTCCTCTCTTCGGCCTCCTCCCTTTCGGCGCGCACACGCTCATCCTGTGCGCGTGGCTGCACGCCGAGCGCTTCGACGGCGTCTCCATTGTCCACGACGCCCGCCTCCTCCCCTTCCTCGGCTACTGGGGCATGGCAGCCGCGTACCAGGTCTCGCAGCTCATTCTTGCTCACGTCACCAAATCGCCCTTCCCCTTCTGGAACGGCATGATGGTGTACTCGCTCGCCGCTGCGATCGATGCCAACGCCCAATGGCTTTTCGGAGTGTAAGTCGTCACCTAGTCAACCAGCTAACATCAGCGAGCCGCTCGTGCAGTCGTCGCCGACCGCGTCCAACGTCTTCATCTGGATGTCCTTCTTCGTCGCGCTGTTCAACTACATCCGCTTCGCACGCGAGATCATTTGGCAGATCTGCGACTACACCGGTATTGCATGTTTCACCGTGCGCCGCCGCGACAAGACCGGGCGCTGGATCGAGGCCGCCGAGATGGTCCGAGAGATCGAGGAGCTGCGCAAGACGCAGTAGGCTCCCATGCGCTGCTCTCGAGAGCTTGCCACCAGCACCGGGCGAGCTTACTCTCGGGAGAATTGGACGTCCAAACCTAAATCGAACGTCTTCCCGCCTGCCGGATATCACTCCATGTCTGTTCGTGCTGCGGTTATACCCGCAGACACTCTGCTATGCATCATGGTGCCTCTGTGGGATGCAGGAGGGGAAGTGCTAATCTGCGCCAGACGCTGTACAGCCGCCAGAGTTAAAAGCCAGGGCCGGTGTGGCTGCTCAAGCCGCTTTCATCGATATACGTGACGCGTCTCCTTGTCCTTGCATGATCATGAGCAGCAACCTCAAGAGTGCGAGGGTTTTATCCAGCGGTCGCTCACTCTCAAGTATAACGTGGCGGCTCAGCGCGTGCCCGAGCCGCATACGAACAATCGCGCGCGATCCACACACATTTCACAGCATTCTTGGTCAGCTTCACGCCATCTTTCATTCGCCCCTCGGGACTCTAGAACACATGCATGCTATTATACACATCGAGAACCTGTCTACCGCGCTTCGAACTGGACCTGGCCGTCAGCAATTACCCAATGGTGCGGGACAATATCCAAGCCGAGAAAGGCGACTCACGACTGCTCGTCAGCGAATACTCCCGACAGGCGGCTGGCCGAAGTACTCACTCTTGTGCGTGCGCGGCTTGTACATGACACGGTGCCCGCACTCGCGGCAGCGGATCAGCTCGCCCATCTTAATCGACGTTTTATGGCCGCAGTCTGATGTCAGCAAGCAAGAACAAGGATGGGAGTGAGGAGTGGGGGGCAGTGTGCGCAGACTGTGACCAGCGCGCGCTCGAGGACCCGGAGAGCTTCAAGGAGCACAAAGGGCGCTACTGCAGCGCGGAGATTGCTGCGGAGGAACCCGCCGATAGAAGGACGGAGACTCGATGGTCGACAAGAAACCAAGACTCACCGCCGCAGAGGTACTCGCTCGCCTCGGTGGGCTTGGGCGCGTCGCGCTTAGGCAGGTGCGACTCGTCTGGGCGCGACGACTGGTAGGGGTTGGACATGATGGATGTGCGGTGTGGATGTGGTGGATGAGCGAGATGATGAGTTGCCGGGATGAAGTTGTTTGCAACGAGCGCTTCGAGGCGTTAGGTGGCAAATCTACCCTTTGACTTTCATTTAGCCCCGTTTCTAATATCATCTCTTATACTCTGGCAAATGCCTTCAGTTGCCGCCAGAAAATATTCCGTGTGCACTGTTATCACCAAAAGTTGACACCTCCACCACCACTGAAATCTTCGATCTGCTACTCACCCAAGTACCACACACCACGCACGATGCCGCCCTCCGCCGCCGCATCCAAGAAGATTAAGGCCAAGAAGGCCGCTGCTGCGCCGGTCGACGCCGCGCCCCCTGGTGCGCTCCCCGCCGGCTTCAAGCCGCAGCAGGCGCGCAAGGCTGTCGACGCGCTGCTCGCGTACCACGAGAAGACTGCGGCGGAGCGCGAGCGGACAGAGCTCATCGCGCGCGACGAGTATATTTGGCTCTCGATCAACACCAAGACGGGGAGCACGCGGAAGAAGCTCATGCCGGTGAAGATGTGAGTTTGGATGGACATGCGGCGAGGTGGGATAGGGTAGTGGGTGTGATGGGCGATCAGGACGGGCTGAGCTCGGCTGAGCGAGGCGAGGATAGTGGAGACGCAGATCATGGACCTCGGATAGCTATGGTTCACGCTGACCTTGAAGCCAGCTCCCCACCCCCGCCCTCCCCCCACCGCCCGCGACTTCCGTCTGCCTGTTCACCAAGGACCCGCAGCGCGAGTACAAGGACCTGTTGGAGAAGCAGGGCGTCAAGTTCGTGGACCGGGTCGTTGGTGTCGAGAAGCTGCGCGGCAAGTTCAAGCCCTTTGAAGCCCGCCGGCAACTGCGCAACGACCACGACCTGTTCCTTGTCGACGACCGCGTGCTCCCCTTGATGCCCAAGCTGCTCGGCAAGATGTTCTTCGAGGCCAAGAAGACGCCTATCCCCGTCAACGTCCTCCGCAAGGACCTCAAGGCCGAGCTCGGCCGCGCCATCGCCTGCACCTACTTCCACCCGTCGACCGGGACGTCTCAGTAAGTTGTGGCAGCGGATCCCGTCCACGTACACCCTCTGACCCCAGCTCCGTGCGGATAGCGACTCCTGGCGTGACGACGCCTGCGGAGACCGTGGCAAACCTTCTCGCGGCTGCGCCCGCCGCTGCCGAGCTCGTGGGCGGGTGGGACAACGTGCTTTCAGTCGGCATCAAGACGAGCACGTCGGTGCTGCTGCCCGTGTGGAGCGCGCCGTTGACCGGGCGATTCAAGGACGCCGCTGCCGACGCTGCCGAGGAGATGGAGGTTGAGGAGCCTCAGCCCAAGGCCACCAAGGCCAAGGCCGTCAAGGCTACCGACGCGAAGGAGAAGAAGGCCGCGCCCGAGCTCAAGAAGAGCTCGACCGTCGGCTCGGGGGCTAAGAAGGCCAAGGCGGCTGTCGTCGGCACGCCCAAGCCCAAGACTAAGGCCAAGGCTAAGTAGATACCCATCCGTATAGAGGCTCGTTTGGACCACATGTATGCATGTTTACTGAGGCGGTGTGGGATGGTACGTCGCTGCTCTATGAGCTGAGGTGGTGGGCTCTCCTGATCGCGGCAAAGCCGCATAAAATTGAGAACAAAGGATCGCAGAGGCTGGGCTTTCCGCCCTCTTCTTGCAGAGGTTGAGAAGGGCTCTCTCCTCAAGCTCAAAGCAACACTACTTTGTGTTCGTCTGGTGTGCTCACGAGAGAGCAGCGTGTCTGACAAAACCGACGAAGGCCCTTTGCAACTGTCGATTAGTCCTCGTGGTGTAGTGGTTATCATACTCTCTTAGGGTCTTGCTATGGGAGTGGCCCCGCGTTCGAATCGCGGCGAGGACCGATGGGATTAACTTCCCAAAGGCAATCGACCTTTTGGCTGGCCACACGCAGGTTGACTAACCTCCACCGGATCATTACCTCCCCACCTTGTTTGGCTCCTCTCTGCTTCTCCCTCAACTTACTTTCACTCATCAAGAATGGCAGAGACAGATGCCGACGCAGTGATTCCTCTTCAGGAATGGCTGAAGCTCTTGCAGACGCATGGCGTGCCGATGCGAGCAGCTATGGGGCTCGCCGCCAAAGCATACAAGGAGCATAACACGCGCGAGAAACTCGCGAAACTCCCTGTGGACAAGTTTGTGCCGGACAAGGAGGGGCGCAAGTCCGTGGTCGTCGCTCTGCGCGCCATCACAGCTGGTAAAGTAAGACCCCTACTCCCCAAGCGCTTACACAGACTGCGAAGAAGAAGCGGGCGCGGGACGACGACCTCCTTCTTCCGCTTGAGCCAGCGGCGCCGACCCTTCCGAAGACTCTGGACTTTCACGAAATACTCGACCCGGAGGTACGCCGGCTCTCGCCTCAGCTGTATGGGGCGCGAAGCGCAGCTGACAGCAGCAACTGATCCCCGTGACAGTCACGGTCAACCGCGCGCCCGTCAAGACGGCGTGGGCGTACACTGTTGCGCGCCGGCTGGGGTTTGACGCGCAAGAAGCTCTTTCTCTGGCGCATGTGTACGTGCACATCGGGAGCATGAAGCACGCGCTCTCGCTGGGAAACATCTACAACGCCCAACAGACGCATGAAGCAGAAGAGGAGATCCGCGAGCTGCCTGGCGAAGCGGACTACCGGCGCCCCGGCGCACCAACGTCGCCACAGAAGCGGAGGGGACGGGGTGAGGTGGTCGAAAAGGCCGTCGGTAGCAGCCAGCCGTGGGTCATGCTGCTGCGCACCAAGTAAGCACCGGTTTCTCGCTGGCTTCAGATGCGAGCTCACACCAGAATGTATGCCACAGACGCAAACGTGTGCGCGCCCGAACAAAAGCTGACGCTAGCCCCGTTATTGAGCGCCCGGACGGTACATGGCGCGCGATCCAGAAGGGCTTGCCCGTCGAGCCGAGTGTCGTGCGTTGTCCTCGCGCGGGGCGCTGATTCCAGGCGTACCTCTACATCACACGAGCGCTGAAGGACTTGACGCCGCACGTCATGGGCGCGATGCAGCTGGTCGCGAATTCGTACGACCCAGAGGAACTCAACGCCGCTGGAGTGGCGATATATGTCAGTTTGCGGAGTTTGAGGCTGATGGCAGAGCGCGTTCAAACCTGACGTCGTCGAGTGGGGGCAGCGAGGCGGTGTTGCGGTGGCGGATATTCTGGACCAGATCAAGACGAAGGCTGATGACTCGGCGGAAACGGAGGTCAAGGCAGGGCATGAGGGGCCGCCCGAAGGTGAACCGGCAGCACGGGCGGAAGTTAGACCTCCAGCAACGCCAGCATCCCCAAGGTCCGAGGCTTCGTCCCTAACACCTGCGCCGAGTGAGGACGCAGCTCCTGAGGCTGCCCAGGAGGCCGCGCGGGAAACAGATGAGCCCCCAGCCAAACGGCAAAAGGAGATGACGCTGGAGGAGTACGAGGCGATGCTGGACGATGACTTTGACGAGGAACTGTACAACATCCCATGATCTAGATGTTCCTATTGCATATAATGAACTGCCTCTTCAAGCACAGGGTGCATCATGTATCAGATTGTATGGTGCGGAACGAACCACCGCCCTGCACGAATAAGGCCGAAGCCAGCAGGCGGGGTCAGAAAATGCGCCGCTTGATCTTCCGAGATTGGCTTGACCCCGCGACGTAATGATCCCGAAGGGACGCGCGGAGTAGGTCGGCCAGACACGAGTGCAAGCACAAGGGCCCAGGCCTTCTTCTCGGTGACAGAATGTGGGAAGGGGGGGCTAGAGGGTAAGGAGGAGCACGAGCGAGGATGAGAGGCAGAGGTAGTCAGTGGCTTACGTCAGTTGGGCCGCGCCCGGTGCTATAGCTACATGCATTGTTGTCACCTCCCGCTCTGCAAGAACTGGACAAGGTTAGGCGGAAGCCCCTGCGCCATGGCCAGCACCTTGGCGCCCATCTCATCGCCGCCGCCCTCAGCCCATGTCTTCGCGAGGATGGGTCGGAGGGTAAGGCTGACTACCCTCGCAATAAGATCCGTGACGTCCGGTGCGAGGCGGCGCCACTGCGCAAGATTGGAGATCAGCTTAATACGCCGTCGTACGAAGCGCCGCATAGCGTTTCGTGCCGCAGGGTTGTAAGGAGGTGCTCGGGTCGCCATTGGTCCTGCTGCTCCGGCCACAGCCTGGGCGAGAGTGGTGATGGTCGAGGTGAAAATGTCACTCACGGCGCGCACGAGCGCCTGATACTTCCGATGATCCTCCCCGAGGAGCATCCCAACGAAATCGACTACGTCGCGTAACCTGCGCGTCTGTCTCGCCGAGTAGGGGTCGTAGGTTTCCTCTACCGCGCGAATGAGGTATGGCACGACAACCTTTGATACCATCTCGACTGAGAGGTCGCCCTCAGGAGCAACCTCCGGCTCGAGGTCCATTGCGTCGTCGTCGTCCACATCAACTCGCGGGCGCGAGTATCCATAGAGCGCGCGGTACCACCCAAATGAGTCAAGAGTTGTGTCACTCTGTGCGTCAGCTCGCTGTACCGTACGTCCGTAAATACACTCACCCGCACTGGGTCCCATCCAACCATCTCGCCACGCGCCCAGAACTCCCACGCCTGAACGAGCGAGAGACCGCCAAACGCGCCTTCATACTCCTCTGGGTACCGCTTCCGCCAGTCGGCGAACCGCACGGCAACGCCAAGCTCAGGATCACGCAAATCCTCAGCCTTGACGTCTTCGAGGAGAGCATGAACGCGGCGCTCAACCTCGCGCTGCGCGGCGTCGTAGTCGTCCGAGAGGCTCTCGTCTAGGTCGTCGTCAGTCGAGAAACCATCCTCATCTGGCGCAGCAACAATGCCTCGCCTCCGCGCACGACGATCGGCATGCGCCTGCCGCCGCATCTTGCGCGACTCTGAGTTTGGCGCACTCTCATTTGCGCTCTGCTCCTCTGGCCGCGTCTGGGTAGGGGCCACACCGAGTACAAGTGCGAGGTCATCCGAATCGTCGCCTGCGCGCCGGGCAGTAATTCGCTCAGCTCGTTCCCGTGCGAAGCTGTTTGCGTCCTTCTCAATCGTGTCGAGCAAGGGCACTTTCTCCTCGAGAAAAAGGCCAAGAGTCTCCACCCATCCCTGGAACTCCTCGACCCAAGCCCGCTTGCCCTCAGTCGACTCGACCTGTTTACGAATGTCACGTTCCTGTTCCTCAAGGAGAACGAGCTCACGTGTCGCATTCTCGAGGTTGCGCTCGTTTTCGTCTTTTGTAGCCTTGAGCGCCGCCATACGCTCCGCTATCCTCGCGGTTGCCGAGCCAATGGTCGGCACCGGTCGAGACGCCGGGATTGGTGTTGGGATGTATCCTGCCGTCTTGACTTTCTCCTTCGGCAGCCTCACCGGAGCAGGCTGTACACCACCACGTTCGACAAGCGTACGCTCCCACTCGCGGGTCTCCTCGTCCGACTCGCTGTCCATCTCACTGTCGTCAGCGCCGACGTATATTCCTCCGCGTCAAACTCACCGGTCCTCAATCAGCTCGCCAATCTCGCCCTTCAACCGTTGCGCCGCCCGCTTGTTTGCGCTTTTGCCAAGATAAAGCCGATCGTTGACCCCAGTGTAGTCTGCGAGTCCCTCGTCACCTTCCTCGCCTTCGTCCTCCTCGCGCATGAGGCGGGACTCTGGGTGGGGCTCCTTGCCGAGCGAGATGTAGTCTTCCCCGGGCTCTATACCGTGTCGCCGGGCGTGAACCGCCGCCTTGCGCCGATTCTTCGCCGCTGCAATAGCCGCTGGGTCGGGAATGCCGGCCGCGCTGTCCGCGTCGATCTCTGTGGCGTACTTTTCCCTTGCTGCAAGGCTGACGTGACCTGAGCCGCTCTCTTCTGCTGTTGGAGCACGCGTTGGCGTCGCCGCCTTCAGCTCCGAAAGATAATCGGCCGAGTAAGACTGAGGGGAGGCCGCCGCAGCGGCGCCTGGGGAGGACGCGATAGGTGTGCTTGCACGTAGCGCCTGAGAGAGCAGCGACTTCTTCTGCTTGAACGCTGTCGAAGACTCCCCCGACTGATGTTAACTCGCCGTCGATGGACACAGCTTACCTCATCATCGCCTGCAAAGCTCAGTCGACCACCCTTCCCCTTCATGCCCTTCTTCTTCGCCTTGGCGCGGTTGAGGACAGAGCCAGCCTCTTCCTCGTCGGCTGCCCCGTCAGACGCCATTGACGCACTCGGCTGAGCGAGCGGCGAACCCACGGCTGGGTCTTCGTCCTCGGCCTCCCGTGTCCTCGCCCTGGCGGAAGGACGTGGGCGCGCCCTTTTGATGAACATGGTGTATAGAGAAATACGCAACCCGAGGGTAATGACGGTGAGTGGCTTCGACGTTTTGGTGGCGATAGCGGAAGCAATTTTGGGTGGCAACATGATGAATGACAAAACTACAAGCTACATGAAATCTGCCGCCCCCTTTCGACCACCTCGCGCGGGTGAGGACTTGCGGGGACGATGATCTGGCTGCTCGGACTTTGTCAAGGCAGCCTCTTGGACGGCGACGGATGAACTTCCGAGGATAGGAGCGGTTTGCTGGCCCGGAGCGACCTTCTCCACCCACTCACCGCCGGCATCATCCTCCGCGCGCGACGGCTTTACCTTCTTCTTTGGCTTGAACGAGGCCGTCTCCTCTCCCTCGTCGCCCACATCAAAGGAAAGAACCCCCTTTCGCTTTTTTTTCTTGTCCTTCTTCCTCTTTCCAACCTCCTCCTTCCTCTCGTCCGCGTTGCGACGGAACATGGGCTTGAACGTGTTGTAATCGAGCGGCCCCTCTTCGACAGGGAAGGGGTCCTCGGGCTTCTCTTCCAATACCACCACCGCGGTGGTCGCAGCAGGCTCGTCGTCGTCGTCTTCCTCGTCATCACTGGCAAAAATCGCCTTGAAAATGTCGATGCTAGGCTTGGTATATGTGAGGATATCACGGCCTTGGTTCACATCATCCGCCATCCCGACTTCACCCAAGGTGGTGGGCACCCGTTCTCCCTCCTCCGCAGACGGGGCCTCAGACCTGGTCTCCACCTCCGTCCCAGCCTGGTGTGTAAACTGCGACTCGAACGACAGTGGCTCAGCACTCTGCAAGGTGGTCGGAGTAGCTGTCCCGCTCTTTTCGCCAGGAGGCGGACCTTCGGGGTGAGGGTCGGGAACGTGGAAGCGGCGGCAGACCAGCTTAACAGGATAGAAGTCTTTGACAACGCGCGTTAGCGGTCCGTAGTTGCCATCCTGTGCCGCTTGCTGCCGTGGAGTGAGGCTCTGCTGTATTTCGATCTCCGTGCTCTGAGGCTTAGAGAATTCATCCGACGCATTGGAAGGATCGTAGAGGTGCAGTCCGGGCCGGGGGACTTTGGAATCGCTGCTCGCGAGTGACGAGCTGCCAGAAGTGAACCGTGACGATAAAGCGTACGACATCGGACGAAAGACGCGCGCCGACTGCGAGAATGTCTCGAGCTCCTGGTTGATGTCATTGACACTTGCCGATGGAAGCAACGTCGGGAATGGCGTCTTGGTGTTGTAGGTCTGTGACCGCAGGTATGACTTGTAGCGTTCCTGCTTCTCGCTGTCGTCTGAATACGGCATGAACCCTTGTAAGGCAGCAGATGCCGTGCGTGGGGACAACGGTGGGATTACTACCTCGGTCGCCCTCTCCGGTGGCAATTCCTGTTCTTCCACCCTCGAAAGCGACAGTGGTGGCGCAGCCGCTTTAGTTTTGGCTGCCGCCGCAAATGCTTGCAATCGTTCGCGATCCTTCTCCGATATGTACTCCCACACGGACTTGGCGGAAGACACGCGTTGTTCCTCTCCAAGAGCAACTCCGCGCTGGATGTAAGCTGAATTCCGCCACATCAAAGTCAGCTCACCTGTCCATGCGAAAGTGGCCTTCCTGGTTCGCCACGGAGAGCTTCCTTTGGGGCGGCGCTGTGCTCAAGTTGTCGTGCCGTCTGCGCGACGGCGTCCCAAACTCGAGAGGGGCTCGGCTGCCAATCACTCGGGATATCAGGAAAGGCCCACCTGAGCCGTTAGCGCTACTCCAATGCCAAACTCACCAAGTTTCTGTGGGCACACCCTTGGGATCTAGCGCGAAACCTGCCAAAACTGGCCGCCCATCGTGCCATCTCTCCGCACTGGCTGCGTTGCGAGCCCCATCAGCCACAGTATTCGAGGCGCCGGGCTGCCCCAGAACAATCATGTCACCATCTACGTCCTCGTCATCGAAAACGTAGTGCGTGCGGTCCGTGGCGTCGGCGCCGTAAGGGTCGTGATCGTCTTCTCCCGCGACCCATGCTGTCATGTTAGTGTGAGCATAACCTTGGTAGCGCACTTGATTGTTTTCGTGGGATTGCACCCATCCCTCGTCCTTTCTCATATCCCAAACCCGACCTGTCGTCCTTCGAGTCGTATACCAGCAACCTTGTATCGCGGGGTGCATAGAGGTGCTTGCTTGCCTCCGCTTCGTCGTCCATATCGGCCTCTAATCCGGCGCGAACCCGACCCAGCTTGCCCTCCTGTACCTTGAGCTTCCGGAGCGTTACGCGGGGCCCGATCCCCTGCCCCGGCCGCCATCCCAGCTTCTGCAGGATCAAATGGCCGACGGACGACTTGGCTGGTATAACTAGCGACTCGAGCGCTGAAGATAGGCTGTGCAAGTCAGACTCCGCAGATCGTTCAACTCACCTTTTGTCCCCCAAACTGCGCTCTCCCGCAAATGCGTCAGGCTGGAAGGTCTCGGTGTTCTGCAGCTGGCGATCCTCATTCATCTGCTGGCGGTCCTCCTCGTCCATGAAGTCTTCTGCGCTTTGCTGGTACGTTGCGCGACTTGAGCGCGACGACTTGAAGGTTGACGGCGTCCATCCTAACTGTCAGAGCCGTCTCATACTCGTCCTTTGCTCACCTTCCTTCGAGCCCACTGTGTTAAAGTAGCCAGCGGACCAGCCGCCCGTGAATGCGCCGTGGAAGCGGCGACGTCCTTTCTCATCACGGGCCTGTTGTCAGAATTCAACTACTTCAAAATGCTATGCGGCCTACCTCTTGCTGCCATACTGGCAAAAACTCCTGCTTGTCCTTCTTGTGATCGCTGAGCGCCGGGAGAGGTGTTCCGATCTGTATGTAAGTGACAAGTATGGTACAGCAAGCCTACCTGAACGAAAGACTGGTTCAGGTAAGCGCTCTTGAGGTTGACGTTTTCGAGCTCGAGCTTGTGCTTAAGCCGCGATGTCATGGTGAACAAGATTCAGTTGACGTCGGCATCATGATCGACGAGTTCAGCATCTCTCAACACCAAGGATGTAGTGCACCTCCACTTGGCAGTCACGTGGGTATAATTCCGCTTCACCCCCCGGATATCTGGTGAGCCGAGTGGGTCATCACTGGCGCGCAGCCCACAGTCTTGCATTCATTTCATCAAATCCACACTCATTTAATCACGATGTCGCGCCCGTTACCGCAACTGGGAGGGAACCGTGAGACGCTCGAGATTCTCAACCCCTTTCTACAGGTGTTGCGCTCCGATGCACCTATCAGCATCCCCCTCGATACGCTCAAGGGCGCACTCGGCCATTTCCTCGCCACACTCGACGGCGAGCAGCTGGACAGCTTCGTGACCGATATCCTGAGCTCCAAAAGTCTTTGGCGCGCTCTGTCTCCATCTGGCATTGCAGAGGCTGTACGACCTGCGCCCGTGGTCAAAGCACGCAACCTCAAGCCGGACCTCAAGGACGGATGGTTTTCTCGGGACAAACTTGGCAAGGCGTGCCGCTCGTGGCTAGAGCAGATCTTCAGCGCAAGCAAAAAAGCCAAGAGTGAGAACGCGGTTTACTTCTACATCGGACTTCTCACCGGAACCGACGACGCGGAGGACGTCAAGTGGGGCCAGCCGCGGGAGGACATTGAAGAGGAGGTGGTCGTCGCCTTGTCAGAGCGCTTGTACCCAAGACCCTCCAGACACTCGGAGAAGGAGAAGGCAAAGGAAACAGAAGATGAGCTGGAGCCTCCTTTGGAGACTTACTGCCGCGCAGCGAGCCATGTCGATGCCGCGAGACTCCGTGTTCTTGACCTGAGGGTGAGCATCCAGGCTTCTGCGCTGACCGACAGAAAGTCGGGCCTCAGCTTCATCGCGCGATCTTTGAAAGCCTTGGGTATCCCCCACTAGCTGTGGACCGGACGAAAATGGACCTCAAGCTCGCGAAGGCGCTGTCTCGTGGTCTGTCGCAGACGCTTGTCGCACTGTCGCAAGGAGGTGAACGCAACCAGGCGTTTGCATGGGACGCAGCAACGGCGTATGTCGCGCGCATGCTTGACTGCGGGGAACGTTTCCAAAGGGAATGGGCGAAGCCTACCATTCCAGCCGCGGGGAGTATCGGTGCGTAGGCGGGCATAAGATTTCTGCTGATGGACAGAATGGGAGAGGCAGAAGGCCGCGTTGGCATCATTCACGCAGGTCACTTGGCCCGTCGTCGAAATAATGCTCGAGCCGCATAGCTACGCAAGTAAGCGGGAGCGCGTTGGCCTCGCATCTCACATTGTCCTCACCTTGGGCAAGTTCGCATCACTCGCACAGGACCAGGAAACGTCGACAGAAGGTTATGAGAGCGTCCTGTACGGGTGTCTGGACCTGATCGCGGCAGGTGGCGGCCCAAAGGCAGTGCGCCAGTTGCTCGAAGACCTCAACGAGCCGAAGGTCTCGGACTCGCTAGCAGGGTTCATCCTCATTGTCGCGGAGCAGCTCATCCGCCTGATCGATGCTGAGAGCATGCGGGATATCGTATTCCCTCTCGCTCAGAAGTAAACCTCCACTTCGGGACTTTACAAGCTGACGGCAGATACATAGTTCGGCCGCAGCACCGCGCGAGCTTTGAAGCGGCGAACGCGCTCTTGCTCACGCTCCTTGACACGGCGAGCAGCACGCTCGCGGCAGACATGACGCAAGGCCCTTTCGTGGACGCTCTCTCCGTCATCCTTGCACACAGCCTGCTACGCCACGCTCGCGACGAGGCCGTCAAGGCAGAGCAGCTCGGAGCGGCATACCCGCTGGTGGTTCGCGCCGCTGGGCGACGTAGCACCGACTTGGTTGAGAAGTGCGTCTCCATGCTCGACAGCGCGACATTCCCGACGAAGGACTACGAGTTCGCTGTCAAGAAGATTCGGATTCTGATCGCGCCTGCGATCCCGCGCTCGCTCATGCCTGCCTACCTCGACAGCATCGCCAAGATCATCACCGACACGCCACGAGAGAGCGAGGCGCGCCTCGAGTTGGCCGGTCTCACGTTCAAGGTCGTCATGGGAGACATGCCCGATGAAAGCAAGCAGATGGCGGTGGAGTGGTGGCTGCGATGGCGTCGCCGCTTCGAGGGCGGCACCGACGAACCTCAGGCCCGGTTGTAGTTGTAATCATGTCCAGTATGCATATTCAGATAATTTTGGAGGTGGTGTAACGTGCGTATGCCGGGGTGGCACATTCCGCACTGAAGTGTATGGCGGATCCGTTGGTCCACGGTGAGGACGCAGTCCAGAATCTTCTAGACAACTGTCAACAACCCGGGAGCGCTTGCCCATCTCCGTATTCTGAGTAGCGTCCGCGAAGGGCCGGCTGTCGGCTACCGCCGATGGCGTTGCCGCCGGCAGATGGGACGGCCCTTCTATGCAGAGACGGTGGCTGATGCCGGTCTTAGCCGTTGTGGGGTAGGGGACGAATCGATTGCCATTAATACGGACCAGTATGCCTGCCGACTTGCTGATACCCACTGAGACGACAGCAATGAGCATCACTAGCTCCAAATACAAGCGGACTCGCGCAGAATGTGAGCGTTGTGGAGATCCCGCACGAAGTAGGAGCTGACAGCAGGTGAGGCGATCCTCACGGCGCCCGGGATGCCTTGGGAGCTCGAGAGGGTGTTCCTCGACGGCCGTTATCAGACGGTTTGGAAGAACACGCCGCCGTACTATCGCGCTTGGGTCGAGCCACTGCTCAAGGCTGGTGGCGACCGTGCGTTCATCTCCTCCCCTCTGCCTCCCCCCGCCGCTACGGAAGACCGCGAGACAGTGACATTCGCGCAGATGTACGAGCGCACCGTAACGATGGCCGCGTGGATGCGCGCCCAGGGCGTGCGGCAGGGGGACCGGGTCGCGATCGCGGCCAACAACTGTGCAGAGTGGCTTGCTTGCAGCTTTGCGATCCACTTCCTCGGCGGCGTCGCGGTAGCAGTTAACTCCCACATGGTCATCGACTCAATGGTGTACTGTCTTGCACACGTCAAGCCGAAGCTCGTGATTGTGGAGGAAAGTGTGGCGAAGGATCTTGCGCCCAAGGTGGACAAGCTAAGGAGCAAGGGTGTCGGCAAGGTGTGGTGCTGGTCGTCACTGGACCACCACTCCGCCGATGTGCGGAAGGCCATTGCCGTGGCTAAGCCTAATCCCTCCAAGGCGGAGATTGATGAGGTCGTTGCCGGTGTTGGCCTCGAGGGCATTGGGCCTGACAGCCCATGCACCATCTACTTCACCTCGGGCACGACTGGGTACCCGAAGGCTGTGCTCAGCAACCAGCGGCAAAACCTACACAACGCACTCTCGGGGACGTTTACGCCGCTGCGCGCGGCGCTCCGCGTTGGCGCCGACATCAAGGAGCTGCTGGCGCCCAAACCGAACGTGCCACAAACAAACATTTTGCTGCCAGTCCCTCTCTTCCACTGCACCGGCGGCCAGTCGTGGGCTACACGTGCGCTGAGCGGTCAGGCGATGCTCGTGTTCATGCGACGCTGGAGCGTGAAGGACGCCATCAGCCTCATCAAAAGCCACAAGATCAACGTCGTTGGCGGCGTGCCATCCATCGCAACGGCGCTGTACCAGTCGCCTGACTTGCCGAAGGATCACGTGTTCGACACAGTGTCATATGGCGGCGCGCCGCCTCCCAACTCGCTCGCTGGCAATCTCAAGAAGCGCTGGCCCAACCTCATGCTCGTGCACGGGTACGGGATGACGGAGACAAACGCTGTGCACACCGCAATCGCAGGGGAGGACTACGTCGACCACCCCGACAGCGTTGGCTGGGTTGTCCCCGTGTGCGAGGTCAAGATCGTGCACCCAGAGACGAAGAAAGAGCTGCCCACTGGCGAGGTCGGCCTCATTTTCATGCGTGGACAGAATGTGATGAGCTACTACGTCGATGACCCCGAGGCCACCGCTAAGGCGCTCGACAAGGACGGGTGGCTCGACTCCGGCGACGTTGGTTGTCTCGACGAAGACGAGCTGCTCTATATCCGCGATCGGAGCAAGGACCTCATCATCCGTGGCGGCGAGAACATTGCCTCCCTCGAGGTGGAGAACGCGCTGTATCTGGACCCGCGCATCGCCGAGGCCGCCGCCGTCCCCGTGCCCTGTCCTCTGATGGGTGAGCGCGTCGGAGCCATGGTTAGCCTGGCGCCAGGTGCCACGGCCACGCCCGAAAGCATCATGGCTGAGGTCTTCCCGCGGTTGCGGCACGCTGCGCGACCCGTCATCGTGCTCGTCCGTCCCGAGCCTCTGCGTGAGTCAGGCTTGGAAATATTGACTTGCATTAACTGACCTCAGCGCGCAATGCGAACGGCAAGATCATCAAAACCGACGTCAAGAAAATCGTAGGGGAGCAGTGGAAGGAGGAGCAGCCTCGCGCAAAGCTGTGATTGTCGTAACAATCCGGATTGTAACAGTATGCATATGTCGAGACCGTTGCACCGCCGCGCATCACACTACGTCTCCCTCCCGAAGCAATGAACACGCTTCTCAGTTCCTGACGAATCAGTCCACGAACAGTACCTTAACGGCGGGTGTACCCGCTCCCACGGGCGTCATCGCGGGGATCACGACGACGAGGCGGGGGAGAACGGGAAACGGAGCGACGCGGAGACAGTGAGTCATCACGCGAGTCACGGCGGCGCGGTGGGGCTGGCGGGGAACGAGAATCCACGCGGCGAGGAATAGGGGAGCGCGAATCATCACGAGCACGACGAGCGGGGCTCCTCGAAACATCGCGGCGACGTGGCGGAGGACTCGGCGAGGTGCGGCGGCGTGGAGGAGGGCTGGGCGAATCCCGCCTACGGGGAGGAGGTGACGGTGAGTCACGCCGACGGGGAGAGGGCGACGGCGAGTCCGAGTGACGACGACGGGGAGGGGGTGACGGCGAATCCGAGTAGCGCCGGCGGGTTGGCGGCGAGCGCGAGTCAGACGCCGAAGAGTACCGACGGCGAGGAGGCGGAGAACGCGAGTCCGAGGCGGAAGAGTAGCGCCGACGACGGGGCGGTGAGCGCGAGTCCGAGTCCGACGAGTACCGGCGGCGGCGGCGACGCGAGTAGCGCGAGTCGTCGGATGAATAATCCGAACTCGACAGTGATGAGCTCGAGAGGTCGGACGACGAGTCGCTGTCCGAGCTGTCATGGGCCTGGGCAGCAAGACGCTCAGGCGCCGTTTCCAACCACGTCCTCATGTCATCAGTCACTGCGCCTAGGCCAATCATCGTCCAGTAGTTGATGGCGAAACGGGTGTTCTTCGGATTGTCCGTGGGGAAAATCCCTGCGAAGGCTGGTTGGAGGTCGGGGATCTTGAGCCGTTCAACAAGCTTCTTCATGCCTAACTCTTCCTTGATTTCCATGAACACAATCTTGACGAAGATACGGGACGACGATGTTGTCTCCTCTTCATTCATGTGTACCGTGTGGAGGACAGCCCACGAGATACCGTCTGACGCGAGCAGGTGCCCGAAGAAACGGCCGATGTTGCGAAGCTTGTTCGTTTCGTACCTGTGAATTGTGTCATAGTACTTCGTGAAGGCCTCCTGGAAGAGGTCGGTCCACAGGCGGTTGAGCTTGCAGAATCGCTCTCCGATGAGTCCATAAAAGTTGGAGTACGAGCGCTCTTGCGAGCAACATTCGACGATCATGTTGACGAGCTCCATCTCGCGGCCCTCAGGGATGTTCACCTTCAGGAGCTTATGCACAGCTTCCTCGAAGTTGAGCGAGTTCATGATCGTGAGATAGATCGTCCTCCGCAAGTTGATGAGGTTTTGTTCGGTCATGTCCTGAATGCCCTCCTTGTCTGGGGCGACGTCTTCGTCCTCATCGTCCGAATACTCGTCATCGCCGCTCGAACCAGACTCATCGTCCGAGTCGCCCAGGATCTCCTTCTTGATCTCGTCGTATCGCGCCTCGTTCTCGAGGAAGTTTGGGTCAGGCTTGAACAGGTTGAGCCCCTGCTGCACCTGGAGCTCGTCCTCAAGCTTCAGCCTGTGGGTGATCTGCTCTTCTTCCTCCACGAGATCCAGTCCCTCAGGGATCATCGGGTTGTCCTTGTATTTGTCTTTGCGGACCTGGAACAACACCTCGATCATGTACTGGCAACGCTTCGAGACCTTTCCGTCGTGAAGGACGGCGCGGAACCGCTCGAAGACCATCGTGTTGGCCTTGGGGGCGTGCTCGGCGAGGAAAAGACCAACCTCGCGGGTGAAAGCGACGGCCACTTCGATTGAGTCATCCGTTGGGCGTTCGAGACACAGGAGCAGGATCTGGAGCGCGATGATCTCGTTGGCGACGTACTGATTCACGAGATGGGCGAGGAACGTCGACGTCGCCATGCAGACTGACTTGTCGTTGCGCTTATAGGCCCGCCGGAACTGAGAAATAAGACGAGTGAGCACCAGCTCGCCTACGGTAGGCAGCTTCGTGTTGACAATTGCGACCAAGGCAGCAAAGATCGGAGTGAATGGGAGAGAGGCAGCCTGCGCGCGCATGATCGACTGCGCGAACAAACCACGACCGCGGATGAGGTTTTCTCCAAACAGCTCGGGGACGACGTGCTTGATATTTGTGACGTTGACCTTGTTGATCATTCCATTGATAGACTTGCGAAGTGCGTCCCAACTGAGGCGTTGATATTCGGGGCTGCTTTTATCCTTCGCTGCCTCCGCCTGCATCGCGCGCAAGCGCGCAGGAGGAATGTAGGCACCCCCAGAGCGCGAGCCCAGGAGCTTTGCAAACTCGGCACGCGCCGCATCGTCAACCTTGGCCACTGTTCCGTTGCCTTTTGCGTCAGCCTCTGGGTCGGGACGGGAGGCGGGCGAGCGCGATCGTCGGCGACGCGCTGGAGGAGACGGGGAACGCCCGCGCGGAGAGGCGGACGGAGACCTAAAGGTGAGCACATGGGTGGGCGGCTTCTCGCCAACCATTACCCACCTCTTGCGTTTCGAGGGCGGTCCCTCATCGTCAGAGAAGCTTCTCCCGCGTGAGCGGGGAGCAGACGAAAGCGAAGCAGACGGAGAACGGGGCATTCTGGCTGTGGCGCTACAGCCAAAGTGCACGTCTGCGGTTTTGGAGAGGGAGGGATGTGGATGTGGATGAGGTGAGTGAAAACAATCGAGGCCGGTCGTTCGAGGTGGCGAGTGGAAGTGATCTTGGACCTGCGAACAACTTACACGTGTCATTAATCCCTCACACCTGAAGTCTTTGGTTCCGTGATCTAATGGGGACCCCGGACGTGGCGACGCGTCGGGAAGGCTGTACACGTCCGTTTCAGCACACGTACTTGGCCTTGCATCGCCATCCATTCTTCATCGCCCATTCTCTCTCGCGTCCCCTCACTCGAACAAATATGGCCTCCCAGAACCAGGCGCTTCTTCAGACTATCGCCAAGGCCGCGGACCAGTACCCTAAGCCGCCCGTAACTTTCGGGTATGGCACCGCGGGGTTCCGCACCCTGTGAGTACGAACGTGGGAGTGCGGTGGAGGGCTGACGCAGTAGTGGCGAGCGCCTCCCCTCGGTCATCTTCCGCGTCGGTATGCTTGCCGTACTCCGCTCGCAGCGGCTCAACGGCGCGACGATCGGTGTCATGGTCACCGCGTCTCACAACCCAGAGCCTGTTAGTTACCTGAACGATGTGGCAGCTAATAATGCGCAGGATAACGGTGTCAAGCTTGTCGACCCAGCTGGCGAGATGCTTGAGCAGTCGTGGGAGGCACACGCCACCGCTCTGGCTAACTGCGAAACGACGGAAAGCCTGATCGGGACTTACGAGGCGCTTGCCGCGCAGCTGCGTGTCGACATCAACAGCCCCGCCTCTGTCGTATACGCGTACGACACCCGCCCCTCGGGACCCGCCCTGATCCAAGCACTTGAGGCTGGTCTTGGAGCCTTTGGTGGCAGGGTCAAGACTGTCAACCTTGGCATCACCACCACTCCAGTTCTCCACTACGTGGTCAAGGCCACAAATGATAAGTCGGGCACGTACGGCGCTCCTACCATCAAGGGGTACTATGAGAAGCTGGCGACGGCGCTCAAGACCCTTGTTGGTAACCGCGCGCCTCTAGCACCGCTGTACGTCGACTGCGCCAACGGCGTTGGTGCTGTTGCGCTGGAGGAGTTCGGCAAGTGTGTTGAAGACATCATCACTTTCAAGCCTCTCAACACGGACACCAAGACTAAGGGAGCGCTCAACTCGCAGTGCGGTGCCGACTTCGTCAAGACCAGGCAGCAGCTTCCGCCGTCAGTCGCCGAGGCGGGGGTACTCGCCAAGCCGGAGACGCGCGGCGCGTCCTTCGACGGCGATGCTGATCGCATCGTTTATTACTATCTTCGCGACGGCAAGAATTTCCGCCTTTTGGACGGCGACAAGATCGCCGTGCTTGCGGCTCTCTTTATCGAGGATTTGGTTAAGCGGGCCAAATTGCAGGCCAAGATCAAGGTTGGAGTTGTCCAGACTGCGTATGCCAATGGGTCGTCGACCAAGTTCATCAAAGAGGTTTGTGAATGCCCTGGGCCAGTGTTCTGACTCCAGCGCAACATTCCCGTCACCTGCACTGCTACTGGCGTTAAGCATCTCCACCACGCGGCGCTCAAGTACGACGTCGGTGTCTACTTTGAGGCAAACGGGCACGGAACCGTGCTCTTCTCGTCCGGCGCGCTCGAGACGCTGCACAAGACTCAGCCCAACTCCCCAGAGGAGGATAAGGCGATCAAGAACCTCCTTGCGCTCTCAGAGCTCATCAACCAGGCTGTCGGCGATGCGCTCTCGGACCTTCTCCTCGTTGAGGTAGTGCTCGCCCACCGCGCGTGGGGTGCTGCTGAGTGGGATGCGGGCTATGAGGACCTTCCCAACCGTCTCGTGAAGGTGGAGGTGCCCGACCGCACCATTTTCCTTACGACGGACGCTGAGCGCAAGCTTACCTCGCCTGTTGGGTTGCAGAAGCTCATCGACGAGGCTGTCGCCAAGGTTGACCAGGGTCGCTCGTTTGTGCGCCCCTCGGGAACCGAAGACTGCGTGCGCGTGTACGCCGAGGCCGCGACGACCGCCAGCACTGAGCAGCTGGCCGCTGTCGTCACGGACCTCGTCAAGCAGGCGGCGGCGGCCATCGCGACGGCGTAGAGACACTTTAGCAGATTTAGCATGCACTATAGAGTATAAGAGTGATATAGCTGTGACCGTCAGGTCAAAGTCTGGGCCGCCATGCATTGTGAGCGCCGTCTGTGCGCGCTCTTTTGCTCCAGCATTCTAGGCAGCGATAACCTTCCATTCCATTCCGTCTCCTCTTATGCTCCGCCGCCTTATCCAAATATCTTCGACTGGCTGCGGTAGCGGATAGATGACAACCGAATATTGGGTGGCGACTGCTGACGTCGATCGTGGGCCCCGCAAAGGGAACGGTCACCCCACCAGGCGTCAGCGTTGTCCGTTCCCTTCTCACAATCAGCCGTTCTTCTCTCATCTACTTCACGAAGCATCTGCCGCGATGTCTGGGTACGTGCGTGCATGACTAAGCTGACTCAGCGTTCGCGAGGCGACCCATGCTGGCAGCTGGTATACCAACAGTGGTGAGTACCCCCCCTCACCGCTACCCGCCACCATCCGCTTCGCCTTTTGCGAACATGCGGGGTGGCACATGAGGAGTGCTGCGCAGCATGGGTTCTTGATACCTGTAATGCTGCGTTGAAGGCTGCGTTGAGGGCGATGCGGTGATAGTGATGACTCGCCGGGGCTGCATGTCCCACCACCTCAGGACATCGCTAACCCCAGGCGCGCGCCTGCGCGCCGAGCTCCAAGGATACCTGTCCAAGGTTGCGCCGATACCCGACCTATCGTTCAACCCTCCCGTACAGGATGCCAAGGCCATCATCGCCCCGCACGCGGGCTACTCGTACTCTGGCCCCGCGGCGGCGTGGGCGTACGCTGCGATTCCCACCGACAAGATGTGCGTTCGGCACCGAAGGATGAGCTAACAACAGCAAGCGAGTGTTCCTGCTCGGGCCCAGCCACCATGTCTACCTCTCTGGCATTGCGCTGAGCGGGTTCGCTTCGTACGGCACGCCACTCGGGGACATCCCACTTGATCTTGAAAGTGAGCACATGTCAAAGGACCCATCGTGCTGACAGCAGCCATCAATGAGCTGCGCCGCACCAAGCTATTCTCGGAGATGAAGTCTAGCGTCGATCAGGACGAGCACAGCCTCGAGCTGCACCTCCCTTACATCCGCCAAGTGTTAAGGTGTGTCGCCGCATGATCGCTCTGATCCAGCTCCAGCGATGTCAAGCTCGTGCCACTGCTTGTGGGCCACCCACCCGCGAGTCAGACCGAGGCCATCAGCGCCGCTCTTGCGAAGTACTGGGATGATCCCGAGACCTTCTTCATCGTCAGCAGCGACTTCTGTCATTGGTGAGTCTGTACGAGGGAGGATGTTAGCTAGACCGAAACTTGCTCTCTCCGGGATCACGCGTGTGTTACCCATCCCCATCCCGAGCCACCTACGCATGCTGCTGACAGCAGGGGAACGCGGTTTTCATGCACGCCGTACTATCCGCAGGCGCCCAACCCGCCCAACCCAGTCCCTCCAGTTGAGAGCAGCTCCGTACCCTTGTCCCAACCTCCCGAGATGGTCAAGCGTTTCACGACTCCGGGGCCGACACCCATCTGGAAGTCGATCCAGTACATGGATCACGAAGGGATGGACCTCCTCCGCAAGCCCGCCCTCGAGGGCGCCGTTGACGCATGGGAGGACTACCTCGCGCGCACCAAGGTAACCCCTCTCATGACATCTTCTAACGCTAGAACACGATCTGTGGGCGCAATCCCATCACCGTGCTGCTTAACCTTCTGCAGTATCGCTACGGCGGCAAGGCCGGGGCCAAGGACGTACACTTCAATTTCGTGCGCTACGAGCAGAGCTCGCGCTGCATGACAGGGCGTGACAGCAGCGTGAGCTACGTGAGCGGCGTCCTCCGCCCAGCCGCGTAGCGCCTCCTCTCGTTGTATCCTGCCGGGCCGAGTCAATGCATAGCTACAGAAGTCTACTCCTCGTCGATGATCTTGTAGCCCTTGACCTGTATGTCAGCTGGCGCGGCAGACTGCAGAGCTTGGCACAGGGTTGGTGTGCCACGCATTCCCGTGCAACACATACCTTGTTGTCGCGGATCATCGAGATGTACTTCTGGGCGAGATCGTGGCAGGTCTCGATGTTGTTGACGCCCTCGTACTTGTAGCACTTCTGAAGCTCGTCGCGCACGATGCGCGCCTCCATCGCCTTGACCCAAGACTCGCGGATGTGCTCCTCACGCTGCTTGAGCGTTTCTGTGAGGCGAAGGGAGGCGAGCAGATCAAAGAGTGCCGGGTCCGGCGTGCAACATCGACGTGCAAGGCGCGGAAATGTAGGACGGTGAGGAGGGAAGGAAGGGCGGAGGGGCGGAGGCGTGCAGAGATGGAGGTTGATGGATCGAATATCGGAGCAAAGAGGAAATCGTCAGCTCCACCTTTATCTGGCACTCTGCGCGCACAACTCACGCCTGTACTCATCCATAGAGGGGCGGTACTCGGGCATGATGGGCGATGTGTTGCAACGGGTGGTGGGTGTGGGTTGAGAGATGAGCGCTGCTGCCATGTTCACGGCTCGCGGCGACAAGCAGCCCAATGAGCAGCAGCGGCTTTGCGACGGAGTAGACAGATTTGATCCCGCGTTCATGTGGACCTCGCGTGGCAGTTTCGAATTACGGCGGATGCCTTCTTCTGGTGGATGACTTTTCACAACCACGGCAAGATGAACGCTGAAGTGCTATCCTTGCGCATCCCTCAATCAGCAACCGATTATCTGAACGGGCTCTCGTTACTGGCTGAAGCACGCCACAGCGCGGCGAGGAGAGGAGGCTGCACATTGGTAAAGGCTGGCTCGTCACCACTAATCCGTCGCGACAACATCAAGATGTACGGCAGATTGCTTGGCAGCCATGCATGCTCATGGAGCCGGAGTACCATTGTTTCCGTTACTCCCATGCGAGTAAGCCACTGAACTCGGGCTGCAGCGCACGGCGCGACGCTGATGAGATTGACTCCCGTTGGCAAGAGCTTTACTCACAATGGTACCGGAAGGCCGGGTCGCCGATCGATGAGCCCCTTGTGGCAGACAGCGTCGTATAGGCCAAGTTCTGTCAGCTGCAGGTGAAAGGGTGAGGACAATACTCACGGCCTCATGGTCGGTATACTGATTCCGCCACAGAGGTCTCTTGGAACGGTAACAACTCAAGCACCTTCCTCACATCATCTCACTGAACTCACCGTCCTCGACAACGCGCATTCTTGACTTTACTCTTCTCCTCATCTTGATCATTCATCCATCACTACCTCCCATTTACCGATCATCACCATCCTACCTTTCCCCCCCCCCCCCCCCCCCCCCCCCCCCCCCCCCCCCCCCCCCTCCACCCCCCCCCCCCCCCCCCCCCCCCCCCCCCCCCCCCCCCCCCCCCCCCCCCCCCACTACTGATATTGCCATCCTCTAGTAACCCCCGTCCGACTCTCCTCTCTATCCCACCCCGTTCTGTTCATTACAGCTAGCCGTCCCTCACCATTGTCCAGCCATCTCTGTTTCAACCCGCCTGCTACTCATTTATCCCTCGAAGAGACCTCCGTTGTCACGGCAATGGGCGGCCCTAGCTCTTCGGCCTCACTTGTGGAGGATGACCCTCTGCCGAGCACGGTCCCAATCGCCTTCCTTGACGACCTCGGCCTCCTCTCGATCTCTCCTTTCGGCGAAGAGAGTCCCTCGGATCTGGAAACCGTTGCCTTCCCCCCTTTGCCCATCAACGTTCACCATCATCAGGCGCTGGAACTCGACGCTGTCTTCGACTCGTGGCCTTGCAAACCTAAGGTACGACGCGAGTCTAGCAGCACGCACCATTCCCTGGCGAGCCTCGAGTCAACTGAAGTCTCTCTGCACTCCGAGGATGGCTTGATCAGTCCACCCCTTCTTTCAAAGACCGTTGACCAGCCTCGTACCACCCTTCCTCCCCCTCACGAAGCCCCTAGTTGGACGCACTCCTGGACCTCGTCGACGGCTTTGTTCCCTCCGTTTGGCAGCGGCATTTGGTCTCCACCACAGTGGTCGTCTTCTTCGGGAGAAGGAGAGGGACTTGTCGTAAGTAACCTGGCGCCCTCTTCGTCTAACGAGCAGCACCGGACAGAGATGCTTGTTCTTCGTGAGGAGAATGAGCTTCTCCGGGCAGAGCGGGACATCGCTCTTCAGAAGATCCAACAGCTCACTGCTATGGTAATCATTCTCCTTTTCTCTGAGGACTTGTTAGGCTGACGGCAGCTTGCGAATTGTGTTGTAACCCCGGCTCAAATTGCCCCGACACGTTCCCAATTCAACTCACTTGATCTGCTGCTTCCGCCTTACCACCAGAACGAAGACCCTCGCCAGAGCGCCACCCTTCCTCCGCATCTCTACCAAACCTCAAACCCCTTCCCTTCCACCGCGATTCTGGACGTACGTTGGGATACCACCATCGCGCACTTACTTTTAAGCCTCTGACGGCCGTCGATCTCATTCTCAAGGGCAAGGTTGACTACGTTCGGATGAACAAGCGCAGTGACTTTGAAGTAGTCAACAGCCTAGTATCGACCATTTCCCAAGAGCAGTTTAATCTGAACATGCCGCCGTGAGTGTATTCCATGACGAACAACAACTGACAAGAAGTAAAGGTCTCAAGGAAGCAACGATAACGCTGGGAGTATGTTTTGTCGATAATGGAAGCGCATCTGACTTTCAGAAATTCCTTGGACAGCCCAAGTCTCCCCTCTATACGCAGTATATGGTCAAAATTATCACCGAGGCAGCAAAGTCTTTGTGTCTAACCTCAAACGGCAACTACCTTTGCCAGCAGCTTCTAGAAAAGTGCAATAGCGAGGACAAGCTCAGCTTTATTAAGCAGATCGAGTACGTGCCCATGCCCACCTTCCTCGTGGAAAGCTGACGGACAGAAAAGACATGTTCGCAATCGCCAACGACATGTTTGGGGTCCATGTTCTGGTCAAGGCCGTTGGGATTAAGGAGCTCGAGGTTGCCTCCGTCCAGGTTTGTGCTGACAGCCAGGCTCACATTGTGGCAGCGATGGTTTCCTACGGAATTTACGAATCCCTGCAGACCGGCGCTCGTAAGGTGTGGCGCCCTGTAAGCTCTCCGCCAGGTCACGGAAGTTGATCACAGTATCTCAGCAAGTGCCGCGCTGCTGGTGAGACGGAGATATTTGAGAAGTAGGGTGATGTCGAGTCCGAGCTCACGTTAGAATCAAAGGCGATATGACGGGGCACTGGGCAGATCTCGCTGTGTCAAGCCAGGTGCGCTTCAATATAAAACACGAGCACTTACTCAGCACGGCACGATCTCTGTGCAGCAGATGTTCGAGGGCTGCGCCACCCAAGATGTTGTTGTGAGTCGTTATCAATTGAGGTAACGGCTGATATCAGGAGGCTTGTTTCAATGAGGAACGCTGGTCGTGCTCCAAACCGCTAACTCCAGATCCTAGAAGATCTCTGTCGTGTTGCTACCAACGAATTTGGACAGTGAGTCGTTTGTGCAGACTTTGACTGAGACCAGCTATCTCATTAAAAGATTCCTCGGCCTGGAGCCCATGTTCCATGCAGCAATCTTCACGGGCCCGATGTTCAATGCTCTTTGCAACGCCATCTTAACCTCCTATCCTCCACTCGCCACCAACTACTACGGCGTTAGGTTCGTTGAGACCGTCATCGACTCAAATCGGATCCTACAGCGGCCCAATGCCATCAAGTACCTCAACTCTCTCTGTTCTCAGAAGGACGGGTAGGCTTAAGAGTGCAGCTCAGGCTTACCTTGAGACGCATCCCAGCCATTGTGGAAGTCGCCAACTCCTCCGTTGGTCGCGGTCATCTTCGTTAGTTTCCGTAATTGTTCGCTAGGTGCTGACCTTCAGAGTTTGTTCTCCGCCACATGCCTAGGCATGGTGATGGAGGCCTCATGGGTCGCGTCCGCAGTACATGTCGCCAGTTCCAAACAACTTTGCGCAACTCGCAGAGCGGAAATGAGCTGCTGCGCAGACTGTGAGAGAAGACGCGCAGTATCGACTGACAGCAGCGGTCTCATCAATACTCCGTCTCGCCGCTTCTAATCAGATACATACCCATCATCACCACTGACTCATCCAAATATCTCATACACGCTTCGCTCCACCGCCTGACAGGTTTTCCGATAACCCACGTGTTGTCCTCTTGGTGTCTTGCTCGCGCGCTCGCCCGTGTCACCTTGTACGAGGTTGTATTGTACATAATCGCAGTACATCATGTTAACGAAAGATGGTTCAGTGAGGTTGACATTTGGAGGATGGGGAACCTGTCTCGCTCTTGCACGTGGAAGCGTGGAATCAACGAAGCAATGTAGACATGCATGGTGTTAATGTACAACAGAGTGCCGTGAGAATATGTTGATGTTTTAGAGCTGGTTGCGCTTCTTGGAGGTGCGCATGTAGGGTCGCAAAAGCCACTCGACGTCGGCCTCAGTTTGGTCAACAGTGCCCTGGCGGATCTCGTATGCTGGTGTCAGCTCAAGTGACTCTACACTCCACGACTTACGCTTGGCCTCAAAGCGAGGTCCGACCTCCGCGAGCTGCACGTCCTTGTGGCTCGTCTTCGCGAAGACGTGGTGGCGGAAGGAGATGAAATCGCGGTCATTGGCAAAGGTCATGACACGCTTGGCGTCGTCCTTGGGCACGGGGAACAAGGCCTTGAGGATACCAGCGACGCGCTCGCCGAGCTTGGTGCTGAAACCATCGAAAATAAGGTGAGGGTACTGCTCAGACACGGTCGAGTCGGAGGAAGCGACGTCGTGGCGGAGCGTCACATTGTGGAGGGTCATGCTGAGGGTGGGGCCGTGGGGGAGGTGGGAGATGACCATGGCGTCTGGCACGCCGCGATGTTCGTGGACGAGGACGAGGTCGGTAATGCCCTGCGCGAGACAGGTCTGCACGAGATCCTTCATGACGGTGTTTCCGCGGTTGAGGCGCACAGCGTTGGGGAACACAAGACGCATCTCCTTTGCGAACTGGGTGAGGCGGGACGACGGGTCGCGCGACGTCGTCACGACGACCTTGGGGTCGTACGTCCCGACCTTGGCGTACTCGTCGTCGACGTGCGACTTGGGGTCCGTTTGCGCCTCATCGAGCACGAGATCCTTGCCAATGCTGCGCGCCTCGTTCCTCAGCTCGGTGGGAAGGGAGCGGCCGGACGCAAGCGCATCCTTGATCGCCTGCTTGCGCTCGTAGATGGCGCGCTCTGTCGACTCGTGGCTCTTCTTGAAGAGATATTCCCGGCGTTCGCGGGCCTGGCGGCGGAGCTGAGGTTAGCGGAGTCCAGCGACGGAGTGGAGGGGTCAGGAAGCCCAGGCTCGTCCGTTACGGGCGCTGGGCACCGCTTGCTTGTACACGAGCCCAAATAAAAAGACAAGCAAGCCTGGAAAAGACTCACCATCTTTACGGCTTGGGAAGAAGGTGTGGATGCTGAGGCAGCGATGGAGTTGTTGACAAGCGTCGAAGCCTTGATGAGTGGAGGTGCCCAAAATTATGGTGAAGTGGAGGTTGGGGGCCTAACTCATGTCGTTTTGCAGGCACAAAAAGTGCTGAGGTGCCTAATAAGAGGAACGTGTGTTGAACCAGGCTCGCAACTTCGAGGCATGCCGATCTCCTCTTCAGGCCGAAACTCTCATGCGGTCATGCTGAGGCGATCGAGGCGATGACATCTCCCCACCTCATCCAACTCGAGCACCACGCCGCTCCATCCGTTGTATGTCGATGCATCCTATACACGGCTTCCAAGTGTGGCGCGAGGAGAAGCCATCCAAATGCCTCAAGGGATAACAGATCCAATCCTGGAGCGTCTGTTACACCTCAGCCGTGTATCACTTCCAAGTGTCAGAGTCCGCGCCAGCACCCACAGCTGACGGTTCCCAAGTGATGGTGCCTGGGGACTTGGATCACGGCACCGAGCCGCAAGCCGAGGTAATAAAGCTCGCAAGCCGAGCGATGCCGCACAAAATGGGCCGCGCATTTAATCATTGTCGATCCAGTACTGTAGATCCATCACAAAGGCGCGGGGCTTCATGACGGGTTCTCGCTCCCCTCTGTGCCGCTGTCGTGCTTGGCGAATTGGCGAACCCACGCCGGCTGCAGATGCTGCACACGATGTGCCGCTGGATGAGATGTTGGTGGCAACTTTGTGGAGACGAGGGCGAAGTAGGCACGAATGTACGTAACTCACTTCCATTCTTGGCGATCGTGATGCGCAGCTGCGAGGGCCGGCGGCAGGAGGGGCAGCTGGGAACGCAGGCAGCAGGCGGGTGGGGCGACATCTCGCACGTGCGTGAATGCTTTGCTATCATCGTTCCCCACGCGTCTGCTCCACCATGTTACTATGGGCTATGGGAAGACGTTGAGTGTTTCAACGGTTATCGCCAGAGCAGAACTGATTCAAAACTGCAGCACGCCGCGTCTTTTGAATCATTATTACTCGACACACTAGTCGTGGATCGTCTTGTGACATTGCCACTGAGCCACTTGCATACCTGGCCACCTGGAGGGACGCACACGCCTGCGCCACCCGCCGGACAACGACAGTCGCTCGGCCCTGATCCAAATCTATCACCCTCATCGTCCCTCATCGTCCCTCATCGTCCCTTGCTCCTCACGCCCGAAGTGGCCGCAGTCGACCAACCACAGTGACCACTGCATCCACTGCACTACCACCGACACCACCGAGGCCATCCCCGACCACCAACAGTTTACATCACGCGGCCGACATCTCTTCTCTCTCTCATCTCTCTCATCTCTCCCATCTCTCCCATCTCTCACATCCACCCACATCCATTCTTATCTCGTCCCATCTCCCTCGATCGCTCACCTCGTCCGTCTCCTCTATCTTGTACACTCCACACATCTTGTCTCTTGTTCTCTCTCCCACCAAATCGCGCCGCTGAACATCATGCGCACCCCGGCGACCGCGACAGCGGCAGCCGTCGCCCTCGTCTTCCTCGCGGGCGTGACAGCCGACAAGCAGGCCCCGCTGCAGGCCTCTGTTCAGGCCGAGGTGGCAAAGCCGAAGCGAGGTGAGTCCTGCCCGCACCCTCAATCATGGCGCAATCTGACGCGCAGAGCTCACCGGGCGCTTCATGCACGTCACCGACTTTCATCCCGATCCGTACTACAAGAGAAAGGCTACGCTCGAGTCCGGTTGCCATCGCCTCAAGGGCGAAAAGGACCCCGACGATTTCAGAAGCAAGCGCAAGAGTCGTGTCGACCGCTTCTGGCCCACACGCGACGGAGGAGACGACGATGACATTGAGGCTGGAGAGTGGGGAACACCCATCTCGTGAGTACCGCCCTCAACTCCAGGTTCCGAGCACGCGTCGAGCGTGCCTGCGAACGCGAATGCGCGGCCGCGTCCGCATACCCGTGTGTCACGCTCACGCTTCACAGAGACTGCGACTCGCCGATCACCCTTGTTGACCTGACCTTCGAGTGGCTCAAGAAGGAGTGGACAGAGCAGGTGGATTTCATTGTTTGGACGGGCGACAGCGCTCGGTGAGTGTCCTCCTCCGCGTCATTCTGCATATCGCCCCCGTGCAGCGCCCGCTGACTCTCCAAGGCATGACATCGACCGCTTCCTCCCCCGTTCAGGCAAAGAGATTTTTGACCTCAACAAAATGATGGCGCAGCGCATGGTCGAGACGTTTGGGAAGAAGGTGCCCATTATCCCCTCGCTTGGTAACAACGACGTCTACCCCCACAACATTATGGAACCTGGGCCGAACCGCGTAACTCAAGAGTTTCTGACGTATGTGCAAGCCACCCAATCTCGCCGCAGCCACACTGACGAAATAGAATATGGAAGCACTTCATTCCGGAGGAGTACCGTCACGTGTTCGAGCGTGGCGGCTACTTTGCCGTCGAGGTCATTCCTGACCAACTTGCCGTTATCTCGCTCAACTCAATCTACTTCTTCGTTTCCAACACCGCCGTTGACGGTTGCCGCCCTGGCTCTGGTGAGCCGGGTGACCAGGAGATGGAGTGGCTCGAGGTTCAGCTGCAGCAATATCGCGACCGCGGCATGCAAGTCCATCTCATAGGTCACGTCGCACCACACGAGGGCCTATACTATGACGACTGCTGTGAGTTGGGCCCCGGGTACCCAGAGACAAGCGACTGACGCTATCCAGATGTGCGGTATGGAGACCTCGCCCTCCGATACCAGGACACAATCGTTGGACACCACTATGGCCACCAGTGAGTTTCCATTTCGACGCGGGGCCTAACGACGCGCAGAAACATTGATCACTTCTTCTTCATGGACGTCCCCGAGCTCGAAGCTATCTCGAACGGCGCGTCGGCTGCCGCCAATGGCACCCTCTACCTCGAGATCGAGCCGGAGCAAAAGCTTGCCCACCCGTCTGTGGAAGATTATTCATACCCTGGACCTGAGATCCGTGGCCCTCACTTCCTTGAGAGCGGGAGGTTCAAGATCTTTGGGAGGAAGAAGTCCGCGACGCTCAAGGACCAGCTAAGGAAGTCGTTCGCAGGGCTCCCCGGACCCACAGAGCTCAAGTACAAGGACTACGCCGTCATCAACGTCGCGCCGAGCATCATCCCGACCTACCAACCTGCCGCGCGCATTTATTCGTACAACATCACTGGCATATCCCTTGACTCCAAAGCGCGCGAAGAGGGCGTGTACCCACAGCCGGATGACCCAGTGGACGAGATGCGGAAGAAGCCGAAGGGCAACTGCAAGAAACCTGAAAACTGGTACAAGCCGCACTGTTCGTTCAAGACAAGGCCGCGTTACGCGTCGCCTGAGTCGCCGTCGCGCTCCAACAAACCCTTCACCATTTTGGGCTACACTCAGTTCTTCATTCCTGAGCTTGACAAGCCCAGAAACTCCGAGGTGCCACCTGGGTGGGAGATCGAGTACACCACATTCAAAGCGCGGTCGCTTCTCCCCGACTCGCTCACGAATGGCATACACAAATCGTACGGCCAGCCTCCACCCGTGCCGTTCCATCTCTTGCCCGCTTTCGACCCTGACATCGTGGACCTCATCACGGACGACGACGTCACGCTCCTCGATACCGAGGACCGCGTTGCCAGTCCCGACAGCGAAACGGAGAGTAAGAAGCAGGCGTTCTTGCTCGCCATCAAGCGCATCACCCCGTGGAAGCTCAAGGATCTCACGATCAAGAGCTATGTCAACTTTGCGCGCAGACTAGCCAACGACAAGAAGGCATTCAGGAAATTCCTCGACTATATGTTCGTCTCCAGCTGCCCTGGGGACACATGCTAGTGTGTGCGTTCGCTCTCGAGCCTATTAGAGCCACCACGGCGATACACATCAAACCATTGTATGTATCAGTAGATTTTGTTAATGAGAGGAGTCATCATGCATGGATCAGACAGAGTGCAGGGGGTGAACTTGGAGTTTTTATTCATGAGCGAGTCAGACGGCCATGCAACATTCCTCACCTCCACTTGGCCTTCTTGGAGGCCACCAATTCACAACACAACAATAATTGTTTGACAAAGATCGCCTTGTTGGCCTTGTTCCAGCTCCTCCGTATCACCGTCGCCTGCGCCCACCATGCCTTCCTTCTCTTTATTTTTCTCATCCTCATCATCTCTCTTCTTTACTCTGACCACATCTCGAGTCCCCCATGTCCCCCATGCCCCGCTGCTTCCATCCCGAGTTCGCCTATCCGCGCGAGAATGACGCGCACCCTGTCATCCTGCAGTCGTCCGACGACATCTACTTTCACTTTGATCTGCTCGTGAGTATCCACTGCCACCTATGTTGGCCACTGTAGCATCCGCTGAACCCAGCTCCTCGCCAGCAAATCCGAATTCTTCGAGGGCATGCTTGAGATCCCATCCTGTTGCGCCGATACGGCACATATCGTTCCATTTACGAACGCGTCAGCACCGGCGCTGGCGTTCATCCTCCACGCCTTGACCTGGGTACCCAAGAAGGAAATTGTGCCTTTCCACGTTCCAATCGTGCATCCCGGCCGCGCCTACTACGCTGCATCTCAGATTGTGACTCCGACTACCCACCTTCTCCCGACAGCGCCAGCGACCCCACCTCCCGCGTCTCCCTCGCCTGCAGAGTTTTCCGACGTTGCCGTCCCGTCCGAGTGCCAAGTCAACGGTGAGATATCGCCTTCCTCACGCAACAAAGACACCGCCTCGCAGAGAATCCCCGCCCCTCCTTCAGGTATGATGCACGCCTCACCAGGCGACTTCGAGCTCATAATCATGGAGCAGATCATCGACACGACCAACTGCTACGAGCTGCGCGGGCCCCTCGACGCGCTGTACGCAACTCTAGTGCGCTATCGCTGGCCTGCAAGCATCATGTTTACCCTGGCCGTCCTCCTCAAGCGCGGTAACGCGCAATACTGGTCGCAGAAGCTCCTCGGCCCGGGCCCGCAGTGTCTGCACCCGTGGGCAGTATATCGTCTTCAACAGCATGCTCCCAAGGTCTACGAAGCGCTCTTGAACTTGTTCGTGCGCTGGGCCGGCACCTTCACCCACTTCATGAAGATCGCCTGGAGATCGTTCATCGTCGATGGCAACCGCGACTTCGGCCGACGCTGCAAAGGAACCGCCAAGCGCACCATTGCGGACACTAGAGTTGGCGCTGAGAATTCGGCACCCTGCCGCGTCTTCACGGCGTACGGGGGCGACTTCCACATGTTTCTCAGAGCTTTCCTGGAGGAGATCTTCTCGTTCGCGGCGGAAAGTCCGGGGCTTGTCGGGACGTACGGAGCACTCCAACGCTTCTGCGCTGACCGCGTACCGTGTGACATTTGCGCGTACCGTGTTGCGGCATCTGTTCGCTCGGCTTGGAATCACTCCATGAGACACAGCGACTGGTCGCTTGAAACGAAGCACGGTGTGCAAGGGCCGTGGGATGGAGGGAGGCTATGGAGGAAAGGAGGGCGGCGCCCGCTCAAGCAACACATCTGTTCAAATTGTGGGTAGCATGCATTCAATATTCTGTAAGCAGGAAAAGAATCAGACAACTCTACGACATCCACAGATGGATTGCGAAGTGCGCGAGAGCTCACGATACCTGGCACCGGGCAAAAATCAGACGTATTCGTTGTGAGTTTCGAACTCACGACCTTTCGCGTGTGAAGCGAACGCTCTCCCACTGAGCTAAACGAACTGAAGTTGCCGATATCATGTTGATGTCCGGACCGATAATAACCGACCTTTGGTCAGCGACACAAGTTTAGAATGGCTTTCGAACAACGATACGACACTCCGAGTCAGTTCTGCACCACAGCCAGCCTGTGCTCGCCGGTATGGCAGAACATCATCCTCCGTCGACTAGAGCAATGCTTTGCGGACTGCGGGGCTAACCCCCCCTCCGTTGTCCCCTTCCTCCTACGCATCCGCTGCAGTCCAGATCGAAAAGTACATGAGGTATCACAATGCGATATTGACGCTCTATAAGCCCACGCCCCATGGCACCCTCTATGCACGCGAACCCTTCTTCTTGTTGGTGAGGTTGACGCGGTGCCCGCCGCGGTCCTTGCGCTGCGCGGCCTGCCCGATAGGCACGTACGAGAAAGGGTCGGGGCCGTCGTTGCGCTTGACGTCGCCCTTGCCGCGCTTGGAGCGGAACTCCTCGCCGAGCTTGACGGCCTTCTTCTTGGCCTTCTTGGGCTTCTTGTCGCCAATCAGCTCGTCGAGGTCCATCGCCTCCTCCTCGCGCTCGGCCTCGCGCGCTCTCTTCGTGTTCTTGTTGAACTTGAGCCCACCGCGCGCGTCGCGCGTCGCCCCGTCCACGCCCCGCATCGCGGTCATGTACGCGTTGCCCTCGCCGGCCGCGCGCTTGCCGTCCATCTCGTCGTCCTCGTCGCCCGACTCCTCGATGACGAGCTTGCCCGACCGGTCCGTCTTGAAGTGCGCCGCGTCCTGCCCCGGCTGGCGCTTGCGCGCTGCTACACTGGGGTCGGCACGCGTGATGCCGCCCGCAATCGAGCGCGAGAGCAGGTCCAGCGGGTCGTCGCCTTCGTTGCGGATGAACGTCTGGCCAGCAGCCGCGGCCGCGGCCGCAGCCTTGCGCTGGCGCTTCGACAGAGGCTTAATGGGCCGGGACTCTTCCTCGCCGTCCGACTCAAGGTCCGAGTCGGAGTTGTACAGGATGTCGTCAAACGCGTTGCCGGATGACTGCTTGGGCTTGCCCTCGGCACCATCATCGTCGCCGTTCTCGGCCGCAGCCTTCTTGCGCTTCGCACGGTCCTTGCGGCGCTTGATGTTCTCGAGCACCTTGCGCTCACCGCCCTCTGGCGCGTTCTTGTACACCGCCTCGTAGCCAAACTTGCGGATCATGCGCTCGAAGATGTGAACCGTCTTCGATTTGAAGTGGTTCTTGTGGTCGTGAACCCAGCCAAGGAGGGCAGGGACGAGCGCGTCGAGGTGGGGCTCAACGGTATCGACGGGCAGGGCGACGACAGCGACCTTGACAAAGCCAAGTGCGGACTTTACGATCTCACGGTTCTTGGAGCCAACAAACACCACGATGGTGGCGACGAGCTCCGAGATGAGGTCGTTCGAGGTGTCGTCCTTGAACTCAAACAGGAGACGCGACAGGGCGTTGATGCTGGCCGAGATCATGTGGGGTGTGTCACCAGTGAGACCAGCAGCGACCATAGTGATGTACTCCTGAACATTGGCGGCGACGGTATTCTCCTCCATCTCCTCGCTTTCTTCGTCAATGGGAACCTGCTGCTTGACCTCGCCACCCTTTGACATCTTGTGGGCCATGACGACGAGGAGCTCGTAACCAGCGTCACGTGCCTTCTCGTTGGTCTCCTTGGTGCCAAGGACAGCCTCAGAGAGAAGCTCCGGAATAAGGTGAAGGCGATCGGTAGGGAGCGCCTCAACGACAGTGCCGAGAAGCTGGAGACGGTCGCGCTGAGCACCAGGGCCGACAGCAGTAGCGACCTCGTTCAGCTTCTGCACAAAGGTCTCGAGGTTGTCGCCGTTAATCGCAGTACCGAGCCTGCCAGCCTCAATAAGACGGGTGAGGAGACGGTACGCCTTCTTCTGGACAGTGGCGTCTGAGTGCATGAGGAGGTCCTGCGTCGCGGTTGCCGCAAAGAGCGACACGGACTGCGCAGGAGGGAGGCTAGGGACGAAGATGATGAGGAGGTCCAGCATAGTGTGCGAGATGGGCGACGCGCCAGGACCCGGGATCTTAGACGAGCCGAGGTTGTCCGAAAGGTGCTTGGTGACTGTGTTGTACGTCTCAATGACATCCTTCGTGTCCATGATGCGCACCCAGGCGGCGATAACGTCGCCCACCATGCCGCGTTGCTCACGAGGCGTAGAGCTGAAGACGTTGAGAAGCACACCGACCATGTCCTTAGCCAGAGCCTTGAGCGCAGTGACGTCGGCCTTGGCGCCCTCCTGGTCCACGCCGAACTGCTTGCGAAGCTCAGCGGGGTCGGTTGTTGAGCCGAGCAGGCGCTCGGTCGAGGTCACAAGCAGAGTCAACGAACGCAGCAGGGGTGACAGGAGGAGCGGCTGGGAGTAAAGAAGGTTGGTAATGAGGCTCAGGAACTGGTTGGTGAGGCCCTGCACGTCAGCACTTCTCTTGCTGTTTATCAACTCACATCCTTGAGATCGCGAGGCATGTCGCAGAAGCCAGGCAGGCAGGCCCAAATTTGGCTGACAATAGTTTCCCAGACCTTCGCCTCACCGTCCTTGCCGGCATCTTCAGCTTTAACCTTGCGCTCGAAAATGCGTTCAGACAATGGGCGGAAGAACTCGGCGAAGAAGGCGAGCGAGTCGTTGGTTGTGCGAGTGCGGATGAGAGGGAGGAGGTGGGCACGGCCAGGCTGAGGAGGACGACCCGATGCGTCGGGCTCAATGTTAAGTGGAAGCGCCTTGAGCACGCCCTCGACGCCGATAACCTCGATGGCCATGCCAACGACGTCGTCGACCTTGTCCTTGTAATCGAAGCCCGGCTGTGTGCGGAGGTCTCCGACATCCTGGATGAGCGGCAGAAGAAGCTCCTCTGCGGCGGTTGGTGCACGTCCAGCCGGGTCGACCTTGGCCTCGCCCAGCGTGATGCGCAGACGCAGACGCGAGATGAGTGAGGCAAGAATCGTGAGGAGATGGTTGATGCGAAGCGCGTGTGAGTCGAGGGCCTCGGTCAGCGCGGCAAGCAGGCGCGTGAGGAAGGGCGTCTTCTGCTTCTTGCGCGCGCCAGGCATATGTGACCCTCGGCGCATATACTCAATCGCAGCGACGATACCATCGTCCGTAATGCAGTAGCGGACGATGCCGTTGGCAACAGCGTCGGCAGCAGCGGCGCAGACAGCCGCCGACGCAGATGGTGCCAGCAGGGTCTCATTGAAGATGAAGTTGAACGCCTTGGGGAGGTATGTGCCAAGATTGGCGGGGTCCTGCAGCACCATCTTGATAAGAGCAGAGCTGAGGGCAGAGAGGTAAGATGCCATGTCCGTGGAGCCGAGCTCGGGCGGCGACTGAAGGAGCGAGTCGACGATCTTGGGCAGGTTCGTCATTACCGCAGGCTTGGCTGCGTGCTGGTCCGCTGGTGGAGGGGAAAGGAGGTGTGCGAGAAGTGAGTAAACTTGCGCAGTAAGGTGGGGGTGCGGAGGGAGAGCGAGGAGGAGGCTGCAAAGCTTGCTCAGTTCGTCATCGCCCCAAACGGCGACCCAGCCTCGCAACCCCTGCACGACCCAGATCGCCTTCTTCCCCTCAGAGTCCTCAGAGTCGGCGAAGCGCGCCTTCTTGCCCTTGGCAGCGGCCTTGCTGGACCCTCCCGAGCGGATGTCCTCTTCAAGCACTGTGGTGACCCAGTCACGAGCGCGCGAAAGGTACGGGTGCGCGCCGGGAGTAACGCGTGGGGGCACCGGAGTGATGAGAATTTTGCGGACGCCCTCCTGTGCAAGATGCCGGACCTTGGGACGAGGGTCGAGGTTGAGCTCGAGCAGGTAGTTCCATGCGCGCTTGAGGTGGGGGGACGATCCAAGGAGCCCGGGCGTCGCGAAGAGGATGGCGCTTGTGCAAATCTGGATGAGGGAGCGGAGGGGAGGAGGGTTTTCCAGGGCAGTAGGATAGAGCGGAAGAAGGCACTCGAGGAGCGGAGATACCTTAGAGAGCACGACCTGCGCCGGCGTCTCCGGCACAACGATTGCCAGAAGATACAGCGTCGCCGGGACCAGGGCACCGCCACCCATGTTCTCCGTCTCCGCCATCTCCTCACCCGTCTCCCCAGGAAGGATCTCGTCCGAGCATGCCTTCTCGAGGCACTGAAGGAGCGCGGTAAAGTAGGCGGTAGAGGAGTGAGGGAGGGTGGAGCCGGGAAGTGTGGACGAAATCGTAGCCTCGATGGCAGTGAGGAGCTGCGCCGGCTTAGCTTGGTGTGCAAGGGCTGAAGACGTCAGCCTCCGCACGTTGGCGAGCTGCGTCCCGAAGTCTGGCGTTGCTGTCGCCATGTCGGGAAGTGAATGGTGAGAAGTGTGACACCTTGTGAATGTTGATGGAGGGCGGAATCAAGCCGTGAGGGAGAAGTTCAAAATCTCAATCTAGTCACGTGCGCCAGGCACCATCGCCAGCATTGCCACCCGGTGGAGGTCGTCCACTGCGCCTTGGGCAGGAGTTGCACAATGCAAACTTCACGGAGCCCGTATGCAGCCAAAATCAATGCGTTGCATCTGTTCTATCTGTTTTGTTTCACTGGAGCTATGCACTCAGAGGACGTGGCTTGCTGACGGCATCGAGCGCTCCATGTCCATTGTCGCAATGGCACTGCAAACCTGTCTTTCAGAACACCCGCCATAGCTGCATTTCCTTCAAGAAGTGAACGCTGGGATGTAGATGAGCTCTACACACTACTCTCTTTTCTCAGCACTCGTCTGCCTTCCTCTCCTCACCTCACCTCACCTCCAATCCCGTTCCGCTGACATGGGCAATTGCACCAGCCGCCCATTCTATCTTGATGACCTCATTCCAGGCAACCGGCGTCACCATGACATATATTACTCTCATCCTTACGAGTTTTCCGAAGGGCATGTCAAAGGATGGAAGTACTACCAGCGCGACATTCCGACTATGGGCCACGCGCCGTGCAGCTTTTACGAGAATAAGCGTAAGATCCCCTTGCGATAATGCTGATGGCAGGTAAATGCAGAATAGTCCGCTCGAATGTTGGAATAAACCCATACAACGGCCTACCTCACCACTACTGCGAGAAGTGTGGCAAGGGTTACGACAATGTATGGCAATGGGACCTGCGTCCGCGCTGGTAGGAGCCCATACTGTCAGATTGGACAAATATTTCCGATGTTATCTGAAGTAAATTGTGCCAACCTTCGCTCGCACCATTCCCCCAGTTTATTTTGCTGCCCGGTGTTAGTCGAGGAGGCCTCTTATGAGGCAGAACGAAAGAGGTGTCCCGTTAACCACGCATCGTGCTGAAACACTCCCCCCTTGGACCGTCCTGCGAGCCGCGTGAAATCAGATTGACGTGCCGAAATATCTCATGTTTACCCATACAAGATGGAGGAGTACGGCCTGATGATGCGGGTCGACTGCGGGGGTGGACAGTGCGGGACACGTGGCTTATCTCATCTGCGCGTCTGCTTCCACACCGCAACCTATCCTTCTGGCATCCTCTCTCTGGAGACCAACATAGATAGAGGTCTTGTATAAAATCCCTCGCAGGCTCTGTCAATGGATTATCAACCCACAGAGGCGGTTATTGACCCACCAGGGCAGTATGGGATCTTGCCTTAGCACTCGGAATAATGCTCCGAACATCTCCTACGCACAGTTCTGGGAGGTTGACGACTTGGCGGAAGAGCTCCCGCTTTGCCGCTTCAACCGCTCCGGTGGTGCGTTGCATCACCATCATTTCTTACACCAGGTCCCTGCACTCTTGAGCTGGACACGCTGAACCCTGGGTACTACTGGTGCATCCGATGCGTAAACCACTACATTGTCCGCGACCAGACCGAGAATGTTTACCGCTGGCCGACGTATACCGGCAAGTGGTACCAGGCCGAGAAGGACGGGCAGTCAGTAGTGTCGGGAATGTAAGCGAGCGAGCGCATTTGAGAAGGGATTTTGTCAACCAAACGGCCAGAAGGAGGGAACACTTCAGGACTCGCTGTGACACTGCAATTGGGCTCAGACAGGACTGATGAACGGCATGACCATTTTGGTTCGTGGCTGACTTTGCGATCGACCCAAGATGAAGTGCCTCCCCTCTAGATCAGCGGCAACGCCGGTGCGCTGCTCGAACGAACGTGTAGCTACATCTGACGATGATTCCCCAAATGGGCCAGGGCGGACAGACAATGTCGCGGGATAGGGAGCGAATGGCGCGAGGATGGGCATTTGCATGTAACGGGAGGCGGTGGCAAGATCGTCGTACCGTCTGCACGGATGGGTGGATCGCCATCAGAACGACCGTTTTCCACTTTTGTTTGACAGCCTCCGAAGCACAGCGTGATTGTCCTCATCACTCTGCATCGCACCCACCGAGTGGCAAAGCAGTTTGCAAGTGGGGCATCGAGGCGCGCTATAAGGTCGCTGCGGGCCCCTCACAACATCCCACTCGCCGTCGCCCCTTGCCCTGCACTTGATCGTCACAGATACCCATCGATATAATTGCCACTCATGGGCTTCATCTTCAGAAAGCTCCGCGCCCGTCCCCCCGAGCCCGACAACATCCGTGGCCCGTACGACTTGAAGGACACAACAACGCTTCCGCCCTGCGGTGGCCGTCGCTGGCAGTGTACGTTTCTGCGGATGGGATGGGCTGATGACAGGGCCGTGTATCCTCACGCGATGCGGCCAGCACACGGGCATGTGCATCTGCTACAAGTGCTGGACTGCGTACCGTGTTCACAGCTTGTGCGATTACCCTCCTGGGTCGGAGCGGTACGAGTGGCCAAACAAACTGGTTAAGTGGCCTGAGCTGCCGGGGGGGCTGTTCATGCACTTTTAGCTCACGCTCGCGCTACTGGGCCGACTTTAGTTGCTAGTCAGAGCAGTCAGTACCGTTTGTGAGGAGCTGAGGTGAGTCCGCACCAGCACCAGCTATGCAGGGACATGCATCTATAGCTTCAAAGCATGACGACACCCACTCCCGAGGATTTGCGCTGCGGCGTTGTGGACATGCCACCATCGATGGGTGCTGTGGACCAGTTGTAGAGGTAGTCTGGGTGAGCGGGCATCGAGCGAATAACTCACAATTCTGTACAGCCAAGTAGAGTTTGATGTCAGCAACAACTTCAGATCTTCACGACTGCCACGTACGAGAGCACCATCACCACGGCCAAACTGCTGTTAGCGCTGCAAGATTGTCTCGGATCGCACCATCTGCTCCTCCAAGAATACGTTGTTGTCCAGCAGCGTAAGGGCGTTGACAACATCAAAGTCGTGCTTCTTCGCCATCACAAGGAGATCAGTGACGAGGGCGTTCAGACGTCGATCGAGAAGGTTCTGTGTCTTGAGGTCATGCGTGAATGCGTCGTCGGACGAAGCTCCAGGAGCAAAGACGACATCACTAGCGTAGTAGAACATATACGCAGCGTTGAGGCAGTCGTACTTCGGGTGTTGCATGATTGTCGACGGCAACGTGTAGAACGACACCACATCTGTGATGAGGTTTGTTGTTGGGTCCTGTGCGTCAGCTTGCCCCATTGCCAACTCACCTCGACAACATATGCCCACACAACCTGGTTTTCCCGCTTGCCATTAACCTCCTTACCCATGCCTGATATGAACCAATGCTCAACGTCCTCATCCGTGTTGAACAGTTGCGCACAGTCAAAGCGGCCAAGGTATCGCCGCAGCAGAGCAGCGACCTGCGGCACGTCGGCGGACACCATCTCGCGGAAACCCGGAGTCTTCGTCTGCTCCCCTGGATTGTACTTGCGCACAAGTCGGGCAATCGTTTCGCCCTTTCGCAACGGCGAGAAGCCAATGTCGACGAGCTTGGCCGGGTTTAGGGAACGGTGATAGTACCTGCACGTGCTGAATGGCGTAGGAATGCGCACTCCGGCGGTGTAGATCGCCTGCCAGATGTTCTGGAGGTTGACTCGACGTGTCACCTCCTTGATAAGAACGGGGGCGAGACGCTTCGAGCGCAACTTCTTGTGCACGCACAGGAAGTTGATCTCAGCGTTCATGAATGTGTTGTTCCGCACGCGCAGTTCAACAGGGATGCCTGAGATGAAACCGACGAGCTTGCCCGTCTTCTGCACGCGGACTCCAATGTGCCAATCCTTGTAGTAGCCTGGTGGCGTGAGAGCCCTAAAGTCAGCGGGGTGGCTAGGAGGAGGAGTATTTTCACCAGAGAAGGAACTCGCGCGAGTAGCGGAAGCGGAACATGGCGTCATCATCCTCGACATAGTTCTCTGTCAGAAGATTGTGCACCTCGTCGATCTGGGGTCAGCTCCACGCGTGGACGCTGAAGCACCTCCTCATCCTGCTTGACATCCACGATGCTCCACACGAAGCCGGTTGGAAGTGCGATTGGGTCTTGTTGCACGTCGGCTGGGGTTTTGTGCTCGTCGATCGCACCCTCCTTAACCTGGTCCTCCTCCTTCTGGGGCACGGGCTGTGTCTTCCAAAACTCGGGTCAGCCTGCTCCGCATTGACATCCGCACCTTATGCTCTGCAGCGGCCTGAGGCCCGCCAAGGTGACCCTCCAACAGCTTCATGAGATCTGCAGCCTGCAGCGCCTTTCTGATGTCGTCTAGCTTTAGTTACACTCTCGCTGTCCGCAATCGTACCATTACTCGCTCCCGCAGACTGTGTCGTGCTCATGTTGCCCCGCACAATGTTAACGAGCTCGTCGGCTGTCACTTCCCTTGTGTAAGCTAAGCCTAAGCGGTTCGCACTTGACAACTGGAGCCTTGGCTTTGGACTTCTTCTTCTTCTTTTTCTTCTTCTTTTTGGCCTCACCGTCTGGGCCACCAGCTGCACCTGCTGCAGGCACACCATCGGCCTCCTCACCGTCCGTGTCGTCCTCATCGTCGATGTGAGTATCCTCGAGTTGAGAGACAAGCGTATCGTCCAGAAGTTCGGCGATGGACTTGCCGCCCGATCGAGAAAGGGAACTCCCCGGTGCGCCAGCCTCGCCTGCCATGGCGAAAAATAAAGAGATGGTGTTAAGGTATATCGAGAAGGCGCAAGACACTCAACACGTCGACTTTCCGCGTTCCCCGTCAGTGGACAACAATGAGTTACGTAAACAGGTGGAGGCGTTAATTCACTCTACATCGATTAGGAGGCAGGTAATAACATTTGCTTCCGTTGTAATTCAGATTGACAGTGACGAAGTGACCATGTCGTAACTGCTCGTCTCCCATTCCATCACTGCAACTCACTTCATTCTCCATCCGTCTTTGTCCTCGTGGATCACACTATCCACCATGTCGGCAGAGCCCCCCGCCGACAGCTCTGCAGCATCAGCCGTGACTGCTGCTCCGGCTGTGGGCGCAGCCTCTGCATTGCCGTCAGATGTGTTAGCGGATGTTGAGAGAGAACAACAGGTTGCCGATCTCCAGGCCGCACTCTCGAAAGCTGAGGCCGTGGTTGAACAGCTGAGGAAAGAAAAGGAGGCTCTTCTTAACGAGCGCGATGCTTCGGGTAAGCCTTCTTCGCTCGTGACTGGCTAATACGCCAGTCTCCACCTCGTCTCAGCTGCGCGAACAGCTCGCCAAAGTACAGTCGGCGCACCATCAGGCATCATCCGAACTCAGCGTCGCCTCAAGCCGCGTCACTGTGAGACTTGGAAGCCGCTTGGGTAACTGACGCCAGGCTGTCGAGGCCGAGAAGGTCGAACTCGCAGAGGACATGCAGAGGCTGAAGGAGCGCGCCGCTGAGACAAACCGTAAGCAGCGCCGACCTGTTTCCATCTGCTGACGTATCAGAGGAGCTGTATAGACTGCGCCTGCAGAAGAGCGAGGCATCGCAGACCGTCGCCACACTTCGCGTTGAGGTCTCAGAGCACAGGATGGCTGCCGACTCTGCCAAGGTACTACCCAGACCTGCCAGCCGCCCGGAGCTGACGTGCAGTTCAACGAACAACGTGCCGTCCAGGCTTTGAAGAGCAGTCGTGATGAAGTCATGAGCTTGACGACACAAAACACAGAGCTGGAGGAGCGGTTTGCCAAGTACCGCGCATCATCTGTGCGTTGAATCACAAGACCAGCCTTTAACACTACAGCAATCACAGTATTCCGAGCTGCAACAGGAGCGCGACCGGGTGGAATTCGAGGCCAAAACGGCCAGGTCATCATACATCGCCCTCCAGCGCACGTATGAGGACCAGACCACTCGACTTGCGGAAGCGCACGCTAATGTGCGCACGCTGACCAACGCGCTTGCCAAGCAGAAGGCCGAGAGCCGTCTTGAGCTCGAGCGGGTCATTGCCCAGAACGCGCTGCTGGAGAAGTACTCGTCTGAGGCGCGGGACGCTGTGCTGGACCGCGAATCCGAGCTCGAGGACATGGCTGCGCGGTCCTCGGACAAGGAACGCGCGTTCGAGGAGACTATCAACCGCTTGGAAGGCGAGCTCGCAAGCGCCAAGAAGCGCGCGGACGACTTCAAGTTCGCGCTCGATCGCTTGACTTCAGCCAACGATGCTGCCCTCGACTACAGTCCAACGGCCACTATCGCTGCCCAGCAGCGTGCCAACGGGCAGTCGTACACCCATGTTTGGACGCAGAATGTCCTCCTTCAAGAACAATTGAGCGAGGCTCAAACCAAGAACGAGCGTCTGGAGGACATGATTCGGCAAATTCAGGAGGAGATCTTGGAGAAGGTAACCCGACCACGTAGGGAGACGTTGACGTCAGAAACCGATCTTCGACCAGCAGCGTAAGGATCACGAACTGGCCAAGGAGCGTGCCAACACTCTCGCTGGCGAGCTCTCTGCAGCCATCACGGCCCGCGACACCGCTGAAAAGCAAGCTCGTGGTGCCGAGGCGGAGGCCAAGCGTCTGGCGGAGGAGGTGGCATCACACCAGATCACTGTGGAGGACCTGGCTCATCAGGTTCGCGAGCTTACTCGTCAAATTGCTCTGCGCGACAATCCCAGCCTTGCACACTCGACTGCTCAGCCCCAGGAGGAGTCAGGTGACATGATTACCGACCACTTCGTCGCGTTCGCATCGCTGGACACGCTCCTCAAGCGAAACCGCCAGCTCCTTACTCTGACTCGCAGTCTTGCCTCCAAGCTTAGTGAGCGGGAAACGACTCGCGCTGAGGGCGAGGCAGCCACCGGCATGGAAATTGACCAGGCTGCCGAGATCATCGAGCAACAGCGCGAGCAGCTTGAACATACTTCTGCCAAGCTATCGGAGGTCACCCGCGAGCGCGACCTCTTCTCCAAGCTCTTGTCCAAGGGTGAAGGCCTCCACTGGCCTGCGACCAACTCAAACTCTATCCACGACGATTCTAATGAACATGCCGTGGCGTCGTTGCAGGCCGAGCTTGCCGCCGTCCGCTCCCGTGCGGATACCGAGATGGAGGAGGCGAGGGCTCGGGCACGAGAGCAGGCTGAGAAGGCGGGCAAATCGGAAGTGGCTATGGCTAAGGCAGAAGCCATGGCTGCCCATCTGAAGGGTAAGCTAATGGGAGAGGCGAGGCTAACTCTGCCAGAACAAGTGCGCAGCATCGATCAGACCCTCGCATTGCAGAAGACAAACTACGCCAATCTCGAGTCTCAGTTGCACCAGGTGCAGTCGCAGCTTCATTCCGCGCAACTTGACCTTCGCCGGGCTCGCGAGGAGGTTGCGTCGCATCAGGCCACGGAGAAGCGTCTCCGCGACGAAGCTGCACAATTGCGTGCAGAGAAGGAGCTGTGGGAAAGCCAGCAGGCCCGCCTCCAGTCTGACTTCGCCGCTGTCCAGCAAGAGCGTGCTAAGCTCACGTACACAATCGAGAACTTCAGCAACGTCTCTACCGCCAACGAGCGCACACGTGCGGAAGAGCGCACCCAGCTTCAGAAGCGCATCGAGGAGTTGCAAACCCAGGCGTGAGTCTATTTGGAAGAGCCTTCTGACATGCAGTGTCACCCTGCGGTCCCAGGTCGACCAGGCGCGCGAGCACGCCGCACAGGCCCAGAAGAAGGCTGATGAGGCCGACGCGCGCATCGTCGCGGAGACTGCTGCGATCCGCACCGAGAAGGAGGCGGCTGTGGCCAGCAAGACGGCCGAGATTGAGGCCAAGACGGCCGAGGTTGATGCCAAGACGGCCCAGTTGGCGAAGGCCGACGAACAGCTCGCGGAAGCGAAGCGCATCGGTTTGAATTGGCAGCGCCGCTCGAGGGAGCTCCAGAACACGATCACTGAACTCACGACTGCCAACGCCAACGTTGCCGAGAAGGAAGCTGCGGTCGCCAAGCTCACAACTGAGCTCGCAGAGTCCCAGACAAAGATCGTCAGCCTCGAGGCGAAGATCTCGGAGCTGGAAAGCAAGGTCACGGAGGGCGAGCAGTCTCTGCAGACGAAGGATGCCAGAGTGTCTCAGCTTGAGGCAGACCTCACCACTGCTCAGACCGGGGCCGGGGGAGCTGCGGCAAGCTCAACGGCTGACGCGGCGGAATTGGTGAGTGACGGGCGCTGGGAGTATATCTCATTTCAGGCCGCTATCAAGGAAGAGCGCGACTCGCTCCAGCTCCGCCTTGCGCAAGCCGAGAAGGATCTGGAAGCTGCGCGGGCCTCGAGCTCGTCAGCTGTTGCGGCTGCGGAGCCGGTCATCGGCAACGCCGAGGAGCTGCAGGCCAAGATCGACGAGCTCACCAAGAAACTCGAGGAGAAGGAGACGCAGTACGACAACGACGTGCGCAAGGTGAACAAGGCGAACGCGACGATGAAGACACGCATCGGCGTCCTCAACGGCGAGCGCGCCGACCTCGACCAGAAGATCGCGGCGTTCGAGAAGGAGGTCGCGGAGCTCAAGACGAAGCTTGCCACCGCCGAGGCCGCGGCGGCGGCGGCGGGGCAGGCTGGCTCAGAAGCCGCGCCTAACCAGGAAGCTGTGGACCAGGCAGTGAAAGAGGCCGTGGCGAAGCGCGAGGCGGAGCTCCACGCAGAACACCAGACGGCGCTTGCCAACGCGTCCGCCGCGTCCGCTGGGTCTAGTGACGCGGACGCGGCCGCGATCAAGGCTGCGGTCGAAGCAAAGGAGGCCGAGCTCAAGGCCGCATACGAAGCTCAGCTCGTCGAGGCCAAGGCCGCCGCTGCCGGCGGCGGCGGGGCGGACGCGACCAAGGCCGCTGACCTCGAGAAGAAGGTGGAGGAGCTTGAGAAGAAGATTAAGGCGCTCGAACGCAGTGCGCGCACCGCCGAGATCTCGCGTAAGACTTTGGAGCGCCAGAAGAACGATCTCGAGAACAAACTCGCCGCGGCGACGGGGAGCAACGGCGCGCCCTCCCCTGCGCCGGCGCTATCACCCGCCGCGGCGCCCTTCAAGCCCGGCGCACCGGCCACGCGATCGACAACCGCCACACAACCCGCACAGCCCGCCGCTGCCGCGGCACCTGCGGCACCGGCCGCCACGCCCGCGACGCCGGCTGCGGCGGAGGCAGCGCCAGCGGGCACGACTTCGGGGGAGACGACCCCCGTGCGTGGCGGGACGGCGATCCGGGGGGCAAGGGGGCGCGGGACGGCGATCCGCGGACGCGGCGCGGCGCCGGGTGCGCGCGCCAACATTCTTGGTAGTGAGTGGCTTGGCTACGCCAGTGGTCGCGGAGAAGCTGACGCGCAGATGTCAATGCGACGCTTGCGGGCGCGGCTGAGGGCGGGACGAAGAGGGCTGCACCGGACGACGAGGGCGCCGCCCCGGGCGCCGCGGGCACTATCTTGCAGCGCCTTAACCGGCCGCAAGGCGATGCGGCGGCGCGTCCTGCGAAGAAGCCGCGTGGCGGGGCGGCAGCGCGTGGAGGGCGGGGTACGGGCAGGCAGAGCACGGGAGGGCATCAGGAGGGGACGGGGGGTGCGGGAGGAGCATAGTCAGTAGAACGGCAGACTGCCGATACATGTATACATTATCCCGTTTGCCATGAAGGATCCTACTGACTAGCGTGCCGCAGGATGGGTTACAGACCGCTTTTGCATCGATTATTACGGGTATCTATGTGCATGCGCGGAGCGCGGTTCTCACACAGCTTGTGGCTCGTCAATGGGTATGCCCAGGGAGAAAGGTGTCGAGATGTAGGTGGGGTTTATATACAAGGAGGGGGGCAGATGGGGCGAGCATCATGTCTCGCACGAGGTAGCAAACGAAGGGGATGACGGGCGAGACGGAGTCGGGGTACTGAGAGATGGCGGGAATCCGAAATGGAGGGTATTCCGCGTGAGGAAGCCCAGAGCGACGCTCACATTCCCATATTGCTCATGCTGCTGCCTTCGTTGGGCGGCATCATGCGCCGCGGTTCCGTGGAGGGGTGCGGCGGCTGATGCTGTGGTTGGTACATGCCCGGGTGCGGTATAAAGCCCTGGTGACCAGGTGCTGGATGGTATCCATAGGCCATTTGGGTGGGTGCAGCGCCGTACTCCATGGGAGGGCCGGAAGACGTTGTGGGATAGCCATATGTCGGTGACGGCATCCCTGGAGGAGGATGATGCGCTTGCGCATAGTCGGGTGGCATATGATAACCCCCACTCAGAGGCGAATGCATTGGATTCGGTTGAGGCTGGCCGTGCGACATCATGTGCTGTGATGACGGTGACTGGCGGTGTATGTCCGGAATCGGAGGGACTGGCGGTATAACTTCGGGCTGTTGAGGCATGTCCGGATGCTGAGACGAGCGCTTGCGAGAAGGCAAACGCTTTTTCGGACGCTGAGAAACCGGCGTGCCGTTTCCTAGCGATTGCACGGCTTGCGCCTGGGCGGCGGCATGGTTCGCGCGGGCTTGGGCCTCATCTGGGGTCGCGCCGGCGACCTGGGCAGCCGTGGCGAGCATCTTCTTCGACGCCTCGGCTGACAGCTTGTGCGGCCGAATGGACAATCCTCCGTTCTTGCCTCCCTTGGTTGGCTGCAGCGGAGCACCAGTAGGCTCGCCGTCCGGATCATAGCCATCGGGAGCACTCAAACAAGCCTTGAGGTCAGCCCGGTAACACGGTTGGCACTCACTTGAATCAGACTCTTGCCCTCCTGCTTGGTGACGAGAGGCTGCAACTTGGACGTCGTGAATGTGTAGACCAAACCTGTCTCGGACACGACAAGTAAAAGCACTTGTGTGCCGGTCAGAATGGACAGTTCGTATGCCTATAATGTCAGCCACCGGCAGCCGACTCGACTTGAATTGGCTCACCTTCTTCATTATTCCAGCCTTGCGTTTGCTGAATGTAATGTGCCGCCTCGGACGGTCGGTAATGTACTCGATGCGGATTCTACGGCGGCTGCTCTCCTCTCCATCTTTATCACGGTATGTGAATCCGCCGGGCACGTCCTGAGTTTGCCGAGGGCGCTTCTGCTGGGGGGCGGGAGAGTCTATCGTCAGTAACTGTGCGGTCTTGCCGCCACCAGGCTCACCATCATCATCATCATCGGATCCATCCATGCCTGTCTCGGTCTGGAACTCGACCGGGTTCATTGGTGGCCCGTGTGAGGAAGATGGTGGGTAGAGCGGGTCGTGTTGCTGTTGGTGGACCATTCCGTGAGCTAAAGTGGCGAGTCAGCACGGGCGGTGCGGATGAGGGTTGGGGTGAGAGAACAGCGATACTCACCTGTAGGGACTCGTCCCTCGTCACTTGGACCACCGTAGTTTACCATTCCTTCAAGGCCTGAAGTCATCTCCATGGCGAGGCCATCCTGGCTACCACCATAGTCGGGCATGCTGCCGTCCATGTTAATGGAGACCGAGCGCGACATGATTGGGTAGGGAGTTGGCGAGCTGGGTGTCACGCCGAGCGGACTCGCGTCGTTGATACGGTGCGCGTACGGCGAAATGGTGAGAGCCATGCACCCGTTCAACAAGGGGGTAGAGGGAACGAGGCGAGGGCAGGGCCCGTGGTGAGTGGTTGGGAGTTGGAGGGAAGTGTGGTGTGATTGAGTGCTGGATATGTTCTCGCTGCCTCTTTGTAAGGGCGCAGAGGAGGAGTCGTGCCAGATGGCAGGAGCCTGTGCGACTAGAGAAGGCGTCAGCGCTCAGGTCCCAATAGAAGTGATCAGCAGGTTGTGGATGAGAGTCATCTGCGAATGGTGACAGGTATGTGTGTGTGTGTGTGTGCGCGTATCCCATTTGTGGGGGGGGGATCATCATGAGCGACGAGCACATCACCGTGGGGCCGGAGCCGCACCAAAGCGCCGCCTCTTTGCGAATGGCTCTGGAGTCTGACGAAAGGAGGCGAGGGCAGGACGGGACTAAGAAGCACAGACACAGAGAAGAATGGAAGAGCAGGTAAAGGTGATTACGCTGGAGCAACGAAGACGCCGGATAGACGCGCAGACGGGTCTTTCAAGCTTTCTTGAATGCTTCGATTGTACCTCATCTCCACCAACAAGGTTTGAGATAACGGGGACTTTGTTGGAGGTGGACGGGATGGACGTGTTACTCACTGTCACGGTCTTGTGGAACGGCACAAGCTCAAACGCAAGTTGGACAAGTTGGCAAGACGAGCTCAATGGAGTAGTTAGCCAAGCAGGTGGCGCGCTCTGCTGTGCCGAGTGTGTGTAAGGGAGGAGGGGCAGTGGGCCGACTGCGCGAGGGGATGGTTGATGACACACGCAAGAGGGTCACCGAAGGGACGGGACAACACGAGTTTGACGAGAGCCCAGCCAGCGACTTGGAGACGAGCGAGAAGTTTCGGTTGGGCTGTAGAGAGGCGGAGGCGGCGGGGTTGTCCGGAACAACGAGGCGGCGAGGCGGAAAGGCGTACGAGAAGAAGGGAGACGAGTGGCTCCAAACCGACCAGAAGAGGAAGGATAGACGGATTAGGAAGGTGGGTGTTTCGAAAGAAGGTTGGCGGCGGCGGCGAGGGATCAAGAATGAAGTGGTCTCATTCGATAGATGATGGAAGATTGGGCGTTTGGGCGACGATTAGGATGGCGTGAGCATCGATGCTGAAGGTGGGGAGCAAAAGAAAAAGAGAAGAGAGATGCTAGTGCAGGTCGTAGCGGTCAAAGGAAGGGAGAATGGATGGATGGGAGGGGGCTGCAGGATGGTTGACGGGATGCGGATATGCGGAGAGCAGAGCCAAATCAACATTATCGCCTAATAATACGCGTCCCGTCGTCGGACAAGTCCAACCTGCAGGAACAGCCCTGCGCGCGCACGTCTGGACGCGTGTGGGTGTCGGCAGTGCACGCAGTGCACTGTGACTGTGACTGTGAAAGCAACGTAGACAGTGCACGCGCGTGAGTCCCCGAGCTCTGATGCTTGGTAGGTAGGTGCTTTAGAGCTGGGTGGCACGGGCGTGGGGTGGGCCACCTGAGGGGCTGTTATGAGACCCCCAGAGGAGGAGGTTGCGTCAGAGGCCGTCAGAGCCGCCGCCATAAGGTAATGGGAGCTCGGTGAGGGCGACTGGCGCTGCAGCTTGGGAGGCCATGGGAGGGGGGTATGGTGAGACTACTGCAGAGCTGCAGAAGAAAAGGAGCCGAGGAGATTGCCCTCTTCTGGTATGAGGATAAACCTCAAACGAGGGAGGGTTGCCTCTTGTGGATGCGCCGACCATGTTCCTCATGCAGTAACTCGGTGGCCGCCCTCCTGTTCTTCTTTGCCTTGCTTTACTCGTGCGCGCGTGTCCTCTGTCGTTGCCGCGTTCCGCAGGTCGACGCAGGTGGTAGTAGGTAGCAGCAGGTTGCACCCCAGCCCCCCCCTAGGCGCCCTCAAGCGTCCAAGCCCGAGTCTACGCACTACGCATCCTCTGTATCAGAAGAGAGGGCGTAATGAGGATGGATTGCGGGAGGTGAATGTCAACCGGCAGCAATGAGTCTTGTGGCCCACGGCCATGGCCATTGCCCACGGATCAACAACATGACGACGTCACAACAACAAACAAAAGCGGAGAGAAACATTTTGAGCAAGCTGAGACTACTCACCGGCTTATTGGAGTAGTAGGAATCCCAAGAGGCCAGAGGGCCGAGGGCGGATGGGGTGGAGAGAAATGTCCCAAAGAGGAGGTTGAAAGGGAAGGATGGGATGCGGAGTTTGGATTGGGAAGGTGGATTTGTTGTTGGTTCCAGTGCCTGTTGTGGAGGGGGGGGACGGGCGGGACGGGGATGTGCGAGTAGTGACAGCAGTGGAGATGGTGATGATGATGAGGGTGGTGAGAGTGGTGAGGGGGGATGGGAGATTGATGATGGAAGAGGATGAAGATGATGAGGAGGAGGAGGACGACTGTTGGTGTGTATGGTGTACAGTGTACAGTGGTGGTGGACTGTGTATGGTGGGTGGGTGGGTGGTGGTTACGTAGAGGGGAGGGGAGAGGGATTCAGTAGTCCTCGCAAGGGCCCAGAGCTCAGAGTGAGAGGCTCGCGGCTGCTGAGTAGACAGGAACTGGGACCTGGGACCGGCTCATCCTCCCTTTCTCTCTCCTGAATCCTCATGTCTCACCATGTCTCACCATAGGCCCCATGCCTCGCCATCTGGATCAGGGCCCCGCTTCAGGAAGATCTTGTTTGTTTCCTCGTAGCTTTATTACGTACCACTCCACCAAATGTGCAAAAAATGCCGGATATGGCAAATCTCTCATTGCGCCCTCAGGTTCAATGGACAGGCCCAATGTTGTTTCCAATGAACCAGGGTGGCTCAGTAGCCTTAGGGACCTAGGGTAGAGGGGTTCTTCGGACCGACTCTTTTTCATCGCCTCTGGCCTCATGCATCATGCCGAGGACTTTGATCGTCCTCACTCCTCGAGTATGGCGGGCGCGACACGCGTGTCCCACGCGCAACTCACATGTCCTCTACCATTCGGTCACCCACGGTGCCCCACTCTTACGCCACCCCACCCCCTCGACGGACGGCATCCTCTCCCATCCATCTCGCGCCATGTCGGCATCCACCCACTTCGCCGATCCGGCATACGGCACACGCAACAAGGCACTCTCCCTCGGCCCGAACTCATGCCCGCCATCACCTCATCATCCGTTCATCATTTCATGACCCGTTCCATCCCTTTGGACATGTCATAGTTTTGCTCACCAAAGACACGCGCCGCGTCGCGTCCACTGTCAAGTCTGTCGCGCTACTCGTCCGCTTCCACAAGGCACAAACGTAAGCAATCGGAACGGCGGGGCCGTCAAGCCGTCATGCCGCGTCCAGCCGATCCGACGAGCGCGATGGACGAGTGATAGACAAGCGCTCAACTCTACATTGCGAGCTACCGATTTCTTTCCTTTCTCCGCTCTCCCTCTCCCTCTCCCTCTTGCTCTTCCTCTTCCTCTTCCTCCGCCCCAGTCAACTGTAGCCGCCTCACAACAACCCTACAGTCCACGACATGTTCCATACCACGAACATGGCCATCTCAGTCCCCGGATCCCCATCAGCTGTACCAGATACGCACAATAAGCTCACCGCCGTGCGGCTCGCCTCCCGCCCCCGCCCGTCGCTATCAGTCTGATCTGCCATCTGACGGATGCGGCAGCCGCAGCCGCAGCCGCAGCCGCAGGGCCAGCTTAAGGTTGTCTCGGACCCGGCCTCTCGTCTTGAGTTGCTTGTCTCAAGTCAGGCCGGGCCGTCAAGTCGGGCGAGCAGCACGCGCCGTTCCGAACCACATGCCTACATTGCGTCCCGCGACGGGTACGCCGCCGGCACCGCTGTCGGATGGGACACGGCAGGGGTGCACACTCCCGAAGCCATTTCCGAGGCGGTTCCGGCGTGCCTAGCCCCTCCTGTCGAGAGTCGAGAGTCGAGAGTCGGCGCGTAGCGGGTGGGACATAGCATGGGCCGTAGGACGTAGGCCGGAGGCCGTACGCCATAGCCCATTGCCAGGTCATGCAGCAGCAGGTAATGCAAGTCATGCAGCCCCCAGCCATGCAGTGCAGCGATGAACGGGCTTTGTCGGTCGCGCGACTGTGGCAGTTTGTAAAGAAGACACGTGACACGGCACACTCGGCTGCACGGCCTGCACTGCACCGCCAACGATGAGGAGATATACTTACGCGATGGCCGACCCAAAGGCAAAGTATCATGCTTGACTGCGGAAGCCGGAAGCTCACTCGGGCGGTTTTCTGGAACATTGGAACGTTGGAACGTTGGAACGTTGGAACCGGCTCGGAGGAGGGGCGTGACAGGTGTGACCTGCCGCAATGTGACGGTGTGACACGTTCCAGCAATGTGGAATGGGGGGAGGGGGGTGTGGGGGTGACGTGTGGCAGCGTGGAGTGTTGCACGAGATGTTGACCAAGCATGAGGTGCGCGGGGGTGAGCTTCTCCTGCCGAGTCTTTGTGGCTGTCAGAGTTCGTGATACATGGTGGACTATAGTCGTGCGGAGCTGCGAGGCCTCATGAGCTCATGCGAGCATCATTGGGTCAATCCGATTTCACACAACGTTCACTTGTATATGTCCATACAGCATCACCATGCTTCGCTACATGACCATACTCCTACTACGAGCACAGACACTAGAGCCAAAGATGCGCCTGCCCCATGCATCAAACCACTCCAGACGTCACCCATCACCCACCACAGCCCGCTGCCATTGCCAAGTGCTCACCCGCCAACAACACTGGGTGAGTGTCTCACCAGGCACCGGCACGAGTAGCCGGCCAACCGAGGATCCGTGGATACATGACCACCAAAGATACAACCCCACGAACAGGTCCAAGCTCAAGTGAGAGGGCTCACCTCGTCCTCGATCACCTGCTGCTCGAGCTGCTCGACTCTACCTGCGTCTGCAGCTTCTCAACTCTACGCCTTACTCCTTCCACTCGACCTCTTCTGCTTCTCCTCTCCTCTCCACTCTCCCCCCGCTCTCCCCCCGCTCTCCCCACCACCTACCCCCCCCTCCCCTCCCTCCCCATGCCAGACGGATCCGCAATGTTCCACTGCCCCTCATCCCGGCAGGTGGCGACACCCGACCCACCGCCTCGCGCCGCGCCGTTTCGCCTCGGCGACCTCGCATACGAGCTGCAAGAGATGATCCTCGACGCGGTCGCCGACCTCCCCGTCCCCGCTTTGTGTGCCGCCGCACGCGTCTGCTCCGCCTGGCACGCGCGCTTCATCCCACCCCTCTACTCCTCCGTCTCGCTCAGCAAGGCGGACCGCGACTGCGTCCTCCACGGCCTCGGGCTCGACTACCTCACCCCCGCGGCGCTCGAGGCGCGTGCCGCCGAAGCCGGGGGCGTTGCGGCCTATGCCGCCGCAGGGACGAACCGCAAAGCCTCTGCCCTGGCTCACGTGAAGACGCTAAGCGTCGCCGACTCGAGCGCGGCCGCGAGCCTCGCCGAAGCGCTGCTGATGCACGGCGCCCTCTTCCCGTCCGTCGAGGAAATGCACCTCGGCCCCCAGCTGTTCCGGTACCTCGTAAACAGCGTGGCGAGCTTTGGGCGCCCGCGCAGCGGCTCCGCCTTTGTCGGTGAAGTCATGGTATCCCGCCTCCGGCCTCGGCGCGTGCGCGTCGACTTCCCGCCCTCGCGCGGCGCCGGGTCGTTCGACCCCGTCCTCCTTGCGCGCGTCACCGCCGTCCTCGTGACCGAATGGAAGCCCGACAGCATCGACTACCACAACATCGGATACAACCTCCCGCTCGCGCTCGGCCCGCTCACCAGGATACACAACAGCGCCCCGTGCTCCCCCGATGACGTATGGGAGGCGGAGGAGGCGGCGGGCGGCGGGTGTCGCGCGCACGCGCTTACCCGCATGCACCTCCGGCGCACGTATGGCGAAGGCGCCCGCGCCGACGTCCTCGAGGCGATTGCCGAGGCCGCAGACCCCACAGACGACGGCGACATTGACCCGGACACCGTCCCCGACCCCGCGGCGGCGAGGGTAGAGTACTACGGTGTACCATGTATCGCCGCGGCCGACCGCGACGCGTTCCTCGATAAGACGTTTGCTCACTGGCCCGTTGACGTCGGCGTCGACGTCGCTGCCCACGTCAAGTTCTTCCCATAGCTGCGCATTTGTTTCCCACTGCATAGTCATCTCTGCCACAACCGCACCCGTTGTATTTGTACCTCTATGCTCTAAATAGCATGCACACGCAATGTTCGCCAGCCGCAGCGGGAGCGCAGGCGAGATCGGCCGGCCGCAATGGCCAGTTATCCGGGGCGCTTGTATGCATGCTCGATCGCGTCGATCCGTCAGGACTCGCGCATCACAGCGCATGTTAATTACAGTACACTACTAGTCCGGCAAGCAGTTAACCAGTGTCTTGAAGCGAGGTTGAGCGCGTGGGCATCATTCCAAGGCTTGGCGCCCAGCCATGGCCAGCCAGCGGCTCAGCTCAAGGAGATGCGGGGATGAGTGCGCTAGTGCGAGCTGCGGAGCAGCGGGCACGTTTCGCCAGGCAGGAACAGCGCTCACGGTGGGGACGGCCGCCGGTGTTAAGGCCGCATCGCGGGACGGAGCGGCGGACTGCGGCGCGAGACTCGGGGAGATGAGACACGCATCCTGGCTTGCGGCTTGCGGCTTGCGGCTCGCGGCTCGCGGCTCGCGGGGTGATAGGGCGGGGGCAGCCAAGGCTCTGTCCAGCAGGTACTATCGCGCCGAGACCACTATCCCCCATCAGGCCCATCAACCATCAACAACGCCTTCTTTCTTGCTCTTGTCCACTCTTTCATTCGCACTCGCACTCGCATTCGTTTCACTCTTCTCTTCTCCATCGTCCTAGAACACTCACTTCGCATTCGTCACGCCCTCGAGGCTACCAACACCGCCCAACCCCCGTCGGCTCGGCGCGGCGTCATCACGTTCCCACTTCCTACTTCTACGAACCTCGTTCAGCCAGCTCCCCACTCTCCCTGTTTGCACCCTCCTCTTCGCGACCGCAGATCTACGCGCCGTGCTGGATCTCGCGTCGAGTCCCGTTCCCACGTCGACGAGCAGACAAAGGCGCCTCTGGCACAGCGCGCGTTGTTCCCGTCCCGTCTCCCAGGTTCCGTTCCAAAAGAGCAATCGGAAACGCGATCCTAATTAAACCCAGATACGGCGAGCAGCGTAACGCAGGATGGGGTTTGATTCGCTCAGTCCAAGCTCATTGCTTGGGCGAGATCGACACCGTCGTCACTCACACTGGGGAACGTCATTGCGTCACCCTTCCTCAGCCTCATCACCCAAAAACCAGAAACGACGTCAACGAGCTCTTTCTTACTCGACTCTCAACAACTCTCACTACTCTTCCGCATACGCCCTCTCCGCCCTCTCCCCATCAGCCTCCCCCTCACATCTCTCTCCTTCATCAGTCTTTCTCACCTCAAACATCTACACCATGGACCCCGCCGACTTCCATCACACCGTCCCCGCACCCAAAATCACTCCCGTCAATGACGCAACCGACTCGCTCGCTAGGTCTCCCACCAGATCCACATTCTCAGGCCAGCACGTCGCCTCCCCAGCCTCATTCGGTGAGCCTGCAGCCGACCCCACCCTCTCCCCGGGCAACCTTCGTTCCCCACGCAAGTCGGTGAGCAGCACCCGCTCCCCGCCGCCCCCTGAGTCTCTGGACCGCCCCCTTCCCAAAGTACCCTCCAACGACGCCTTCGAGTCGGCCAGCGACAGCGACAGAAGCGACAGGCTCAAGGGTCTCGGCCTCGGCGCTTCCTTGGGTGGCCACAAGGAGGGCGCGGGCACCAGCACTGCTGCTGGTATGGGCGCAGGAGATGTCGACACCTCCAACCCCTTCCATGTCGATCTCGTCATTCCGTTTGACATCTCCCTCCGTGGTGCCGAGCGCCGTGACGCCCTCTACGACACGCAGGGCGGCTACTCACGTCTCATTGCGGCCCTCGAGAGTGTTCCGGGGCTCCGCATCGCCGCCCGCCCAGGCCGGGGTGGCAAGGACGCCGAGGACCTCTGGGTCTTCGTCGGCGCCAGTGACGCCAAGGTTGCCGAGCTGGCCGAGACCGAGCGGTGAGTTACAAGCAAAGTCGCACCAGCTGACCGCAGCGTCATCGACAAGGCGTATGGCATGATCGTCCCCAACAGAGTCGGCCCTGTTTCGCCTGCCACCCGATTTCGTCTTCTGTATGACCTTCTTACCGCTCCTGGTGTCCAGGACGGTCTTGGCATTACGCCTGGAGAGGGCGAGTGGAGCCGTGTCAAGTCGATCATGGCCCTCCACGACGAGGCTGCCGACAACAAGTGGGTCGAGCGCTGGGCTGTCGGCGGCGACTGGCAGATTGGTCTCCTCAGAGGCCTGGACGAGAAGGACGAGGACCTTCTCAGTCGCAACGTGAGTCCTAGAAATCGATCTCTGCTGATGGCAGCAACCCCCGCCTGTCAGACTGTACTTCAACTACCTCACGACCTACACCATGTCGCTCATGCCTCTCTGTGTCATTTCCGTCGGGTTCTGGCTGTTCACTCCTGCCGATAGCTTCCCTCCCTTGTACGCATTCGCCCTTGCCATCTACTCGACCGTCTTCATTGCCGCTTGGCGCGTTCGCGAGAAGAAGCTCGCCGTGCGCTGGGGTACTCGTGGCTGTGAGACGCGCCGCGTCGGTCGCATGCGCCCCCAGTACGTCATCAACCAGCAGATCCAGACCCTCGACCAGCCCCACCACAAGGCCGACCTCGTCCGCGACGGCAAGATGGTGGCGTCTATCCCTGTGGTGATCTCCTGCGGTATCCTCCTCGGCATTGTCCTCATGTGCATCTTCATGCTTGAGGCCTTCATCTCCCAGCTCTGGCATGGCCCCGGCAAGGCCATCATTGGCTTCGTCCCGATGGTCCTGTTCTCTGGTGTGGTGCCACAGGTGATGGCTGCGTTTTCCCAGATCAGCGCCAAGCTCGTTCACTGGGAGGACCACCGGACCTGGACCAGTGCCACCAGGTCGCTCACGGCAAAGACCTTTGCCATGAACGCCATTGTCGCTTATCTCGGCCTTTACCTTTCTTCGTGAGTCACTAGACCTCGACATGCGCTGACCACAGCTACGTCTATCTGCCCTTTGGTCCCTATATTATGGCCCATATCCAGAAGCTCCTGTTCCGCTACCAGGGCCCCGCCGATGCCCAGTTTGCCGCGGCAGAGAAGCCGGGAGCCATTCGCGCCAAGGTCAACTCTGGTCGTCTTAGGGCCCAGGTCTTTGCTTGTAAGCTGAAGATGCGTGGGTGCGCAAGCTGACCCCAGACACCGTCACCAACCAGGTCATCAACACTTTCCTTGAGATTGGTCTTCCCTTCATTCTCCGCCACGTCAACGATGTTCGCAGCGGGAAGGCTGGCGTTCTGGACATCTTCAAGGGCGGCAAGAAGGAGAATGAGAAGGCCGCCGACCGTGGACAGGACGTCGAGAAGCGCTTCCTCGACAAGGTTGAGGCAGAGCTTGCCCTCCCCGAGTACAACATCTTCGTCGACTATGCCGAGATGGTCACCCAGTTCGGCTACGTTGTGATCTGGAGCATTGTGTGGCCGATCGCCCCTCTTTTCGCCCTTGTCAACAACTACTTTGAGCTCCGCAGTGACGCCCTCAAGATCAGCAAGCACGTGCGCCGCCCCCTCGGTGACCGTGTGGAGACCATTGGCACATGGATCGATGCGCTCAGCATCATCGCGTGGATGGGCGCGTGGACGAGCACGACGCTCATTGAGCTGTTCCGTCCTCGCCGCTCGCTCCTCGGCGTCCGCAAGACGGTTGCCAACTTCCTGGCATCGCACGACGTCGCCCCGACCTTCTCGCAGATTGTGCCCACGCTCATCCCCGTCGCGTTCTACGCCCTCGCCGCCTCGCACGGCTATTTTATCCTCCGCGCAGTCGTCAACGGCGTCGCGGAGCGCGTGTTCTGGCGCGGCTCGCCCGAGGAGCTCGCCGAGGAGCAGGCGCGCGCTAACATGTCCAAGTCGGGGGTCGAGGATGTCATCGACGCGCACGAGGACTCGCAGCAGAAGAGGAACTACACGTTCCCGCAGGAGGACGCCGCGTTCTGGGACGGCGGCAAGGTTGGCGTGCAGGAGATTGTGCGCGTTCTCAAGACCGAGTAAGCCGAAGCAGGCTACGACCTTTCAGACGAAAATTCAAGTACTTTGCACGTTTTATAAGGCCCTGGGCCGATGCAACCATACACGGTTTGATCTATTGTGTGGAATGGAGATCCCCGCCGCGCGAGTTGAGCGGTGTGGCATGGCCTGCCTGTACTTCGGGACGAGCCGTTGCCACATTGATGTGCTGCTGGCACGAGTTGGCAGCTGATCGGGATATTAGGTCAGACGCGAGATTCGAACCGCGAACCATTGCTGGTCCTCACCACCCCAATCCACTCGATCCACTGTCAGACAACACCTTGTTCTCAACGACCCCCCGATCCGCCGAGGATGCCACAGAATCCTGTTCATCTCCCCACACAGATATCTGTTATGCGCTCGACAACGCACTTGACGTGGTGCTCAACGCCGACCTTGACGTTGGCAAGTCCTCACTATATACTGACACAGCTCCCCTTAGAGCCCCACCACTCCCGCCCCACCACCTCACCAAGGCCACACAAGCCACACAAGCCTCCTCCATCCTCCAACCTCTTCGCAAGTGCCACAACGGCCTCGACCGAGCCACCGTTTCCGACCCTCGCCGCGCCTCTCAACACACCCCTGCAGCTGTACACTGCCCACGTAGCCGCCACTACGGCCGCGCTCCAAGTACATGGCCTGTGCCGCCCAATCCAACCTCGTAAGGAATCCCCCGTCCGCCCCTCCGCTCCCTCACCCTTCTGACATCAGCCATCGGCCGACCTCGCCCTCAAACTTGCCGACGATGCGCGCGCGTCCCTCGTGGCCGCCGACGCCGAGGTGACTGCCCTGTTGGCAGAGGACGTGTGGAACTCCATCCCTTCTGGGCCTACATCCCTCTGCCCTCCTCGCGTGCGAGCCTCCCCCATCACTCCCCACAGCATTCAGCCTCTCGCCCTTGGCGTTCATCACATCTTCACCTTTGTCAGTCATCCGCCCCTTCCCGCTAACCTCAGACTCAGGCAGAGCTGGACTGCGCCCATGTCTTCGTGCTCTGTGCACGCGGCGGCCAGGCCTGGATCCAAGAAGAGGAGGCTCTCCACGCCAAGTCGACGTGCTCACGCCAGCCTGCTTGAGTGGTAGCACTACTGATGGATCCATTGCCCGTGTGCCGCGCTTTTGATATCGTCTTGTCCCTATCGAAGGGTGATATCAACTACGCGTTCCTCGTCGCGGACGTCGTCCTCACGCCCTCCATGTTGCAGCGCATCCTGCAGCTCCTCACGTCCTCACAGGGGGCAGCGATTCGAGAAGTGCATGAGATATGCAGAGATGTTAACCTGATCCTCGCATGCACTGCGCGAAGAGGCACGTTATTGTTATTATTATGCATGACAAGTATGAGATATACCCATGTGCCGCCATGGATCATCCTCGAAAACCACACGTGGGAGATCTCCACTCCACCATCTCCGATCTCTGAACACCCTCGGCACCCTCTGCATCCTCCATCGAACACTCATCTCGTCATCGACCAATACTGCCTTCAGATCTCTCCCGGCGCGCCCGGCTGCACCAACTGCACCTGCAGCACCCGCACAACATGGTGAAAATGCTCATGTAACCAGTCTTTCCCGACACGACACTAATGGCAGGCAGAACACTCACAGACGTCGGAGCACTTGTCGATCCGGGTGCTCCGTCCCTTTTGGAACTCACCCTCTGCACCTGCACTGCATCTCCCCCTTGCCACGGTTCTGCTGCTGTTTCCCAAAGCCTGTTCAAAGGAGGTGGGCAACGTCGACCTTTGAACGACGTGGGCAACCGTGCTTACATAACCGGAACCATGCCAGAGCTCGTTCCTTTTCATGGTTTCACATTCAGCTGGTGATGCCAGCGTGTCTCATGCACTGAAGGTCCGGAGCAGCCAAAGAAGCACACTCTGCTGGGGGGACGAGTAATCGGGTCAGTACCCCGCTCCACACCCATACTGTATGCGCTTGCGTTCTACATATCGATCAGCCAGATGAGCTCTAATTAATACATAAAGCGTGCTATCTACAAGGCTAGTGTCTCCCTCCCCCCCCCCCCCCCCCCCCCCCCCGCTAAGACACAGTACCAACCTCATCTTCCTCCCCTCCTCAGAGAGCTGGAAAAAACCCATTGCCAGAAGTGCGTGGGCAAGGGTCAGAGGGGGGGATGCCGGCTGTGACCGCACTAGGGGCTTAGCGTGCACCACCTCGACAGGTGAGCCAACCCCAGATGGCCTGCAGTGCACACTTTCTGCCGTGGAGATGATGTTGTCGGCCACTCCCCTTTCGAAAGAGCGGAAGTGCGGCCTGAATGGCTCCGAAACCTCGATGGTGTGCCGCCCGGCGCGTACCGAGTGCCGCAGAACTATCGCGCGCGCACCATTAGTAAGGATTGCCATGCACGGGATGGGGCTGGGTGGCGATGAAGGTGTGCCCGCCTGGGCCGAGTCGCCAGGCGCTCGTGCAAGCACAGGATATAAGATAGCTTCCAGCGCCATTGCGAGGACACCGAGAAGTTGGGGGTTGCTGCGTTGCGTGACCAGCCCATCCTGCTCCTCAACCACCACACCGAGGTCGGGGACTCTCTCAGTCGTCTGCAAGGGTGTTGTGTCAGCACGCTTGCGCTTGCGCTTAATCCGTGACGTCTTGCCCACAGTCAGAACAGGCCAGGTGTGATAGCCGTCTTCGACAGTCTCGAAAAGAAGGTCGAGCATGTCGTCCACCAGCACAGCTGGGTGCTTGAACTCAGCGGCAACAAGCCACATCATTTCGTTTCGGATGCTTGCGCGAATGGCGGAGCCGGCGTCGGACATGGTGATGAGTTGGAGAGGGGAAAGGAGAAAAGTAGAGAGTGAAGACAGTGGAGAGAATGGATTGAGTAGAAGGAAGGCGAGGATCCTCCTCTATCGATTTCTCCCTCCTCTATCGATCACTCTTGAGCCACCTGTCATGCTGCTGAATGCATTGCCTTGCACGTTACAGTCGTGCAGCTCGCAGGAAAATTCAATAGCAGGCTGGTGTTCAACATGGAGTTTGGCACACGCTCGATGGCCCTTGCATACGGTGGTGGCGGTGATGTACAAAAACTACCACATCTACAGCGTCTGCGCCGCCTCAAATGCGAGCTTGGCCCTAGCCTCCCTCACCCGCAACTCCCCTAGCGTCACACGCCGCGTCGCCGTGACGTCGTACTCTTCACGCGACTCGTCATCGCCATCGTCGTCGGCGTCGGACTCATCCTCCTCATCCACCTGGCGCGGCGCCGCGGCACTATTCGCCGCCACATTCCGCGCGCGATGGCTGCTTGCGCGGGAGAACTCGGGCTCGCATTCCGTGACGATCTTCTTGATCATTTGTTCGACATTCCCCTTGTTCGTAGGACTCAGCGGGTCGAACCGTCCCAGTATGTTGATGGAGGGCGGCTTCGGTTCGGGGTGCGGTGGGCGACGGATCGAATCGTCTGGGGACGTCCATTGGGCCAGGAGGGTCGGCCGGCACAGCTCGTAAACAGGCCCGGAGAGTGGCGGGGCCCGCAACGCCATTTTTCCCGGAAGCGTGCTGATCGCCTAGCGTCAGTGGGTGTGGATGACAATTGATGTACGCGTCCACACGTTGTAGTCTGGGTCGAGGTTGCTCGCCCAGCGCACACCGCGCTCCTTGATCGTCGTTCGGAGGAAAGCCCACTCACCGCAGCGTACGCCTTGCAGATGAAGAGGTCGACGAGGTGCATCCACCTCGCATATGACAGCTGCTTCTTCGGGCGGTCAAAAGAAGCCTTCAAGACCGGGTTGTCAGTCTCCGCATCGAGCGGCGGCCATGGCGTCTTCCTCGAAGCGATCAGCCTGCCGTCAGTGGATGTTGCAAGGAGGCGATCGGACATACCGATCCAGCGCCGAGTCCAGCACAGCGCATGAGAACAGATCCTCCGCGACCAAAGCGTATGAGTCACCCGCCTCCTCCGCCTGGCGCCACTTGTCGGACGCGAGGCGCGCGGCCCACATGGATCGCTGGTAGATGTTGAACGGCTTGTTACAGAGGGGCCACCGTGGCATCGACTCCGGATGGGTGTAATAACGTCGGGGGAAGAGAAAGGGCGAAGATTGGGATGGCAGATGATCGGACACTGCGGAGACGGACGAGGACGGCGAGCTCGAGTTACCGTTGCCCGACGTCGTGGAGACAGCGCCGTCGAAGCCATCAGAGAGGCGGAGTTTTGAACCCATCGTAGGGGCAAACAATAGCGGACGCGGAGTGCAAAAGGGGTGAAGAAAGACGAGGGGGGTGGATGAGGAGGAAGATGACAACAGGGCCGGTGGGTGGCAACTGTTGGCAGGCCCGGCCCATTGGGTGTGTCACGTGGCTGTTCCTCCTCCCCGTTCCGACGTTCCTGTCCCACTCGTGACGCGTCGGACCGACTCCGGACCGGTAGCTCTTCCGCACATCCTCCTCTTCTCTCTCCTCTCATTCTTCAACCTCACCTCTCGTCTTTTGCCCCTCGCCCCTCACCCACGCCTCGCCGTCGCCACCATGACACAAGAACGAGACGCCTTCGCCCTCCCCGCGGCCCAGCTCGAGCTGCCCTTCAGCATCCTCGACACGGACCTGTACAAGCTCACAATGCAGAACGCGGTCCTGCAGCACTTCCCTGACGCCCACGTCGTGGTCAAGTTCACGAACCGCGCACCGCAGATGCGCTTCACCCGCGAATGCTTTGACTGGATCCAGGCGCGCGTGAACCGTGAGTGTGCGGCGGCTGTGCTCGCCAAAAGGTCGGCGCCTCGCTGAGCTCTGCCGCGCCATCCCGACTCCTCACACCAGACCTCGGCACACTGCGCCTCACCGCCGAGGAGCGCCGCCGCCTCGCTGCCGCCTGCCCCTACTTTCCCGAGTCCTACCTCGACTTCCTGGCCAACCTCACGCTCCACCCCGCTGAGCAGGTCAAGCTGAGATTCCACCCACACGACGACGGCACGGGCGAGATCAGCTGCCACATCGAAGGCTTGTGGCGCGAGTGCATCCTCTACGAGGTGCCAATTATGGCCATCATCTCCGAGGGCTACTTCAAGTTTGTCGATGTGGACTGGAGCGCCGAGGGGCAGTTTGGTGGGTCCCCCTTCAACGGATCTGACGGCAGAACTTGCCAAGGCGAAGGCCCTCGCCCTCCTCTCCCCACCAGCGGGTGTCACGCCCCTCGTCTTCTCTGAATTCGGGACGCGCCGGCGCCGCTCGTTCGCCGTGCACGACGAGGTGATGCGCGGCCTCATCGCCGGCGCCGAGGAGCACGCGGCAGCGGGCGGCGGCGGCGCGCTGAGCGGCACGAGCAACGTCTTCCTCGCACTGAAATACGGCGTGCCGCCGAGCGGGACGATCGCGCACGAGTGGATCATGGCGATCGGCGCGACGGGCGGTTACGCGCACGCGAATGCGCGCGCCATGGACATGTGGACCGAGGTGTACCCGCCGTCCCCGGCCGGCCCGCCCCTCATCATGCTCACGGACACGTACACGGCTGCGGTGTTCTTCGCGGACTTTGTCGCAGACCCCGAGCGCGCGGCGCAGTGGAACGCGCTGCGGCAAGACTCGGGTGACCCGTTCGAGTTCGTGCGCGAGGCCAAGGTCGCGTGGGAGGAGGTGCACCGCCTTACGCGAGGACAGGGGGGCGCGCTGGAGGGCAAGCGCGTCGTCTTCTCCGACTCGCTTGATGTGCAGCGCGCGATCGAGCTGCAGCGCGGGTGCGATGAGATCGGGCTCGCGGCGGCGTTTGGGATCGGCACACACTTTACAAACGACTTCCGCAAGGCCTCGGACCCCAGCATGCCGTCCAAGGCGCTCAACATGGTCATCAAGCTCAGCGTGATCGACGGGCGCGACTGCGTCAAGCTGTCCGACGACAGGGGCAAGCACACGGGTGTGCCCGCCGAAGTGGAGCGCGCGCAGCGCGAGCTCGGCTTGATCTGATATAGAGGGCTACAGACGAGACGTGCGGACCAGAATACTGCTGCATGCAATGATGAGGGGTTGCTGTGATGTCTATGCTGGCGTGGCTGTGATCATGATGGGTGCAAGCAAGGGTATGGATGTGTTTATGGATCTGTGCTCTTCTCCGGCGCGTCTCGCCCTCTCCTCTTCCCCTTGCCCGCCTTGCTTGCGCCCTCTGGCGCGAGCACGCCGGCGCGCGCGGCGTCGGCCGCCATGGCCGCCGCGATGCGGTCGTCGCGCGAGATGTCCATCGCGTCCGTGATGCGCTGGCGCACGCGCACACCCAAGCGCCGCCGGCCGCGCGGGAACGGCCGCGCCTCCGCGTCGTCCTGCAACATGCGGCGGGCGAGGAGCGTCGCGTCGCGCGCACGCTCGTCCATGGCCTCGACGGGCGTCTTGTTCAAGTAGTTGAGCGCTTTGCGGAGCACGTTAAGGAGCTTGGGCGTGAGCTCCCAGCTCATTGGGGCGGGCGCAGGGGAGGGCCGCTCGAACGCGGCGGCGGCCGCGGCGGCGCCTGGCGCCGCGCCCGGCGCCCAGCGCTGCGTGAAGTGGGACACGAAAAAGACCGAGCCGGGCACGTCACGGTTGCTGCGTATGGCGTGTGCGACGGTCGCGACGAGGCGTTCGTTGGGCTCGACGGACGCAATGTCCTGCCGCGCGAGGTCGACGGCGCGCGCCGGCTGCCCCGCTTCAAGGTGGGCGCTTACGACGGCGTCGAGCGCCGTCGCGTCCACCCCGCATGGCAATGCCCCGATCGCGGTGTAGATGCGGCGCGCGGCCTGGAGGTTGCCGGCGTGCGCCCAGCCCTGTACGAGTGAGGTGAGCATGACGCGCTCGACCTCGGGCGTCGGCGGCGTGTGCTCGCGCTGCCGCGCGTCCGTTGCGAGCGCGTACGTCTGCTCCGCCTCCGCCATCGCCCCGATGCGCGTGTACGCCTGCAGCAGCGTCAGGTAGTGGGCTGCTTTGGGGCGGAAGCCGCGCAGGATGAACGACTGCCATGTCTTCTGGACCGCTTGGACGGGCCACACGCCGTCCATCGCCAGCGCGTCGTACAGCAGCCGGTTCGACAGCGACTTGCCCGTGCTCCGCTGGCCTGTTTCGTTGAGGATCTCGATCTGCTTCGACAGTAGCTGCCGGAGCGCGCCGCGCGTCTCCACTCCCGCCGTCGGGCTCGCCGTCGAGTCCCCGCCCGTCGTCGCAAGATACCGTTCCAGGTACTTTGGCTGGCGGGAGGCGATGCGCACAACCTCCGTGAGGATGACATTGATCTGGTCGACGGTCGGCTGGTCGCGCGTGCGCTCCAGAATGCCCTGAAGCAGTTTGGTGAGAGCTGTCGGAGAGCTGAGCAGTGACGATTTCGCAAACGTCAGGGCGAGAACGACGGAGCGGTTGTCGGGCTCGATGCCTCCGGCCCGCATGAGCGCGAGGACGTTGAGAAGCGCGTCGTAGTTCTGCGCCGCGCACACGGCCTCGAGCACGGCATTGGCAGTCAGGATTGACGGCACGAACGACGCCGGAAGAGGCCACGGCGAGCGCGCGTGCTTGCCCGACACTCCTGCCTCGAGGATGAGTGCCGCCTCCTGCCCCCGGCCCATGCGCGTCAGCGCGCGGCACAAGTGCGCGACGGTGTTGTCCGTGACGGCCCACGGACGGGAATCGAAGTACGCCCACGCCTGCTTGACGCCGTCGATGTCTCTCCTGCGCGACGCGACGGAGAGCGCGATCAGGGCTGTGTCGTCCAACGCCCCCCGCTGCTCTTCCAGTTGGCCGGCACGATCCAGGTCAAAAATCTCCGTGATCAGGCTCTCGGCAGTGGCAAGGTCGCCCGAGTCGAGACACAACAGCCCGAGGGCGTTGGCGAGCTTGACCCGCGGCGCGAGGCCGAGGCGGTTCAAGTCCTGCCGCACCCGCTCTGCGAGTTGCGGATCAAAGCCGAGCATACGGTGCCCGCGCAACAGAGCGAGCTGGACACTGTCGGCGTCAACGCCGGCCGCGTTGGCGGCTCGCACAGCACGCTTGGCGGCCGCGACGTCGCCCAGCTGTAGATGCGCCTTGATCAGCCCGCACAGTGCCTCCTCGTTCGCCTCGCCGGGAGCCAGCAGGCTGAACAGCTGCACTGCGCGCCAAGGCTGTTGGAGGACCAAGTTGGCCGTCATGAGGATCGCAACGACCCGCGGCGTGTACAGCGACACCGGGAGGCCGCCGACCTGGGGCATGTACTTGTCCGTCGGGTGGTTGGCGTCGGGGCCGGGGAAGAGGTCGGCGGCGAGCTGCCATTCTCCCGCGGCCGCGAGGTCCATCGCCAGCCATTCCGAGTTGAGCAGCTCGCGCCCTGTGCGGATGTACTCGCTCGTGCGCTCGGCAAAGAGCTCGGCGATGAACTCCTGCGCGCCGAACATGATGGCGATCTGGAAGAGGCCGCGCAGCGTCCGCCCCCTGAGGTTGTACCCCATGAACTGGGCCTCGGGGCGCGTGTGCGCGTGGGCGTGCGCGCGGCTCGGCTCGGCGAAGAGGAGCGCGCGGACGATGCGCAGCGCATCGTTCGCCTTGTTCGGATCGAGCGACGCGCGCAGCTGCGGCGACGGGGGCACCTGGTTGACGAGGTTGTAGATCATGACACGCAGGTCTTTGGTCGTGATGGTGAAAAGGTCGTGCTGCGTCCATTCGCGCAGCCAGAGCATTGCGCCAAGGGGGTCGTACGCTACGCGCCGCCGGAAGCGCTCGACGGGCCGCAGCTCGTTGCCGTCGTACGGCGGCGGCGGACTCCCGGCGTAGGCTTCCGCCGGCCGTGCCACGCCGGGGTCGGTCCGCCGTCGGGCTCTTTCGGGAGAGACGGCTGTGGATTGTGGCGCCGACGCCCCACCTCGTGCTGGTGCTGATGCTGGTTCGGGTTCTGGGTCAAATGCTGATGCTAGTTCTGATGCTTGTTCTGGTTCGAGTTCGGGTTCTGGCTCCAGCTCGGGTGCGGGCGCTTGCGCCGGGGTCGCGGGCGAGCGGCGCTGAGCGATGCCAAAACTCCGACGCGGAGCGTCCGGGTCGTCGTGCGGGCGGGCAAACGCCGTGGCGGCGGAGCGGACCGCGCTGGACGAGAGGGAACGCGTCCGCGGCGGGGGGCGGCGCGGGAGCGCAGCACGCCGCTCGGCCTGCTTGCTTGACTCGGCGAACGCGGCCCCGGCCAGGCGGGGCAGCGCGCCCCGGGTTAAGAGCATGCCTGAAACTTGGCTGCGGTGAGCTCTGGGTGCGCCGGCCGAAGGGGCAGGCAACTCACTCGCTGAGCGCCGACGCGTGCTGTCGGGGCCGAGTCGCAAGTCCGATCCGGGGCGGAGAGTAGTGAGGGCGGGTGCGGGTGGGTGAAGAGTCGAGCGATCAAGTGAGCGCCGAGGACAGGCCCAAAGTAAAAGTGTACGTCAAATGGCAAGGCGGACAAAGGCCCACCACGTGGCGAGCGCAAAAGTCCGGGATGAGTATCAGGTGGAGTGCAGCGGATTCGAACGCGGACATAAGTAAGATAAGGGCGCGGAGGCAATGCAGAGTCGCCGCAAACATACCTCGGGTCACAACTACTTCGTCAACACCGCAATCACCACTGCCGACAGCGAGGCGACAGCGGGCAGCCATGGCGTCCAAGTCGCCCTCTGCTACCCTTATTCAGGTGCCTGCGCGCTTCTCGATCGTCGAGCAGGGCGTGTACCGCTGCGCGTCGCCCACCGGTCCACAGGTATGGTGGCGAGAGAGGGGGGCAAGAGGTGAGCTCACCCCAGGTCCCGTTCTTGCAGAGCCTCGGATTGCGGACAATACTGAGCCTCACGCCCGAACACCCCACACGCCAGCTGGTGCAGTATGCGCGCGCTGCCGGCGTTGATTTCGTGCGTCTCCCCGAGATTCTCTGACTCCAGGTGCATTTGGGCAACACGCTGTTCCAGCCGCAGACGGACTGGCGGCCGATGACGGACGAGATGGTCAAGATTGCGCTCGAGCTCATCCTCGACGTGCGCTCGCACCCCGTGCTCGTGGTCGACCCGTGCGTCCCCGCGGTCCCGAGGTACGAGCTGACGCCAGGTTGGGGATCCACCAGACGGGTGTAGTGTTTGGATGCCTGCGCATGATGCAGGGGTGGAACTTTGCGAGCGCATTGTCAGAGGTAAGCTGGGAGAGGCGTGGAGCTGATGGCAGTATCGCGCGCATTCGGGTCCTAACAAGCACCGGTATAGCGACGAGACGTATATCGAATTCTTTGATCCCGACCTCGTGAACCTGCCGCCCAACCACTGCCTGCCGGCGTGGTGGAGTGAGGAGGAGGATGTAGACGACTGGGTCGAGGTCGACCCACCGCCCAAGGAGAAGAAGAAGAAGAAGGACAAGGATGGCAAGGAGGGCAAGGAGGGCAAGGAGGGCAAGGAGGGCAAGGATGGCAAGGAGGGCAAGGAGGGCAAGGAGGGCAAGGAGAAGGGAGAGGGGGATGAGAAGGGGGAGAACGGAAGCAGGGAGGAGGAGAGTGAGGGAGCTCGCAACGGAGCACTGGAGGTCGCTGGCGCCAACGGCACAGATCCACACACCAGCGACGGCGGGGTGGGGTAGCATCGTCGCACCGCTTGGTGTTGTTGGCTTATTGTACGATCATGCATATCAGGGTACAAGATTTCTCGAGTGAATCGAATGCTGCGATGCCGCAGATGAAGAGAACAGTAAGTGTGGCGACCACGCCGCCCGCCACCCAGCTCAAGTATGAATGCATTACTACTGATGGCATACACTAATCTAGTATACAGTCTATCCCTTGAACTTGAGCGGGTCGACCTTACGGCCCTTTCCGCCGCGTCCTCCACGCCCTCCCCGTCCGGCGCGTCCTCCGCGCCCGCGCTTCGCGAACGGGATGTGGCGCCCGTCGCCGACGTCGCCGCCCGTCGGCAGCGCGGCGATCTTGGGCATAAGATACCCCGGCACATGCTTGAGGTGCCGGCTCGTGCGGCCGGCATGCAGCGGTGCGTCGTGGCGCAGGAAGGCGAGGTCGAGCGGGTTGGCGGCGAAGTGCTGCTTGAGCTTTTCGGAGTTGAGGAGCTCGCGGCGGACCTCTTCGCGCCGCGCATCCTGCACCCGCTTCGAGGTGACGGCGCGCAGCGCGTCCTCCATGCGGTACCGGAACCCTTCGATCTCGCCGCGCCGGCCTCCCCAGTCCCATTCTTTGATCTCGGCGCCCGACTCGGTCTTGACCCGCGCCTTGATCTTGCCGAATACCTCGTCGTCCAGCTTGGCCGTTTTGAGGGACACGCCCTTGTCCTTGCCCCACTTGTCCTTGGGCACGACGAAGGAAAGCGCGAGACCCGAGTGGCCGGCACGCGCGGTGCGGCCAACACGGTGGAGGTAGGCGGTGGCGGTGGTGGGGAGATCAAAGTTGATGACGGACGACGCCGCGGTAAAGTCGATACCGCGGGCCATCGAGTTACCGGGCCCACGCTTCTTCTTGCGCTGCGCGCCTGCTGGTGGGGAAGTGGCACGGCGTTTTGATGGCCCGGCCTCGGCGTTGGTGCTGACAGCCTCCTTCTCTTCTTCGTCTGTCTCTTCGTCCTCCTCCTCCTTGTCATCCTCAGCATCTTCTTCGGCCTCCTCCTCCTCGGCGGCCTCCTCCTCAGCGGTCTCTTCCTCAGCGGTCTCCTCCACGTCGTCGGGAGTTGCCTCATCCGTGGCAATAACCACGTCGTACACGCCACGGTTAAACTCCTCCACGACATGATACCTCGATGCGAGCGGCAATTCAGAGTTGACGACGCAGCACTTGATGCCAAAGTGCTCAAGGAAGAGGCGCAGCCGATACCCGCGCTCGATGTCGTTGACAAAGATGATCGACTTGCCCTTGATAAGCTTAAGCTTAAGCAAGACGAAGATGAGGAGGAACTTGTCGCGTTCGGAAGTGTACGTAAAGTGCTGGGTGAGGAGGGAGGAGGACGTGGCAGGCTCGGAGAGGGTGAGGATGGCGGGGTTGCGGAGCACGAGCCCCTTGATGCTGCTGACGTCGTCGCTGAGGGTCGCGCTCATGAGGCACGCCTGCAGGCCGAGACGGGGGACAAAGTTCATGGCGGGGTCGAGGATGCGGGTGAGGTCGTCTTTGTGGCCGTACGAGAGGAGGAGGTCGGCCTCGTCGATGGCGAGGAACAGGAGGTGCGAGAGGTCCACGCTCTTGGCTTGGAGGAGCGCCAAGAGCTTGGAGGGCGTGGCGACGACGACGTCGGGGTTGTCGTTGAGGAGCACGCTGGTGTCAGCGTCGTTGTTCTGGCGCGGAAACAAGGGAGGATCAGAAGGAAGGCAACGGAAGTATCCACACGGTTTTGCGCTCTCGGACACTTGCCCGTAGGCATTTACATCCGAAAAATGCTTCATCATAGGAGAAGATGGGGGACTCACCGCTGGACGTTGGCGCTGCCGGCCGCGTTGACGACGGACACGAGGCCCTCGGCATACACTGTGAGGGCTTTGACGAAGGCCGCGACCTGCATGGCGAGCTCGCGCGTCGGGACGAGGACGAGTGCGCGCGTCGCCTGGTACGTGGGGGAGGTGGGGTCCTGTGCCGCCTTGGCCTCTAGAACGCGCTGGACCGCGGGGACGACGTACGCCGCCGTCTTGCCGCTGCCGGTGCGGGCGCGGGCGAGGACATCCTTGCCTTCGAGAAGAAGGGGGATGGCCTTGGCCTGCACGAGGGTCGGGTGGGCGAACTTTAGGTCTGCGAGGGCTCGCAGGAGCCGCGCATCCAGCAATGTGCTGAATGGCGGAGAGGAGAATGTGAGCTCCGAGTCGAGGAGAGCTTGTTGTGGCGCCATGGTGAAGGCGGCGGAGAGAGATGTTGACGGGCTCGAGGAGAGAGATCAAACTTGCAACTTCAGAAATCGGTGCGAGACCAGGCACGTGATAGGAAATGCCAGGTGGAAGTGGCGGGGCGGGTACAATTAGAGTGGGGCAGCGTGTATATTGACTTGAAGAAATTGCATGGAGGTTACAAAGAATGGTGACGCAACGGTGATGGCCGTCTGCTTTGGTATGCATCTATCCCACAGCCCGCACGCCCTCCTCCTTCTCCTCCCTCTCCTCCGTCTGCGGCGCCAGCGGCGCCTGCGACACCTCCCCGACCCGCCCCTCAGCCTCCAACGCCTCTCTGGGCACGCGCGACACAGGCGCCTCGCCGGCCCACCCGCGCCAGTCCCCGTCCCACTCCTCCCCGGCCCAGCGGGGGAGGGGCGTGGCCCACGTGCCGAGGCGTTCGGTAGTATACCGCAGTGCATGGAGGTAGATGAAGAGCGTGGTCGGGTCCGGATCGTCGGGGACGGGGACGAAGCACTCGTCGCAGAAGCCCGGGGGCACGTGCGCCGGGCGCGGCATGGTGCGTATCGCGTCCTCGGGGATGCTGGGGCGGTCGGCCGCCTTTTGTGCGCGCGTGCCCTGGTTTACGCGCGGATGGGGGATTTTGCGGCGCGGCTTGCCTGCTGCCGCCGGCGTCGAGGCGCCGGATGCGGAAGCAGAGGCAGACGCCGAAGCGGAGGCAGAAGCAGAGTCTTCCAGCGCAGCTTGCGCCGCCTTGGTGGCGTAGATCACCTCGTTCCACTTGACCCAGTCTTCTGCTTCGTCGCGCTGGCGGCGCAGCGTGGCGATGACGTTGCGCGCCTGCGTGCTGAGCCGGATGGGCGAGGTGAGGTCGACGTTGTCCGTGACGCGCGTGGTGCCGACCGCGTGTGCGGGGCCGGCCTCTTTGCCCGCGAGGCGGTCTGCGTCGCTTGGCACAGGCGGCGGCGCAGGGGTGGGGAGCACAGCCTTGCCGCCGCTCATTTTGGCGGCGTGCACGCGCTCCGCGAGGGCGGCGAGGTGCGTGTTCTGCTCGCCTTGCTCGACGAGGTCGACGCCGCCCTTGCCGCATTCTGGGCCGAACGCGGCTTCGCTCGCGTAGATCGGGTCGTTCGCGATCGGGTGGCCCAGGTATTGGAGGTGCACGCGGATCTGGTGCGTGCGCCCCGTGAGCGGGCGGCAGTGGACGACGCTTTGGTCGCGCGCAGCGTCGTAGCTCATCCGCTTGAATACCGTCTGCGACTCTTTGCCTTCGGGCGCGATGATGACGAGCCCCATCTGCCGGTCGACGGTGAGCAGGGGCTGGTCGACAGTGATCTCCTCTTCGGGGAAACAGCCGCGTACGCGCGCAACGTACTCCTTGCCGACTTTGCCGTCGTAGAACTCGGCCGCGAGGAGGCGCGACGCCGGCGCCGAGAGCGCCAAGATCATCAGCCCGGAGGTGAGCCGGTCCAGCCGGTTCACCGCGTACCCCTTGATCCCGTGCTCAGCCATGAGGATCTCAAGCATCGTGTGCTTGAAGTAGCGCCCGGCCGCGTGTACCGGCATGCTCCCCGGTTTGGAGATGACGCAGAACTCGCGCTCCCGGTCAATGTGGAGGAGCGCAACCGGGTCGTTGGTCACGGGCGGCTCGTGGCGGTGCACAGTGTTGCTGTCGTCAGCGCAGACGCAAGAACAAACTCACTCCAAGCGGTCACCGTCGCGCAAAATGTACTCCGGGTACGCTTCGACGCCGTTGACGCGTGTCACACCGCTCTCGAGCGCGTGCCGGTAGTACTCCACAGAGCGGTCGCGGAACTCGGTCGCAATCACCTCGAGTAGCTGGCGCCCGATCCAGCGCTGTTTCACAAAGGTGCGGTACGGCCACCAGTACGGCTTACAGTACCGCAGCATGGGGTGCATACCATTCGGGTAGCGCATTTCGGCGTCGGCGTCGGCAGGCTCAGCTGTTGGGGTGGATGAGTCGGTAGGAGGTGCAGGAGGAGGCTTGGCGTCACTCTCGGTGGCGGGGGCCGGGACGCTGCTGGTAACCAAACTTGTAGTAGTCGTCGTCGGATGCGTCACTGGCGTATCCGTAGATGACGGAGGTGTCTCCGTGGACATTGTATGTTGATCGAGGTCGAGGATCGAGGGAGGAGTGTTGTGAAATTGGTAGCTGGTAGGTGCTTAGAATCGCAACATTTCGTCTTCTCGACTTTTACGTGCCTGACGACATACTGCTCAACCTCCACACTAGCATTATCTCCTCGATCGCCACTACGTTGAGGCCCGTCGAAATCAATTTCGCACACATGCATGGTCCCCGCCGTATATGCTGGCAGAGAGACTGGCAAAAGAGAGAGTTCTACTGAAGACTACTACTACTGCTTCAAATGTTCATTCGCGTTCTCGCGTGTGTTATGGCGGCGCGGAGGGTCGTGGGGTGGTAAAAGGTGTTGGAGAGAGGGCAGAGTCGATGAGATTTTGGCGACCATGGGATGATGGAATGGGCGCATGGGCGACGAAGACATGACGAGGAAACAGAAAAAGTGCAACCAGACTGTGTGCCGCAACGTTACAAAAAAAGTGTCCGGCCTTGAAAGGCCAATGGGAGCCGAATACAGATAGCTCAAACGCGACCAAAATATTGTCGTCGCGGGGCTTGGAGACAATGGCGGGGTATAAGCGATCGTGTAGTGATGATAATGGTGGGCGCCGTGGGGATCTCTAGTGAGCGGCCACAGAGTGAACAGGCTGCTGCTGCACCAGCGTGGGAACGACATCTCCCTGAAGAGGCGGCTTGCCGCTAGCATCCGACACGGCGGATTCGTAGCCGCCCTCCGAGACAGAGTCCTCACGCATAGCGTGAGGGCGCACATCAAAAAGCGACGGCGACGAGTTGGTTGCCATGCTCGTTGTCGGAGTGACGACGACTGAGGAAGGGTCGGACAGCGACGCCTGGCGGTGGTGATCACCGTCCTCGGCGTCAGAGTGCGGCTCCGGGCCACGGGCCAAAGACGACTGGCGAGGCGGAACGATGACTGGGGGAGGAATGGCGGCCATCCGTGCAGCTGGCTTGCTCGGAGGGGTGGGCATCGGAACAGCTGTGTCCTTAGCTGGAGGCTTAGGAGGCATCGAGTTCAGGTTCTGCTGGGGTGCAACGACGGACACAGCAGGAGCAGGCGCGACAGTCTTGTGGACCGGTGCCGGGGGTGGGCCAGAAACGGAACGCTGCTGGTTCTGCGGCCCGCCGTTAACCATCGACACCGGGCGCTGCTTCGGAGGAGTAACCGGCTGATCGAGCTGGGCCATGGAGAAACGCTTCTTGATGTTGGTGAACAGGCCACTCTTCTTAGGCTTGGGCGCGGTCGACGTGGCCGAGCCAGAATCCGTGGTCGCCTTCGTCGGGGTAAGAGACGAAGAGGTGGCTGACTGGGCACTCGACGGGGTCATGCTCACGGCAGAGGGCGTGCGGGTGCGAGAGGCAGCCACCGACGCGCTGGCGCTAGAGGGAGCAATCGAGCTGGCAGCGTACGAGTGCGTAGACGGAACCGATGGCTGAGGCGAAGAGGGCCCAATGTGGCGAGGAGGAGCCGCGTAGAGGTGCGAAGACTGGGGCGAAGGAGTAGGGCGAGGCATAGGCATGGACATATGCCCACTCTCTGGCGCTGGCGCCCTGGAAGTCTGCTGGAGCGAAGGAGTGCGGGCTGCCGCCTGGCGCGGGGGCGAGGGAGGACCCTGTTGGTTGTGCACGTGTGAAGCGACCACAGCGGCGCCCGCAATACCGGCAGTCGTGGCAGCTGCAGTTGCAGTGACTGGTGCGGCGGCGACGGGGGCAGAGCCAGTCTGCACAAACCTGTTGCTGCTGCCGCGGGGCGGGACGACGATAGCGGGAGGGGGGCCATAGCCGATGGGCGATCCGTTGGGAATGGAACCGTTGAGCGTCGCTCCATTGGGAACGGGAACGGGAACGGGTGCAGCAGCACCGTTGGGAAGGCCATGCGGGACGGGTGCCGCCGCGCCGTTAGGAAGGCCATGTGGGACGGGGAAAGTCTGGACTGGGCCGGCTACAGGCGCCGATGGAGCAGGCGCTTGCGGTTGGACAGAAGCGCGGACCTGCGGCGGAGCCTGCGACGGAGGAGGAGGAGGAGGAGGAGGAGGAGGAGGGCGAGACTGCAGCGGGGGTGCCTGCAGCGCCTGTGTGGGCTTCTGGGAAGCAGGCGATGGAGGAATGGACTGCGCAGCTGGGGAGGGCGCACCAGACGTGCTGGCGGAACGGCTGGACATGCCAAACATCTTGGACTGTCTCTTGGACGCCTTCTCCGCCTTGGCTCTAGCCTTCTCCTCGGCCTTGAGACGAGCTGCTTCTTTGGCCTTGTCTTCCTTCAAGCGGGCGGCCTCTTTGAGGGCGGCCGTCTTCTGGCGAGCTGCCTCCTGTACACGTCGCTCAGCTTCGCGTTTGGCCTCGAGCTTGGCGGCCTTTGCCTTTGCCTTCTCTTCGGCCTTGAGCTCCTTCTTTGTCTTGGACTTGTTGAGAGCGGCTCCGCCAACGATGGCGGCACCGGCAGCACCGGCAGCACCGGCAGCACCGGCAGCCTGAGAGGAAGGACCATTGGACATGAACGTGGGGTTGGGGTTCTGAGGCATATTGCGGGCGGCGGCGGCGGCGGCGCCGTGTGAAGGGAACTCTCGAGACGAGTTTTCTTCAACGGGAGTCATCGGGGGGTGCATGTTGGCTACCTCTGCGGCCGTGGTGTGCTGGCTGAGAGGACTCTTCATGGTAGGTTGCGACAGCTGGGATGCAGCCAAAGTAGGCACGGTGCCGTCGAGTGCCTCATCCTGAGAGTAGGTAGACAGATTGGACGACGTGGTTGCAGTGGACAGGCGCCCCGGTAAAGGAAGCGACAAGTCGTCATCGTGTCGCATCATGACCGGAGTGGGAGGGCCGCGCGACTGGCGATACGAGTTGGGAGGAGGCGAGCCGTAGAAGGATCCTCGGTCACTCCCGCCAGAGCTGGTGGGCGAGAATGTATTGTTCTGGCTCAACTGAGCTGCAACAGCATAGCCTCCATCACGAGGGGCGAGCGTGCTGAGAAGATCGAAGCCATAAGGCCCGAGCATCATTGACTGCGGACGAGAGGAAAGCGACGCCTGAGACTTGTTCATGTTGATCGACAAGTCTGTGGACGACGAGTGTGCAGAGGACAGGGCGTCCTTGGGCTGCATGGGTGCCAAGCTGCTGTCGATCGTCGACGCCCTAGAAGCACTCTTGCGCAATGTCCCACGTTTCCTCATGCCAGCGACGTTTGTCAACGACTTTGTCTTTGGGGGAGGGAGGTAGTCTGGCATGTCCATTGGTGCGGTGGGCCAGAGCGCTTCTGGGAGAGGAACGGGGTCCCAACGGTTTGACATGCGGTTTACAGTGTCGAGGGGTCGCTCTTGGGAAGGACGAGTGGGGTTGCTCATGTCGGGAGTGGAGTCTTCGAGAGACCACAGTTCCTCGCTGTTCATACCTTCGTAGCTGGCCATGGAAGAACGATTAGAGGCGGATCCAGGGTTGGTGCCAGCACGACGCCTGCCAAAGGCGCCGGGCGGTGGACGGGGAGGACGAGTCTGAGCGTCATCACGCATCAAGCGTTGAGCGACGCCTGCACGTGTCATTTGAAGGTTTGGGGGAGGTTGACGGCGAGGTTGCTGAGGATGCGAATGAGGATGAGGAAAAGGAGGATGAGGAGGGGATTGGTGGTGGTGAGTGTTAGGGCCGTACCAAGCGTTCGGTGGCGAGGAAGGAGGAGGAGGAGGAGGAGGAGGTTGAGAGTCGGTGTTGAACGAGTTTGAGTTGACCGAGCGTCGATGGTTATTCACAGAAGGACGACGTTTCCAAGCTGGTGGGGGAGAATCGGGGTCGCCAGAGAGTTGTCTGTCGAGGCGTGTTGGGGAGGTTGGTGAGGAGATTGAGGGGGAACGTGTGCGTGCGAGAGCTAGTTCCAAGGGGGAGGGCTCGTGACGTTGGTCGATGGGAGAGGGGGGAGCTTGTTGCTGGAGAGGTGTAAGCGACAGTAAAGTAGAAAGAAAAAGAGCGTGAGGAGGGGATGGGATGGTTGCGATGGAGATGAATTGAGCGCAGTGCAATGCAATGACTGCAGCCGAGGTCGCGCGGTGGTCGCAGGCAAAGGATTGCGAGGGCGCGCAGGCAACGAGTGAGGGCAGGGATGAGGGCGGGAGGAAGTGTGTCGCAATCGACAGGGGGGGGGAGGGGGGAATAAAGGGGGGGGGAAGATGAGGAGAGCAAGCAGAGGCAAAAGGGCGACGGATGCTAAGGCCCCTCTAAAGGCTTGGCTTTCAAAAGATGGGACACACGCAGGCCCTCTTCAACGGCCACCTCCAACCATCTTCATTAACGAGCAACACCAGAACGCGGCCACTTGTACGCCTGGGTTGAGAGAGAGGTAGAGGTAGATAGATCACACGCACAGATCAATGAGTCAGAGGATGAAAATTGAGAGGGATATGAAATGAAATGTGAACATGACTTTGAGACGACGAGGCTTAACCCCTGGTACCATATTCAATTTCCTCTCCTCCCCTTCACATTTCGGGCAAAAAGTCCCCCCCCCCCCAAGGTGCACAGTGACAGGCACTAGTCGTCGCCCAGCATGCATGACCACCTTGGCAGACAACGTGGGCAATGGATGCAGCGTGTGCTTGAGCATGACGTGGACGGGATCTCTGGTAGGACTGCAGCCTGGCCAGCTGCCAGGCATAGCAGGCATTGCCAGGGCTAACCCATAGTCCAGACGTCATGATAGCGCGCGTCCATGCCATCCACCCCCCCTGCACTAGACCCCTCTTCAACTGATCATCCTTGAATGCTTGGAACCTTGGCCCCTTGGACGTCGCCCTGCCAATGCAATGCTCACGACCTCATGTGATCTTCGAGTGTGGGGGTAGGGTAGTGGGGTAGTGGGAGTGGGAGTGGGAGTGCAACAATGGAAGAGAAACTCAAGACAAAGCCAAGAACAGGATGGACGAGTGACACTCACCAGTTCCCATGGTTGTTGATCCGCAAAGACCTCAAACTGCGACATGACAAAGCTGTGACTGTTTGGTGGTGATCGAGTACGATGTAGACGAAGCAGCAGGCAGCCAGCCAGACCTGCGTGATTATGGGATGTTGATGAGGAGGGGGGGGGTGTAGGAGATAGGTAGGTCGAGCGATTAAGGGTATGGGGCAGAGTGAAAGTAAGAGTTGAAAGGCAGGGTATGGTATGGGGTGGGGGATATCGAGGAGGAGATGAGATGACAGAGGATGAGATGAGATGGATGGGATGGGATGATTGTCCGAGTGGAGGAGTGGAGGAGGACGAGGAGGAGGGGTGGGAGGTGGGGAGGTGGACAGGTGGAGGGAGTGCGCAGAGGGGGCAAGCCAAGCTGTGCGAGGTGTGTGGGCGGTGTGAGCGCGTGAGCGTGTGGGAGGGGGGGGGGAGGAGGGCGTGAGAGGTAAGATGGATAAGATGGATAGAGATGTAGAGGGAGGAGATGCGCAGTCACCGAGGAGAGCGACGAGTGGAGAGTGGACGACGACGAGACGAGGATGATCGATGAGGAGGATGAGGAGGATGAGGAGGAGGAGGAGGAGGAGGAGTGAGGAGTGAGGCGGGTCAAAGGCGGAGGAGCAGAGGACCAAAGCTCGCACAGACCAAGCCCAGAGACGTCACTGGGCTTGGATTGCGGAATGACCCAGGTAACCGGGGGGGGGGGGAAGAGAGCGGAGGCAAAAGTGGAGGCAGCAAGGACCAAGGAGGGGCGCAGTCATCTCTCTCCGCAGTCGCCTCCTTTTGCTTCCCTCTCCAAGTCTGACTGCTGACTGCTGACTGGACCATGACTCATCCTTCCTCTCTCTCTCTCTCTCTCTCTCTCTCTTTCTCTCTCTCATTCTCCCACTCTTCCTCCCACTCTCCCATCCTCCCATCCATCACCCGTACATCAACGCCGCATCCAAATCCTACATAACCACCTTGGCACTGGGTAATAATCCCAGGACTTTGCCATGCGCGCGGAGTGATGGCATGGCGTCCATCTCTCTGCCCATGACCCACTCCCCTGCCCTGACACTCCCTTGACACCCTGAACATTGTCCTTCTCGTTTCTTGGGTCTCGAGGGGTAATGAGCGCTTATACTTTCGGGTTACTTCCCTGAGTCACCCCTTACCCTGGCCTTTCCATTACAATCCGTCCTTAGCCTCTTCTCCATTGGCCATTGGACCATGACAACCACGACATTGGATCCTCGCACCACCGCTTGCGACGTCGTGATGGCGGGCAGCGACGGGTGCATCGTGCATGCGTGACATGCCACTACTCGTCGTGATCGCGATCCGACAACTTGCAGCTCTGCTCAAGCGGCGATTTGGCCGTGCACTCTCCCGTCGACAGATATTCAAAGAGCTATTCGCATCCTGCTCGCTCCGGTCCCGCTGTCCCCCACAGCCCACACGATCACCACTAATTACGCACCCAGACCTGTACTCTGCGTTGTCATTGCCGCCGAGCATGCCGAGCCGCCGATCCCTGGACCCCTCCTGTACTCTAGAGCTTGTCAGTCGGGCTCCTGGGCGACTCACCACCTCGGGAGCGATGGAGACGACAGAGAACGCACGGAGGGGGGGGGGGGGGAACAACAACGCTTTGCTCCCACGCCCACTCCTCCGCTCGGCGTTCTGTCGTCGGGCTAGAGAACACGCTGCGCAACTGCGCGCCTGCGCACTCGCATCGCAAGTAACAATGTTCCTGGCGACGTCATGTGCCGATATGAAGGCACGGCGCGGACTGGTATTTCGGCGGGGTCGGCAGGTGTATTTGAGTGGCATGTGGCACGAGCGTGGCAGGTGCTTGTTGATCAGAATTGTGGTGCGGGTCGCCGGACACCAGTAGTGACACTGCGGACCTCGTCCTCTTACAAGGCGCCGACGTTCGCTGCCGCGCCCGACATGATCTGCATACGCATCATGATTAGAACTGCGCGCTCTGCGCTCAGTTGCGCGCCCCTCTCATTGCGCGCGCTCTCCCTCAGCCTCGCCCTCCAGCTCGCCCCGCTTCTCCCCCTGCCCCGGCTCGCCCATGCGGCTCACATCGAACCCGTGCGCAGCCAAGTACTCGCGGAAGAGCACGTCTTCGTCGGCCATAGCATCCGGCTTGATGTTGGGGAGGCAGAGCGCGATGATGGCGCTGAAGCCCGCGAGCGCTGCGCCGATGTAAAACAGGCCCGTGTGCCCGAGATACGCCGAGCGCGCGTCCATGTCCGCCTGGATCTGCGGGAACGTGTACGAGCCGATGAACTGGGTCAGCGCCGGGAGCGGGGGGGGGCTTACCGCGCCGACCTTGCCGATTGCGGCCGCGATGCCGTACAGCTGCCCGCGGGCCGCGGTGGGCCCGATAGCCTTGGACGCGAGGAGGCCGAGGTTGTTCCCCGGCCCGACTTCGCCGAACGCGAGGACTAGCGTCAGCGTCAGCGCGGCGGGCACAGGCATGCGACGCACAAAACCCATACATGACCGCAAAGCCTGCGACGTTGCCCCCGCTCGCCGTGGGGAAGAAGCGGTCGTACGCGCCGCTCAGCGCGAACCCGAACACGGCTTGCAGCACGAGCCCCGTGATGAGGCAGTACTTGGGCCCGATCCAGTCGGCGAGGAACGAGCCCGCGATCGTGCCCGGCACATAAAAGGCGTTGACGAGACACCCCCACCCGAGCGTCTGGGCGAAACTCGCGTTCGGCGCGGCACGCGCCACGATCGTGTCGCTGTACATCCCGAACGGGTAGGTGATCCAGTCGTAGATGAACCAGATGACGGAGACGGCGAGCAGGCGGGCCCAGTACCGCCGGAGGATGAGGGCGTAGGGGATGCGCGTGTGCCGCATGTTGTTGCGCAGGTAGGACTGGGGCTCGTGCATGAACACGCGGGCGATGAGGAGGACGAGCGGCGGGATCGCGCCGAGAAGGAGCACGCCGCGCCACACCGCGCGCAGGTGTGCGTCCCCGAAGATCCAGTAGAGGACGAGCGCGACGAACTGGGTCAGCGTGTCAGTGGAGAACGTACCCAAGCAATCGCGAACGCCAAGTCCAACATTGTGTTCGTCGCCCAGATGAACAGGCGCTGCTGCTGCCCCTTCTTCACGCCCGCGGCCTCGGTGCTCTCCGCCGCCGTCACGCTGCCGCTGGGATACTCGCCCCCAATCCCGATGCCGAGGAGGAAGCGGAACGCGATGAGGCAGTTGAACAGCGTCTGGCCGGGCCCGGCCGCGCACGCGCACAGAATCGAGAACACGAATATGATGCCCGTGCACACGAACATCGAGTACTTGCGGCTCCACTTGTCGCTGAGCACCCCGAACGCGAGCTGGCCCAACACCATGCCCGCGAAGCCCATCGCGCCGATCAGGCTCGCGTTCTGCCCGCCCAGCCCGTGCTTGTACTGCGTGGGGTAGAGGCGCGCGAGGACGGATTTAGTCGGTCCCATCGCGGCGTTGCTGTACCCGTCCGAAAACATGGCCGAGCCGGCGGCGAAGATGCTGCTGTCAGCGCGCGAGAAAGCGGGCCAAGTGGCGCGCGGGCGTGCCCAGTGCGAGACGACTCACGTCGCGACATTGCCTAGCTTGCGCTTCGGCGGCACACCCTCGTGCGCCACCTCGTGTGTGTCGATCTTGTCCTTGCTGCCGTCCATCGTGGGTGCGATGGGGACCACCGCATCCAGCTCAGCCTTATCACTGTGCCCACCACGAGCCCGACTTGCCCAGCCTCTCGTTTAGGCCCCCTGAACTGACGCCGAGATGAGACAGTGCGCCGAGAATAGCCACTGTGTGACGCTGCATGTGTGACGCTGCAACACACGTGCAGCGCGCGGCGCGTCCCGTCTAGCGTCTAACGATGCGTGCGTCGTGCTCGTGCTCGTCCGCGTGCTCGGGCACCCCGTACAGCGTATGGGTGGAGCACAACACCCGCTCCACGCAGATATTCTCGTCTGAGCCACGCACCGTCTCGTTCACATCCCTGCACTCTTCGCCGCCGCCACATTGTCCCTCGACCTCCACGCTGCGCTTTGCACGTTCGTGCACACGCGCAAGCGCTAGCGCACGCGCGCACGCACATGTCTCGTTTCGCAGGTGTGCAGGCTCCAAGATCCTGGCCGACTTGACTTTTCTTCGAGATTTTCGCGACGAATCTATCTTGGTATCGCGCTGCGGCGGACATTGCAAATCCGTGCCTGCGGATCGCGGCCAGTTGATCGGCCATGATTTGTGTGTGCCTGCGTCCAGCTGCTAGCATGCTTGACAGAGACAGCGGCAGCGACAGACGTCATACCCGTGTCTGGACCGTTCCGCATCAGGAAGCATGGCTTTGCGCGGTGTAGGTGGTCGCTCCTCACCCATCTCCAGACAGAGTCATCGGATCATGTGCGTACTGCGCGAGTGCCATTTCAGCCTCGAGCTGCGGCTGATGCGCCGGTCCGCACATGATACCGGGCTGTGCGTGTGGGAGGCCGACTTCCACGCTGGACACGGACTCGCCGCTCCGCGCGGCGGCGAGCCTCGCGCCCACTAACACCCACCCCAGCCCCTATGGTGTAATGGTAACACGTGAGTCTCATAATCTCTAGCCCTCAGTTCGATTCTGAGTGGGGGCAAGCTTTTGGCTCGCTGGAGGGGGAGCGAGGACAGAAGAGGCCCGGAAAATACAGAGTGGCGATTCATGATCAGCGCAGACTGTCGATCTGTCATTGCTGGTCAAAGACATCGGCTCGTGCGATGCATCCTCCTCGCTCCGCCGCCTACGCTCGCGCTACGAGCGTACACCCCGCAGCACGACACTGACCATGAGCACGAGCGTGAACGTGAAGACGTAGAACACGCGGCCCTCGCCCAGCCGTGCGCCGTTACCTGGGTCATTTGGGTCCGCAGGCTCGCTCAGCGCGTCGCGGAGCGGAATGAAGCCCATCGCGACGATGAAGTTGGTGATCCACGACCCGGAGAGCGCGAGGGACGACACGGCGGGAATGGCGGGGCCGGGCAACATGTCCGACACGAGGAGGAAGGGCACGGGGCCGAGCCCGATTGCGAACGCCGCCTGGTGTCAGAAACCCTCGGAATCGAGGCTCACAATAAACGCGACAATGGCAAAGCTGGAAATGTACTGCCTGCCCTGGTCGAGACCGACAGCCAGCATGATGCTCATGAATGCCATGCTGATCGCCGAAGCTAGGAGGAGGGTGCGGCGGCCGAGTTTCTGCGATTAGCTGTGTTCTTCCGCAGTAGCGGACTTACGTCTACCAGTGCAATAGCAGGCAGCGTCATGAGTGCGTTCACCACCGTGATGCCGACGCTGAGCACACCCGCCCCAGCGCCTTTGAGCACCGACGACAATACCGGTGCCGAGTAAAACAGCACAGCGTTGACTCCGCTCAGCTGCTGCAGCACCATGATGGTGGTGATGAGAAGCGCCGGACCACGGAACGCAGGGTTGGAGAGCACCGCACGGATCGACAGCTGGTCGGACGACGCCGCCGATCCGGGAGCGGGGAGGAGCGGCGCTGCTGCTGCGCGTCAGTATCCGTACCGGTGCGGAACCAAGCACTCACCCTCATCAGAGCGCGTGTCGGGGTCGTGCGGAGTGTATTCCTGGTTCATCGGCCTCTCGCCCATTGCAATCTGGACTATCGACGCCAACGCGCTGATCACGAGGACGTAGCGCCAGCGGCCGGGCTTGTCTCCAGTCTGCGTTAGCTTCTCCGCTCGAAGGCCTGCTTACCGGCCCAGTCAAGATCATGCCCATGACCTGCGACGAGCAGATGCCGATGACGATTGCGAGCTGGTTGAGCGCGCCGATTTGTCCGGAGCGGGACTGCAGCTCAGGCGTCGTGCGCGCCACGGTCGCCAGGTACGGCGGGACGGTGCAGATGGCGAGACCGCACGAGAGACCGGCTACGAAGCTGGCGTCAGTGGGGACTCGGTGGAGTGGAGGGCATGGGGTAGGCTGGAGGCGCCGCTATCTGTTGTCGGAGCGAGGGCAGACATCCTCGCCTTCCCCACAGCCATACTAACCGCCCAAGTGCCAGCACGCCCCAGTGTGGTGCGAGCGCCATCATGAGTGCGCCGGCGAGGTTGAGCCAACCCGTCCACGCTATGCCGCCGGGCACGCCTTGGCTGCGCACGATGCTGTCACTCAGAATACTGCCCACCAGGCCGCCGGCTGTGAGGAGCGCGGTTACGGCGCTGTACTTGATCGAGTCGAGGCCGAGGCATGGGCGGAGCGGGGCATTGCCGTCGTTCGGGGACGGATGGCAGGTGAGGCCGTTGACGGGGTAGTTGAGCTCGGCGAGGTGATAGCCGTCTGGAGTTAGGATGGTGCGGATGGAAAAGGGAG